TTGCTCATTGATTCTCATTCTAATGCTTATCAAATACTGATCGCTTTACCGTTTAGATCATCTCAGGAAGCTGCATCAATTTGCTAGAGATCTCAAAAATCTACTTTAATCAATTCGATAATCATTTGTACTTAGCGCTCTAATCATGAAAATTGCTTCATTTACATGTCAAAATGCAAATAATTTCAATGCTTTTATTAGTCTGTATAATGTGTGAAGGGCCCAGCCTTTCAGCTGGAGGCACTGCGATTCAAATTAGAACAGAATCTATTGTACCACACCCTTTAGACCTACAGTTTATAGTGGGATCCGAACCACTTGCAAGCTCTGTACATTGCAAAGACACGAGTACGTCATAAGACCTGATGTACCCTGCAATGTACCTAGTCACAATCCGTGTGCGCAAGATGCCGTAAGGATGTCATCCAGATGCTAGTATATCCTTGTATACCTAGCAAAGGAGGCATATTCTATGTCAAAGACATCAATACTACACCCAACACACGAACCGAGCTTCGTAACTAGAACGGTGAAATGGAAAAAGAGCTTCGAAAAGTCTTTAGTTATTAGTCTACTATAAACCTCTTACCTAGAAAATATTACTCTTACAGATCAATAAAACTCTCCTTAAAAGTGGCCAATAAAATACAATCAAAAAGCTGAAGCTGCATATCAATAAAATTCATATTCATAAAAATCGATAAACTTAAAGAGAATTCACTAGAGTAGAGAACTCTATTCAGGGGCGTAGCCAGAAAATTTTTAAGGGGGGGGCCCATTTTTGAAAATTAAAAAACCGTTATTTTGTATCCTTAAATCTATATTCATTCTTCATAAGTTTAAATATTTAATTCATTATTCATACATTAAATTTAATTTTTCGTGCTGATTTTGACATTTCTTTCATCACTTCCTCTACATTAACTGGTTCTTCTCTATAAATACTTAATAAATCAATTATCAGATTTTCGTAGGGGGGGCCCGGGCCCCCTATGGCCCCCCCCTGGCTACGCCCCTGACTCTATTACATTTCCTGAAAGGTATTGCTCGACAACAAAAAAAAAAAGTCACTTCACTTCAAGAAAAAGCAACAAAAAAAAAGTTAAAAGGAATGAAATAATATGAAAGGAACGTGCGAATAGAGGAAAGAAAGAAAAAGAGAAAAATATCGAGAGCAATATCATAAATGCATTTAAAATGGCACTTTATGTTATTATTGACAGCAAGACAAGCCTGCCTTCTCAACGTATTGAATGAGAAAGTGAATATGGAAGCTGTCGGAAGTATCACTTTTAAGCTCTTGTGAAAGAAAGTATTCAATGTATAAGTAACAAGAGACTAGAAACGAGAAGTAAAGGATTTCAAAATGTGGGTCAATATAATCGTATAAGTAAGCAAAGTAGCTAATAATCCTGAATATTTATGGTAGCGAAGCGCATGAATTGATATGTTTTACATGTCATAGTTTCATTCATACCCTACAAATCAAAAGCATTTTAGTCCTAGAAAAAAAAACTTCAGTTACCATAAAGACATAATGGACATTGGGGTCTCCTTAGTTTGAGGCAAAATAAAATAAAAATAATTTTTTATTCTGTTGATTTTCTAAAAGTACAATAAGTATAATGTGAAATACAAATCACCATTACAGTGGCATTATTAAATCCCTTAAAAGCTTTCCCTTGTATGGTTGTCTTTGCAATGACGACAATGATATTGCTGCTTTAAAAATATACATAATAAAATGAAGGAAAAAATGGAGAAGACCAGTCTGTCGTGGGTGATGTGTTGCGGGTAAGTTTCTATCACAAACGGAAAAGTTTTTAAAGCGGTAGACATTTAAAAATAAAATTACGCTTTTGAAAATTAAGAAAGTTCATAATTAATGTGCAAAAAGCACAAAGCATATCGTGAAAAGTCAGCTTATCTGGTAACGCCTTAATGTGAAGTGGCGGAAACGATGGAAATAAAACTCACGCAATAAATTAACATCAATTATTAATTTTATGACACTTAAACCGACAAATGATAATTTCGTTCATTATAACTGTCATGCATCTAAAACTGGATGTTTAACAAATAAACAAGCGTAAATGCATAATCATACAAGCAATAAAAAAAAGGGAAAAAGATTTTTTATTCATCATATTTAATTTATCATTCGAAGCAAAAAATTTCAATTTTTGACTTTATCATAATGTCAGTCATAAGTCATAATGTTCGTTATTAATCATTTTATCATAACGACATTTTATGGACGACCTTGAATTTTTAAAAAATTATTTAAAAGCAGAACTTTAAATTGACGTGTTTGGTTTAAAGACGGAAATTCATTTTTTGTTTCTAAGGACAACAGACAGTAACATGCTGACCTACAGGCTTGAAAAATCTATAAAATTACTCCTCTTTATAAGCATTGCGTACCACCACTTTCTCGTTTAATATCCTAATTTATCTTTAAGATATGTTTTTAACTACTATGAGTTCTCGATTTGAGTAGATTCGTTTTGAACGGGATTTTTCTGGAACAAAACACCTACTCAAATTTAGGACCCCCAGTAATTTTGTTGGATCATGTTTTTTGCGTATAACCTTCTTTATAGCATAAATTTTGGGAATTATTAATTATTAAAATCAATCTTTAAATATCAAATACGTAGCAACATGAAAAAGTTCTTCTTAACAAAATGAACAGCAACAGCACCATCGTTGAGTTTTGAATGAAACGTTTAATGAAGTTCCTGTCAAAGTTGTGGTGGGAAAAGTTTCTTCATTTATACCGGAAATTGTGGAAATAATTTTATCAAGCTGTGGGGCCGTTCACTTATAAACGCATGTATCACACAACTTTCAATTGTCATTTAGTGAGCTTTCTTTGATGCTTATTATTGACATTCTACATTTACACGATTCATCATGATGTCAATGTAGCAATCATGTTCCAGATAATTTTAATATCCTCCGTACTGTATTAAAGGTATTTTTTGTACAGGGGTCGTTCAATTATGACGTCCGAAATTAACGGTCATTTTTCAAAAAAGAACAATAGATTTCCTGGAATTTCTATTGTTCTTTTCTTGCTGACCCCCCCCCCCCCCCCCTTACCTGGACGTCATAAGTGAACGGCCCCTAAAACAGTTTCAATGTATCCATCTATTCAGAAAAAAATGAATACTATAAATAATGACATATAATCATGTTACAGCTAAATGAAAGAAATATATGATTTTTTTATAAATTGCAAAAAGAGAGACCAAAATAAATATCTTTGTGCGAAATAGTTAAAATAAAGCATGGATGTAATGAACGAAAAAGGATACTCATTATTTCAAATTAAATATCCTAGAAATTCTATCAATTAAGCTAAAGTTCCTGATAATCATCATGATGAAGTGGAAATACAAAATGAATTAAATGGTTTTAATTAAACTTATTGCATGTTATGTACTGAAAAGATTGATCTTACTTTCTTCTTGACTACTTAATTAATTATTATTTTGGACATCACGAGGTAGTAAATTGAATTTTTATATCATATGCAGGATAAACATCAACTAGATATTACATCCAGTTTAGTTCTAGAACTCTAATATCAAAATCAGTGACCAGAAATGAAATTTCAATTCAGATGATAATTAAAAAAATTTAAAATTAGAAACAGCAGTTTAAGAAATATTAATGACATTTTCCGAACCTCAAATAACTTTCCAAAATACAATAAATTTTTAATTCATCAAATTCGATAATTTAATTGACACATCACAAAACAAAAAACAAGTTTTTAATTAAACTTATGAGCTGAATTAGGAGCAAATTGAAACATTTTGGGAATAATTCTATCAATTTAATTGCGTTGCGATAATAAAGCAATTAAATTATTAACGTGAAGATTTGCTTCAAATTCCAAATTTATAATTAGACTGGTTGTTTATTTTTTATGGATTTTTTCTCAAAACATTTGCCATAATGAAGTGATTATTTATTCTAATTTTACATATTCAGGTAGAAACATAATTACAATTTTACGAATATGAGAGATAACTTCTGTCGCTAAGGATTTGGAGTTTGCACAAAACATTAAAAAACTTGAGAATAGGAAGAAATTGTAATTACAAATTCGAAGAAATTTTTGTTTGGTGAAAAAATATTTCAATATTTAAATATTTATTCTTTGAAAAGAATAGAACCTTATTCAAAAAAATTAAAGTTCGTTAAAATGGATATTTGAAATGAGCTGTAAAACAAATTAAAACTTTAAATATTTATTGGGAAAAGAATTTTCTTCCCAATAATTCATTCCACTAAAGTTCACACTCCCTTATTAGATTTAACAGCAATGAAATAATTAAATATCTGAATTTCAAATAGTTTTACTTAGATGTCGCTGCTGATCATGTTGTATGGATGATTCCATAAATGAGTTTTTAATGCAATTTTGAAGAATAAAAATGAAATCAGTTTAAAACATTAAATTGACCAATATTTGCTATCTAAAATAAGCTAAAGTACTTTGTTCGTTAACTTACTTGCTTGTGAATTGTTCATAAAATCAAACAATCCATTTTCAATAAAAACAATCGTTCTTCCTTGTTGATTACTGAAAATCCAAAATAAAAATTGAAATAATTAAAATCCACATTTCAATTTTTAGGATTTTAATGAAAACTTTTATTGCAACGTATTAATTAATTTAACTTAATTCCTTTACTTTCTTCACTATATTTACAATTTCAAACCTTCCTTATTTTTTTGATTTATTTTGACCAAATTTTTTGTATTAAAATTAAAAATTGAGATCAAATCATTTGATTCAAATGTACCTACAGATTTAGTTTTTTAAAGAATAATTACATTTTTTAAGGTCTTGCAGGCAAAAAGACTAATTTTTGCTTTTCAATTTTGATGCTACAAAATAAGTTTCTGTTCCTAAATCGCAATACAAAAATCAATATCAAATTTTGCGATGTTTGATGAAATCAAGTCGAAATTTTTTGATTAATTTAACTATGAAACTTTCGGATGTGCCTGGATAGCGTATGTGTTGTTTTGAAGACATTATAGCAATATTGACAAACGAATCTAGATATGTTGCTGTGTACAGATGATGAATGATGAGCAAACGAACTTAGGAAGTGGTTGAAATTTTGAAGTCGTTCCTGAAACGAGTATTAATGCAGAATCTTATTTAGAATTTATTCTGTCCAAGATGTCTTTTAAATAATCAGTTTAAAATTTAGAGGCATTTAAAGGAAAGATAATTATTGAGTCAAAATTTTGTTTTTAATCTTTCTGGAATGCCTTTAAACTATTGATTCTAGTATTGATAATTAATGACTTATGAAAATGGATATGATAAAAGTAAATAAATTCAAAAGAACCTTACCATGTGACTTAATATTTTCTAACTCTTAGTTTTTAACCCTACGGTTGATTATTTCTGTTATCTAAAAGGTATAATAACAAAATTGCGGAAAGTGCCCAAATTAAAATAAAAATAAAACCAAAGAAATTCGTTTTTGTCAATTGAAAAAAAAAAACAAGAAAAATGAATGCTTTCGTAGCATGATCTTTGACATTCATATCTTGATATAAATACTTACCGATAACACTTTTTTTGTCGCATCATTTGACATTAGGTCACTGTTGAACGATCCTTGTTGGTATGATGGTGGGAGGTTAATGTGGCTTGCTACTGCAATGACAAACGAAATTAAGAAATGATTACTCGCAACTTTGCCCGAATTAAATAATAAAATTTTGTAAGATCCAACCTACACTGAATGGGGATTTGTGAAATGTGTGATGCTGCAGGTATTCTTATATCCTCTTCAATCTTTATTTTTGTTTTAATTGTATTGTAATGTGGACTTCCTTGAAGCTGCAGAAGTGATAGTGGTACATGCCGAGATTCTTTCTTTTTCTGATACTCGTGTGGATGTTGATTTTGTAAATGTTTATTAAGTTGATTCTTAGTGGAAAAACTATCTCCACATCCTATTATTGTACATGGTATTACACGACCCTCAATATGTTTCTGGATATGTCGCTTAAGTTGTGGCTCATCAAAAAATGATGCAGGACACATATTGCAAATATAATCACCACGTGCTGCCATTTGAGGTTTCACGACAATTCCATGGGTCGCCAGATGATGATTCAACTGCGTTACTGTATGAAATTTACGTGGACATTGAGTGCAGACAAATTGCTGTATTTTATGATGTGTCTTCATGTGATTATTTAAATTTGTAACTTGAGCAAATGAGCGTCCACAATTAGGTTCAATGCACACAAAAGGTCGTTCACCTAAAATTTAAGTAATAATTTAAAGTCATGTCAAACTCATCCTTGAAATTTTGCTTACCTGTGTGCAGTCTACGATGATTATTAAGATTTGTAATTTGTGTAAATGCTTTCCCACAATCGGCACTATTAAGCAAGAAGGATTTATGGATCATTTTTAAAATTGAAAAGTCAGTAAATAATCAAAAGTTACCATGTATATGGTCGATCATTAGTATGTATTCTTTCATGGTTCCTTAAATTTGCTTGCTGTGAGAATCCTTTTTGACAATATGGACAGACATATTTCTTATCCGCTGAATGATTTCTTATATGATTTAATAACGATGTCTTTCGATTAAAGATCTTCTGGCACAGTGGACATTTTCCTTCCTCTCCAAGTAGAATTTCTCCCTAGAATTAATCAACGTTGATAACCGTAAGTTAATTATTGTAAGCATATTTGACCTGTTTCACTTAAGTGGATTATCCTCGATTTCGGATTATACACTTCAGTTTTTTGTAAATATCTTAATTTTTATGGGAGGTGTGGTATTTCTAATTTTGGTTTATAATAGAGTGAACTAGGCCTGAAATTTCTGTTTACTTTAAACTTTTGCTTTTCTCTATGAAGTATTAATTATTCAATTGTCTAGCCAAATCTAGTAAATTAACTTCGATTTTTGCTATAATTCTCAAATTAATGGAGATATGAAAATTCTAAGTATATGTTAATTTAAGTAGCAAAGTACTTTAAGTAGATCACACATTAGATGTCTTAATAATCTTAACATCTGGAGATATTTCCAAAATACTGAAGTGGATAATCCGAAATCGAGAATAATCAACTTTAGTGAAACAGGCCGATTGATTTTTAATTTATAGAAACATGGAACTCTTAAAACTTGCACAAAATGTTAAATTTAAGGTGAATTTAAGGAAGGAATATGATGGAAAACCTACATGAAATCATAAAAACTTAATCAATTTGTTTAAAACGGAAAACAAAATATCTTCCTCAGGCTAAGAAAAGCAAGCACGAGAAAGTATGCAATTCCTATTAAAGGAAGATTTACTCATTCATAAATTGGTATTTCATTCTTTAAGTATATTAAACAGTCTTACTTTCAAGCAAAACATTTTAAATGGAAGTTAAATAAGTTGTACTGATATTAAAAGTATGTTAAGGAAAAGATTTTCTTACAATGAGAGTTTTTTGAAATTATTGGAATTGTGGTTTTGAAGCAAAGAAAAACACGAAGCTAATCAATTTCATTAATTCCAGGTCTATTTAATAATACGCAAAAAGGATCATTAATCAACTTACATCCATATTCATGAGGGCCTGCTCCAACTCGAAAGTATTTGAGAGTAGCTAAAAAAAAATAGAAAAATCAAATTTCAATCATTTCCCGCCAAAATAGTTTATGCTTCTTAATGAATGAGAAAAAAAAAACCAAAAACAAATTTTCGCTCTGATCACATGTTTTTCTCCCGTAGCTCATGATTTTCATTGACGAAAAAGTTTTTCATTATAATTTTTTTTCCTTCCTTCTCCCCGAGACTTTCATAAACAAACTTTTTTTTTGTTGCTGCACATATATATACTTTGTTCATCATCATTGTAGATGGGTAAAACCGGAGAAGCAAAACGAAAAAGTGAGAGAGGAACGAGTAGAATGAAAGACACAAAAAATATATATATATTTTGTGTACAGAAGAATAGTCGGTTTATGGAGTAATATCATTAAAGCTAAATATTCATTTTTATTGTGATGAGAATTTCCATTCTCTCAACTTGTCCAATGACTCACGATTAGATCCCATGAGTGTTTAAATTTTTTTTTTGTGTGTATGCATGTGCTTTAAAAAAATGAATGAGATAATGTAAATGAAAGAGAAACAGCAACAATTTCACGGGCAATGTAAACAAAAAAAAAGTTGATGGCCATGCAAGTTACTATTATCATCGTCCATTGAAGTGTACATGTAAACTTGATGACTTTTTTTTTGCAATTGGAAATTTCATTACTTTTAGTGTCGTTCAAGGTATGCCAACTTAAATGGTCATTTTGCATCTAAACCTTATAAGTTGGTTCGATTCTCTTAATTATTGCATTAATGGGTCATTTTCATAAATATAATTTGCTTGGTTCACAAATTATACAAAACACCAGCTGAACATTTTTCTGCTGACCCAGACTTTTTCAGCAACATTTTCACCGATTATTCGTGATTTTTTTTTTATTTTCATTTAAGACATGTCATTCAAGCATGTCTTTGTTTCATGAAAACTAATAGACTTCTCACTTTTATGCAATAGTTTAAATAATGACACCACCTCAAATATTAAAGAATCTAACAAATTCATCAGTTATTACACCTTGATGTCTTTAATGTATCTTACACCGTATGGACAATACGAACAGCAATATCACACTTTAAATATATAATTTAAAATGAAGACATATACACATCACATATATTTGTATGTATGTACACGAATTATTATTATTATTTCTACCCTAGTCAATAGAATGAAAAGAAAAAAAAAATTATCAGAACACAAAAAAAATATTTTTTTTTTCAGTGTGTTATTATTAAACTGGATTTTTTTTTCTTTCATTTCTTTTTTTTTTCATTTATTTTTTTTTTTTCAGCGCTTTATATATTTTTATACGTACTTTTTTTTGCTTCATGCAGAGCCGGCAGGGATCAAACGCAAAAAAAAAGAAACGGGGGAGAGAAAGAGAGAAAATTTTCTAATCTTGTATCATTGAGAAGCATTGGGAGGATTGAGGATTCAGAACAGTATATATCCGTATGTATACGACTTGTCGATGCACGCATGGCATATATGATACTTTTATATAAAAGAAAATAAATGACCGTTCCTAGTACGACCCAGAGCAACAGAGAACCTCCGTCGTTTTTTTTTTTCATTTATATTTTTTTTTCTTGTTTTTTTTTCCTCGTCATTATTGTTTATTGTTGTTACTTACATTGGTCGCCGTCGTAGATGTGAACTTTTTGTGATGTGCTGTAGGAGCCCCTTGATGCTGATGATGTTGAACACTGTTTGGTATTGCTGATGTCTTTTGAGAAGAAGAAAAAAAAGAACATTTTAAAGTAGATATTTTTTTTTGCTTTCGTACTTTAAAACATGTAGCACAAAGTTTTAAATTTTGAGTCACAAAGGAAGAACAAAATATAAAGAGGAACATGGAGAACTAAAGAGATAAAGATAGAGAGAAGATGATGTAAAGGGTAAACTAACCAATGGTGGTGGTGGCATTGCTGTAGGAGCACAATACAATGATTGTTGCTGTTGTTGTGGTAGAGGCGCTGAAGTTACTTGCTGCTGTTGTTGATTTTGTTGCTGAACGTAATACTGTTGGTTTGGTTGAACTGGTTGTGAAGTGGCTGTTGTCGGTGCAGCTGCCGGATTTTTAGTTAAATTTTCAGAACACTTTGCACAAGTTGGAAGTTGATAGCCTGGCACCTGAAATAACTATCAACCGCGATTCTTTGAATAAAGTCTATAGTTTATATCAATTTTTATAGCAAATTCACTTCTATATCTTTCACAATTCAATATTTTATTTTATTCTATTTTCCTTGCTTTTCTTTATTTAAATATGTATGTATAAAATATAAAACGAAACTCCGAACGAAACGTACTTCTATACACAGTGGAAAACATCACAATAATGAAAAAAAAAATCGAAATATACTCAGAAAAAAAGAGAGAAAACGAAAATGAGAGGAGATATATGTTATTTTTTTTTCTTCTTTCAGTTTTTGCTGGATGGATTTTTTTTTCATTTTATATTTTTTTTTCTTTATTTTTTTTATGTGTTACTGTAACGAGGGACAGAATCAGGCAAGGCTGCTCAAAATTCAAATTTCAAATTTTTATACTCATTTTAACCGAGATTTCAAAAAAAAAATATTTTTTGACAAAATAATTTATGTACCTAGTCCTAGGTATATCCTTGAAACAAAATACTAGATGCCCACAAATCCTTTTGTTTTTAACTATTTAATATGTGGTATTATTAATTACATGGCTATAAACCTTTTCCTTTTAAGTGACAATCTACGTTAATACCTGTATATGGTTTAACACTTATTACATATTGAAGAATTCAAATGTCTTAGACAGAGAAGTCGATAGGTTCGAATCGTTATTGCGTTACTTAATAAGTGAACAGTCCAAAATTTGTTGCTTTAGTAATGAAATACTGATACATTGATAATCATCAATTCGAGACTTAGTATCAAATTTTTTATAACTTGTACTTTTTCTAACCGCATGAACTCGAAGCAAAGTGCAAAGTCTTCCTTTGAAGGCTATAGCCAGCATGTGGGCCTAGGTTTAAGAAGTAGGTCTGGGGAACCCTCACTCTTTTAGCTTTACTTAATGTATAACATTTAAAATATTGACAGAAGTGAACATAATTTCTGAAAAACCCAAAAAATTTTAAGTAATGCTTATAAGAAGAATAATTTATTGAAAGTTTTAAATTTTATTGAATAAAATTCAGACTCCTTCCAAACGATCCTACATTAGTCTTAATAATAAGATAAGGCGCCCATCTCCTAGAAGCCACTCTGAATCTCATTATTTTGTATACTAGAAATATGAACCCGTTAAATATTCAATAAATTAAAAATCTATTTTATCCATCTCTAGCTAGTTTTACAATCAATAATCATTTAATGATTATTTATAAATTTTTTTTAAAAAAAATGACAAACAGGAAAACCGCCAAAAATAACAGAACTAGTAATTTATATGACATGTGAAGCGAGAAAGCAAAAAAGCTACAGAATGAAAAGAAAAAAAAAATGAGAGAGAAATAAAAAAAATGGATTTGTTCAAAAAAGTAGAGAAAATGTTCAAGCAGCTATCGTCATGCGCTTACTGTAATATAAGAAATGAGTAAGGCAGACAAATAAGTCATAATACAGCATGTACTTTATGAAACACTAGACATCGATTTTTTTTTTTGTTCAAGCAAAAAAAAAGGAAATACGAAACACAACAGCTATATTCACGTTTGAGTAAAAGCAAAAAGGTTTTGTTTTGGCAGTGCTAGAAATGAAGAAATTTTCCTTGGCAAGATAAAGAGAAATTTCTCTTTAAATTTAAAATTAAAGTTCTTTAAAGTTTCCTCGCAAGTGAATTCACTATTTTAACGTAAAAGTCAATAAAGTTGTTCATATTACCTGAGTTGTCGATTGATAGCACATATTGCACAACACTACATTTTGATTCATCATATTTTTTTCATCGATTTTAAATTTCAAACGCAATTTCTAAGAAATTTTAAAGCCACATCTGAAAATTTTGGAAAAAAAAGAATTGAATTGTTACTAACACTAGCGCAATTTTTGGAGCTTGATTTTTTTGGGAAAATTTTACATTGAAATGAGAGAATTATGATTAGGATTGACAACGGAAAAAAAATGAAAGAGCTTTATTGAGATTCTGTTTGCAGTAAAAAATGAAAAAAGAGATGAAAATTTTTAAAATTTCTCATTTTCTTGTGATAAATGAATAGTGGATTTCCTCATTTCCTTTTCTTATCATCATTTAAAATTGTAACCCAAGCTTTGTTCCATCCAAAACTGTAGATGGCCAAGAAGGGGAATGTTGTGATCAAGAATTCGTGGAATAAAGTTTGCATGTTGAAGAACATCCGGAAAATTTTAAATTGAAGTAGATATTCGTGGATGAAAGCAACAAACCAATTCATGAATCTAGCATAAGTGCTTAATTTATACAATTCCATCTTACTTCTGTCACATCCTTTTGGAATCTCTTTTTCAGTGTACCAGTAATTTGGAACTCCAACCAAACGTTTCATAGTAAAAATCATGACATCATAAGTGTCTCTTGGATTAAAGCACCACATGCCATTAGCCACAAATCTTGTCATTTCTGGAAATTCTTTTGGTGGAGATTTAAGTGCTGGTCTTAAAAATTCACTTCTAATAACTTCCAACCGTTCATAAGTCTCTTCCATATTGTCACAGCAGCAATTGTACCTAAAGATTGAATAAATTAACTTCTTGACTAAGTACTTCATGACTAAAAAAATCATTTCTTACTCATCCTTGATACCGGTTAAAAACCCCAAAACTCTGAAGAAGTGACAATAATCTTCAATGTCTTGTCCAGTGCCATGCAATCCAATTTTCTCTTTGGTAACAATTGTAAAGCCCATAAATCCAAATAATGTAATAACAAGATCTTTTTGTGAAATGATTCCGACATTTGCTAAATGTGCTGAACGACTAGAAATTAAATGCATTTTACGGACTGACTCAATTGACTCCCACGCTCTTGTTCCAGGTTTAAGGTCACTTCTGAACCATGATAATGTATGAAAAATTGTTTGCATATATCTACGATATGCTGTAAAATTAGTTGAACTTCCTTTAGTATGGATTAAAATATTTAGAATAGATGGAATTGCCAGAATCGCAACTAGCCCCAAATACATTGAATAGAAAATTGCAAAAAAATTCTCTCTAAACACATGCTGAGCCCTAAAATGAGAAAAATGCATTAAAAGTTTGAGAGTAATTTTTAGCATGAGCGGAACCGGTGCTGTACATTAAAAACAATGTTCTGTTATGTTTTATAGAAAAGATTATGTAGGTAATTTTTTTGGAGAATAAAAAAGATTTAAAAAGAGAGGAGCAGCTACAACACTAACACTCATAAATTTGACTAGTCTAAAAAATATTGTCAAAGGGTTAACACAATCACATCCGAAGATGTTTATTTTAACAATTCTCTTTTGATGTGATTTGATGTGACTTTCTAAAATATGTCAATTGCGATTACCTTCGAATTTTTTCATGATCAACATAATCCGGAAGCCTCAATAAAACTTTTTCGTCGATATCTATTGGTTTATTAGCTGCTTGTCGCAAAGATTCTGCATATTTTTTCGCTAAAATCATCAGATTTTTTAATTTAAAGATTTATTCAGAACTGAACTAATTTCCAGCTCACCTCTTTCACTTGACATATTATCTTTACAGATTTACATAGACTTAATTATCTAGTAATCAGTAAAGCTATTCTTTACTTGTAATATTCACTTGTTGATTAGCAAACAAATGAGATTCAGATTTCGTGGATATTCTCACGAATGCACAATATACGTTTGAATAGCAGAAACTTCAGAAACAAAATAAAGCAAAATCTCAAAAAAAAAAAGAAATGAAAATGTTCATCACGTAGACGTAAGAGAAAACGCAAGCTACTTCGTGAGTAAAACCTGCTATTTATTTGATATAACGGAACAAAGAATATCTGCTATTGGTTGATTAATTTCTCTCAGTTTCCCAAATTTTAGCACAGATAATAAAAAAAAATCAGTTTAATGTCAAAAGCAGTTTGTATGAGAACGGTAACAATTTAACATGTGACATGAATATAAAACATGAATATACTGAAAATGGTTAATTAATCTTCATAATTGTGACTCATTAAACAGAAATTATAATTATTGCTGAGAAATGTTGAGAACTAAATGTTCAGTAAACTTTAACGAACATGAGAAAATTGTTGTGCTGTTTTAATTGATTTTACTATTAATCCCTCTCCTCCTTTGAAAATATCAAGTCACTGTCCCAGTTGTTTTTAATTTTCATGCATTCTTAAAGATCAGATAATTAGCAATACCTCAAAAAGCTAGATTCTCACATAAGCTTTTCGCACCCCGAATCTGATAATTGCAATAAAAGGAAAGTATCGTACAAAGAATTCAGCAACAAATGTTCCAAAATTATTGATCCATCGAATGATGCATATTTTTAACATAAATTGTCTACTGATAATTGATAAGAACAAATTAACTCGATCTAAGTATGAAAGCTTTAAATATTTTAAATTTTTACGGTCAAAGCTTGGTGGAATCTCAGATTCAAAGTAATGATAACCAGTCACTCCAATTAGTCGTTTCATCATAAAAACTATAGGTTCATAATAATCTAGGATATCAAAGCATTGTGCTCCAGATATAATAAATTTTGAATATTCTTTAAAAGCTTCGGAAGGATTTGTCAATTGAGGTAGTAGAAACTCCTTTTGTATGATTTGAAGTTTTTCTTCTGTTTCTTCCAATGTGCTGCAACATACATTAAATTCATCCTTTATTCCATGCAAGTGTCCAATTACTCTCCAAAAGTGACAAAAATCTTCCATCTCATTGTTATCACATTGAATCCCTAGTTCCTTTCTAAATAGCACTGCAAACCCCATAAACGAAAACTGTGTAATACTCAAGTCTATCTGAGAAATGATTCCAACTTTCGCAGAACTAGCTGAACAACTGGCATATAGATGCATTTTCCGAACAGTTTCCAATGAATTCCATGCTATTGTACCTGGCTTTAAATCATACCGAAACCATCGAAGTGTGTGAAAAATGGTCTGTATATACCGCTTGTAGGCTGCTTCAGTCGGTGAACTCTTCTTTGTGTAAATTAAAATTTTAAGAACTGAAGGTATTGCTAAAATTGCTACTAGACCCAAATACATTGCAAACATCATAGCAAAATAATTGATGCCCGGTAATAACACCGACCCGGAATAACTTCACAACGCAGCTCCGGAATAAAATCGAAAATTTAAAATGCATAGAGCGGTAATAACTTCACGTATATAGCCTGAGTGAACTTATTCCGGCGTGGCGCAGGAATAACTTCACCTAAAAAATGTAGGTGAAGTTATTCTTGCACGATGTGGGAATAACTTCACTTATATGTGCCAAGTGAAATTATTCCTGCGCCACGTCGTAATAATTTCACAAATTTTTGTTCATCGACATTATTCCGTCTTGATGCAGGAATAACTTCGCTTATAATTTCTATGTGAAGTTATTCCTGTTTTGTGTAATTACTTTTATGTTATTTTTTAAGGGTTTTTTATGATATATAATTAATTAAGTTCTTCAGTAATATGTTTTGAAGTTTGTTGCGGATTTTATTCTAATTTTATGTAAGACAAGATAGTTTCTTATATCTTCGAAATTATTTTGGAATATATGGAAAGTTCACCACTAATTCGTAATTACTTTGAATATCAATTAAAACTTTAATTAATTTTTCTGGAGTTATAGGCTCTTTTGCTGAAATATCTCTATTAGATATAAATCTTGTGATATTAACACATGTTTTTGTATCAAAAAGGCAGGCTTTAGATGAGAATTTAATAGCTAAAATTAACAAAACTTTTGTCAACAGTGTCAATTGGTAACATAAGAGCGCTTCCATACAAAATTAAAATTCAAAAAGTTACACAATTAGCTAATTTTACCTTGTTTAATTAAACTAGAAGCAGGTGAAATGATAAAATATACATTTTTTCAATCCATTAGAAGGATAGCTTGCACCAAAAGAAGTAAAATCTAGTGTTCGAAATCTCACCAAAAAACTCGTGAGAAAAATTTTCTCAGAGAAAACTTGATTTGAAATCTCGCGAGTTTTCAAATCTCGTGAGCTCAATGATTCAGATTCGGAAAAAATGTTCAAAAATTCAAAAATGACATATTAATTAAACTACATCTTTTAAATGCCAGATTTAAGATCTTAACTTAAGGCTTATTCAGTGAAAATATCTCGTTTCAATTTGATGTCTAACTCCAGAAATCTTTAATTTATTTTCAACAAAAATTTGTTTACATTTTGTATATGAAAAAAAAATATGATTTTTTCTACTTTAAGTTGTTATTTGGATGTCTTGAAAGCAGTTGCTAGCTAATTTAAGCTTAGCTTTACATATTAAAACAACAAACTCAATAGAAATCTGCTTATTAAGCCTTAAAAATGAATTGAAATCTGAGTATTTTTACAAAACTTAAACTATTCATAAGTTAAAAGTCTTCCAAAGACCTCTCTGAAACCTATATAAATCAATTAATTAAGCTTAAATCTATCTCCAATATTACTGAGGACATGCCGTTTGATGCCGTTTTCGAGATATTTGCGATCAAAGTTTACATAAATTTTCATACAAAATTTGATCATGCACAATATTTTATGATACACTTTTACAAACTTATGGTAAAAAAACATGTTTATCCTTTATATTAAGGACTGATTTTTTGAGCAATGAACAAAAACATTATGTAGAAGATGTTAAAAGATTCAAATCAAGAGAAATTAACAAAAACTTTCAATTTTCTAATGTGTCGGAAAAATATTGTGCACAAGGAATTTTTGAACATTTTTTCCGAATCTGAATCATTGTGGTGAGATTTTTTTCTCACTTCTTAATCTCAATTGAGATTTTTAAGCCTGCCTTTTTGATGCAAAAACATGTGTTAATATCACAAGATTGATATCTAATAGAGATATTTCAGCAAAAGAGCCTATAACTCCAGAAAAATTAATTAAAGTTTTAATTGATATTCAAAGTAATTACGAATTAGTGGTGAACTTTCCATATATTCCAAAATAATTTCGAAGATATAAGAAACTATCTTGTCTTACATAAAATTAGAATAAAATCCGCAACAAACTTCAAAACATATTACTGAAGAACTTAATTAATTATATATCATAAAAAACCCTTAAAAAATAACATAAAAGTAATTACACAAAACAGGAATAACTTCACATAGAAATTATAAGCGAAGTTATTCCTGCATCAAGACGGAATAATGTCGATGAACAAAAATTTGTGAAATTATTACGACGTGGCGCAGGAATAATTTCACTTGGCACATATAAGTGAAGTTATTCCCACATCGTGCAAGAATAACTTCACCTACATTTTTTAGGTGAAGTTATTCCTGCGCCACGCCGGAATAAGTTCACTCAGGCTATATACGTGAAGTTATTACCGCTCTATGCATTTTAGATTTTCGACATTATTCCAAACTCACGATTTTCTCTACAAGTGAAGTTATTCCGCGTCGGTGTTATTACCGGGCATCAAATAATTATTCTTAAACATTTTTTGCGCACTGGAAATAAGTAAATCTTAATAACTGGCTTTTCCTTATTCTCTACAGACAGTCTAAGTCGTTCGTAAATTACTTAATTCTAAAATTCTAATTCGTCTATTTTTGAATGACATGTAAATTACAAACGACACAAGAGAAAATTTCACCTTTTAACTTTTTGCTCATCATAATAGATAGGAAGCCTCATTTCCGATTTGTCAATACTAATCTCGTGCCCATTTTTTAATTGATTCAAAAACTCTTGCCCTACAAATGAATGCAATTTTCAAACAGTTGTAAATTAGTAGAGAATTTGCGACATACCTTTGCTACTTAACATCTTAGACTAGATATGAAATTTTTGCAATATTGCGAGAGAAATGCTGAAAGATCAAAGCAAAAAATGGAACTAAATGCTGCTCATTTACAAGCTTGTTTAACATAAAAGAAGCTGTTTTTATTCACTTAATTGAGCATTGATTTGAACAGGTTTTAGGCCGAGAGAGAAAAAAATTGCAAGTTCTAATGCACATGCAAAACTGCAGTCTCGTATTAGATATACAAAATACATTAGCGCTCTGTTTACCATTTTAACAATTTGTGATTCAATTTCAAGCTTTGATTTTCTATTGCTTGTATTATTTTTCACAGATACATAGCTACACGCTGAATATCAAATTTTAATATATGTACTCGTTCTCTTAAATAATATCATATTGGCTTGTCTACTTTCAGAAGTACCACGTGCTGTATCCGTTAACTTTCGAAATCTTTTTTTTTTGAAACTTTATTCGATGTTCGAAAATTCGAAAATCACGCTTTAAAAATAATTTTCTTTATTTTCATTTTGAAAAAATTACTTTTTGTCGATTTCTCATAATGTTTGGCGATATAATTAAATGTAAGTAGCATTAACTTAATTAATCAATACGTAATAATATGTGGATATTAAAATATTTTAGAGATATCAATGGAAAAGTTGAAAATTGCCAATTTTGTTATTGAGATAAGAAAAAATTTGAGGTCTGGTAATGTTTTTATTAAATTCAACGAGAAACTAGGCAGTGTAACAACGAAGGTGCTGCTTAAATCTAATGAAATAGTAATTAAAATAGACGATGAGGAATATACGATTGAGACTGCAGATTATTTCCATATTAATGTTCAATCATTCTATAATTTGCTAGTTAAGGATCATTTCATTAGTTTTCGATTCATTACTGATGAGAATCAATTTAATTCAGAGCTCATAACAACAAATTTAGGCAGTGGAATCAACTATGAGAAGTTAAAATTGAGCATCAGTAATGAAGACGTCAAAGTTACATGTTCTAATTGTGATTCATTGCTTACAATTGAAAAAGATGTGAATTTTAAGCGTATTTTGGAGCTTCCATCCAGTAGTATGGCAATAAGTGATTGGTTTTGTCACCTTCATGATGGAGATAAAATATTTAACAATCCAGAACATTGCAACAATAATCATGTGAATGACAAGGAATGCTTCAATGAAGAAACTCAAGTGTTTAAGCCAAAGATTAATGATATATTCTATGGACCATTTCATCTACTGCTAAGTTCTCAACTATTGGAGATGAATCGTTTACGCCCCAAAAAAACTGTACCCAGTTTGATGCATTGCAAGAGATGCTTACAGTTGATGTGTAAACGAAGTGGAAACTCATGCCTAACATTCTGGTGGGAGAATGTCAAATTTAATGGTAAATATCTATATAACGGTATTTCTTCACCAATTGATTTGGTCAAGAAAGTCATTTCTAATCATTTGTCCTGTGATAGTCTCTCGTTTTTATCGCCAATTATAAAAATAATTTTTGAATCAGTAAATCCAAGTACGGGACAAAAAATGCACATTCTACTCCAAATCATGGACAAAAATTTAAAGTTGCTAAAGCTTAATTTAGAAAGCTTTAAAATAATGGAAGTTAAAACAATTAAAGTAATGTATTTAAATTTAAATCATTTAAATTCTGACGACGATGAAAGAACATTAAAATATTGGCAAAAAGATATTAACACAATGACTTTTGAGTTCTCATTCAAAATGTTTCATTTATTCACGGAATATTTGGACGAGCAATCATCAACTATTCCTGAAATGTATCGTTTTAATAATTCCTTTCAATTAAGCTATATTGAAATTGTTTAAATACTTTTTTTTTTTTTATTTTTTATACTAATTTAATTAATGAGAGAGACATGTACGCTTGTTAAAAATTAATGAATGAACGATTCCTTGAATAAATCATATACTATTATTTTTTGAATATCAAATAATTTCACTCTAGATAAACTTTTCTTAAACTCTTCATCAGATACAGCTGATTCATGATATTATCTGCGTTGATATTTGGGCAGTTCCTTAGGTACAGATATTTTATGTCCAAACAGTTTTGGTAAATGTGGTCGAATATTCTCTCCGTGATTTTCTCGTTGCCTAAAATGACACAAATTTATAAAATATATTATTTCTTACCGTATATTACTTACCATTAAGCTTTAAAGTATGCAATCGATGAAGATGCTTTGTAACAATTTCGATAGTGTCATCATCTACACCATCAACTTCTCCTAAATCTAAAATCTCAATAGCTGGACAGTTCTTAACTAATGCTTCTAAACCTTCTCTTTTGAAGTGAGTTCTCGCCATATATAATTCACGAAGTTCATTAAACTCAAAACTATCAATTAGAGCAAAGTCTGTGACCTTGTAACAATTTTGCATTCGGAATATTCGAAGTCCTCTAAGATTCTTTATTGAAAAATAACATTGATTTTGAAACTTTCCTGTTAATCCATAATCTAAGGAGGAGATGAGTCAATATATATTGATTATTAATAAAAAGGCATAACATATACATATTAGCGGTGACGTCAAAGTCCTGACTCCTTTACGAAATACTTTTATGCTGCGCGTGATAGAAGCTTACCTGATATTTTACAGCAGCTGTCTAAATTAAGGAACCTTATTTTTGTAAAATGACAGAAAATTGTTTGCAAGGCATCGTCTGCTAAATTTGTTGAACCACCCAAATCAAGATGTGTTATTTGCTCATGAAATTTAGGTCCAAGTCTAACAAACATGACTTCGGTTATATTTGACAATAATGCGAAATACAGTTCCTTCATATGCTTCTTAGGCGTTCCAATCATTAAAGCGTCATGGATTCCCTCATCAGTCACTAAATCGCAGGCAGTTATGTCAATTGCTTCTAAATATTCACATCGTGATATTGGTACTAAGCTATAGTCAGTGACATGAGAGCACTTTCGTAAAATTAATCGTCTGATGTGCTTTAAATTTGTAGAAATTTCCATTAGAATAGTTTCTTCCACTGCTGGAGACTCAGAGAGATTAAGCATCTCCAACTCATTTTGAGCTCTTAGTAACGGAATCAATCCGAACTTATTGTTTGTGACGCATCCATTAAACGTAAGTGACAATGATTTTAATTTTAGACATTTTACTTCAGATAATTGTTGCAGGAAATAGTCGTCCGTAAGAGTATGTGTGAGATTAATGGCCTTTATCGTGTCACCATATCCTTTTAAATAAAAAATGAAGTGATCAAGTAACATATTTCTATCTCGTCCATTCAATTTTCCAAGGCAATAAGATAAATCAATTTCTCTTAAATTCGGTGCTTTTGAGACCATATAATCAAATATTTTACGGTTAATGAAGGCATTTTTAGCTAATGAAATGTGATAGCAATTCTCAAAGACAAACAGGCGCTCACTGTAGTCATTTCTGATGTGCCATGTTGCAAATATAGAGTTTGACTCAATCTTTAATACTTTTAAATTTTTCGTCCATCGAATAATATTCTCAAATTCTTCCTTTCTCAATATTCCGTTGCGGAAGTAAATCTCTTCGATGTTAAGACCTTGAAAGAATGGCAAGAAATATCATTAATTTTTATTTTTTCAAAACTTAAGTTATTCACTAGTCAAAAGCACTACTTAAACTCACCATAATCTAGCCAAAATGACTGAGCAGCAATATCAAAGTTTCCGGTATTTAAAGAGATAATAGGAAAAATCCTTAACGAGTCAACAAACTGTGATATCTGAACTGAAAACTCTTTGTAATAAGAATCAACAAAGTGCAGCATGAAATTTTTCGATAGCTTTTTGTACATGCATGCCGATAGAAATTTTCGAGAGACTAAGGCTACAAACTTTAAATCACTTGGATTTAAAAACTTGAAGATATGAACGATGATCTAAAAATAAAAATTGATTTATATTACGTTAGTTCAGAAGCTAATTACTCGTCACATATAATAATTTAAATTGAAGATTATCTAATATTTTTTTTTTTCATTTTTAGATTATCAATTGAAGATCATTTTGCAAGGTTTGCATGTCTTACTTCCATAGGTACTTTGTCGAAATTTGATTCCAGCTCTTCTTCATTCTCTTCAAAAGTTTCATTTTCACTTGATAACGTGTCTTTACTTTGTTCTGGTTCCAATATGGTGTCTTCATAATTAACAACCTCCTCGATATTTGTGCATTCTGGATTAAGACTATAACTCACGATATCAAAACAATAATTCATGTCACTGTCAGTTTCAATTGTTAAGCTTTCATCTTGTTCATCTTGATTTAGTTCTGGCATGATTTCCTGATCTTTAACTTGATTTTCAATAGATTCTTGACTAGAATCAATATTTTCTTGCATAGACACTTGATCTTCCTGATTAGTATTAATATTATTTTGAGGTATTGGAGGTGGTGTTGGGGGTTCAATATTTATATCAAATTCTGAGTAATCAATAAGACCAAAATTAAAGTATTTATCATACTCTGAAGGCATATATCCCATCGAATATTATTTTATTGTTTCCTTTTTTCCTGCTTTCACTGTCTTTGACCACCAAATTGAAACTAAATGCATCTGAAGTCGTGATTTCAATAATTATAATTTTATCTTCTTCTTATCGAAATATTGCATCATTTTCATTGGGGTGTGTAAATCTATTTTTTTAATTTACGATATTTAAATCTAATGACAGTAAACAAGCAAGACGTAAATGACGTTGACCATAGATGATACATTTTTCTTCTATCCTCTATGTCTCGATAATTGTTTTGACGATATATTGAACTTCATTCATCCTCACGCGTATTGTTTGTTGACTTTTTCCTACATTGTGCATTATATGTCGTTAAAGTATCAGATTTTTTTGAGGTGAGAGGTTTTGACATTTTTTGGTTCAAAAAAAACCTAGTAAATTTACGTAAGTTTCTATAGTGTTGGGTTTTCAAATCCTGAAACCTCTCATGTTGATCTAATGACATCAGAAACTTTTCACAGAAATGCTACAATTCATAACATGTGCTTCTACGTAAAAGCTTTATGTAAAGCAGCACATTATCAAAATCGGAATGTGTCTCAATAATGTTAAACATTAAAATTATTTATTTGCATAAGACATTATTAAGGGAAATTTTGATGAAGATTCATTTCAATTTAATATTAATTTTTATTTCACAATTGTATGAAAAACTGAATTATGACTCATTAGAGATTGCAAAAAAAAAGTTTCTAACGGATATAAATTTGAAAACTATGTTTAAAAATATAAAGTAAAGTAATCAACGGTTTTTTCACATATCAAAACTTTATTTTAATACCTGTTAATTTTTAACAAGCCTTATTGAGATTTTCCCGAGATTAATATATAAACACTCGTCGTTTAAGTATGAAAATCAGTCATTCAAGGCATTTAAAAAATATTCAAAGTAGGAAAAGAAGAAAAGAGAAGGGTAAACTCTACAAAAAAATATCGGAGACTTTACCCATTATGTAGACTCCTAAGAAGAGTAATAAGCAAAATAAATTAATTAAAAAAAAGTCGCTAAGGTGATATTTAGCTGTAAAAGTTAAGATCAGAAAAGCTAGAAGGATATAATAGAAAGTCGAGGAAAGTGGAAGTTTCTCAAAAATTGCATTTTGAAAGGAGATAAATCGAAAAAGAAAAATCACCGTTTTCTGAAGAAAAGTAAAAGAGTAAATTTATATTTTTAATTGTGATTTAAGAGTAAATTTAATATTAATAAGAAAGTATAAAGTTTAATGACTGCTAAAAGAGTGAAAAAAGTGAAGTAAAAGGCTTTAAATTGAATACAAATAGCTCACGGGAAGTTTGGCACAGAAAAAAAATAAAAGAGATCCAGCGAACGACGCCATTTTGATATATAGAAATTGCGTAGTAATTTTAAAGAAAAAAAATAACAACTTCTCATCATCTCTTTTGTGCGCAAAACAAGTCAAGCGAGTTACGACGTTAATATACATAAAAATAAAAAAAATTAAGAGGCAAAGCTAAAAGAAAGAGTGTATTGAAGAAGAAAATTTGTGGACTAAGTACTTTTTAATATAATTTAGTTTTTTCTGTGATACAAATTTTACAAAAAACAAGGATTATTAAACAACCAACAACAACTGCAACACAAAGAAAAGCTTAACAATATAAAAAGTTCAATTTAACTAGTTAAAGTGCAACAACAAAATTTCACTCAAACGAAAGTATTGCAGATTTTTGTTTCGGGTTTTTAATATAGGTGAGTTACAGCAGCAGATTTCTCTTTATTCATTTTATTATTATTTTACGTTATGTACGTATACAAAGATGGTATCTGTCTGTCTATATATATACGTTAATTTTACTGTTTGTTATGTACAATATACTCCGTTTGATGGATATATTTTCTTCTTTTCGTGACTGTCTGTTTTTCTTTAGTTAATACCTAGCCATACTTTATGTGTGCTTACAAAAATTATAATATCCTAATTTTCCATTTCTTTTATCTCTTTATTTTCTCTTCGTGCTACGATTTGAATGTCTACCTGTCTATCCAACATGTATGACTCATAATTTGGTCCATAAAAATATAAATTATAGAGGATTCGATTTTACTCATCTAATACAAAAGTTTATAACGAAAAACCAAGAAGAAGATAACAAGAAAATCGAGAAAAATGGGAACTAATAACAAGAATTATAGCGATCATCAAAGGACGTTTAACAATACAAGTCCAAGCAATAAGAAACAGTACTCATCTCAAAGGCCCTCGCCATCAAAGTCTATTAATATTAAAACCCCGAACAAAAATTTTAATGTTGCGGGAAAAAATAATTATTATAATAATAATTATAACAACAACAATAATGTTAATATAACTACTACAACTAATAATAATAATAATAATGCAAATCGTCTTAGTCTCAGTGGATCACCAACAAACTCATTCTTTGCTGCAAGCAAATGTTTTGAATCACCATCGCCCGATTCTCTCCCGAGACCTCCATCAACATGGACAACTGAAAACTTTAGTACAACTACACAAAGTAGCACAATTCATCGCGTACGTAAAGCATTAATTATGCCAACTGATACTATTAACAATTCTTGTGCTATGGAGTTTGCCGCGGCATCTTCGTTCATCGATAGAAATGATCATTTTACGCAAAGCTTAAAACTTTTGCTCAACGTCAATGCATAATTTTTTTTTACATAAACAAGAAACGATTTTATTTCTCAAATCTTCAATTGTTCTGGATGTACCTTATAAAACTAACTTGTAAAATATCATCAGCAGCAAGCTACAACAACAATTATACATTTTTGAGTTCTTTTTTGTAAAAAAGTAATAACGACAAGTTCAGGATTCTTGCAAAGAAAGAAACAAAATCTCTAGTAAGACAATTATTTTCCTTTCTAATACTTAATTCTTATTTTGTTTTTTTTCATAACTATTAAAATTATTAAATTGTGAAATCTGAAATATTTCAAACTTCACCCAGTGAAAATTTATGTGAAGAAACATGACAACAGCCTGATTTGATGAGAAAAGTGTTAGTTTATAGAATGTATTATATTTGTACATGAAAAAGCACAATAGATATTGGCTTAAGTTGAAAAATTTCAGATTCTGTTTAAATTGATTGATTTTTATACAAAAAATTACCATTTATGTTTCCAATAGTTTCCTTTTCCCCTCCTAAAATATTGTACAAAGTCAAAATTATCTAACTTAAACGTTCTGTTTTCGTCTTGTAATAAGGTACCGATCAAAATTTTATAAATTTATCCATATTTGATTTTCTTGATGTGAATCATCGACCAAAATTATTATTTTTGTTTTATTTTAACTGGTTTTCCTTTGGTTTTTACCGCATTTTTGAAAACTTGTTTCGAAACTGGAGCCTAATAATACACTTTGCTCGTTCGTTCGGCTGGGAAATCTGAGTTTTCATTAACCAGATATTTTAAAGATCTCGAGTTTGTTTTAATAGCTCAGTTCTATCAAGTTATTGGCCGATCGAAAAGTTAAAAGTCTTGAAATAGTGTATTTGTACTATAATTAATGATTTTTTAATTAAATTTGAAAAATACGTGATAATTGCGTTCAAAAATTTGAATTGCAAAAAACCGTAACATTAAACACGTGACGAATGTTTCAAAAAATTAAATTTTCAAACAGTTATTAAATTAGAATTTTAAAAAACAGTTAAATTACAAACGCTTTCTATATTCTAAGAAATGATTAAAAAAATCCAATCTGTGAATAAACTAATTTGATAATCAAACACTGATCGCTTCGTCAAAAATGCGCTGAAGTCCCTCGATCAATAACACGAGGACTTTGAAAATTTTTATTTTAATTAAGCTAAGCAAAATTTATTTTATTTTATTATTGACGTGATCGTTTTATTCGATGAAACAAAACAAAAATTGCAGTGCATTGAGTAATAAAAGTGCAAAGATAATAACTAAAAGAGAAACTTCAAGAAATTTGCATTTGTGTTTTGCAAAATCATGCAACAGTCATTCATATCTCTCTCCACACTTTTTATTCAACTCACAATTTCCTCAACAAAAAAAAAACACGTATGATATTCCTAATAGTTTTAAACTGATATAGAATTTGATCTCTCTAGTTTTATTGAAATCAATATGCTAGTACAAAAAGCATAATCTGGTCGGCAGCAATGTACTTTTCCCGATTTTTTATGGTAAACTTTCTCTGATAATTAACGGTTTTTCAGAATTCAAATATTATGTATTTTTGCTATAAAATCGACTTTTGCTATAATTTCAAAATTTGAAATTAAATCTTAAACTGAAGTTTAAGAACTGCTAAAATTTGAATTCTGAAAGACGATGAATATGAAAACAGCTAGAATATCAAAGCATAAGGGAAAGTGCATGGACTGAATTAAATTCAACAGTTTGGTAGCAAAATTTCCACATCAATTCTCTAAATAAATATAAATATAAAAATTAGTACTAGATCGTTCGATAGTTGCTTATCAAATGAACTTTATAACTGCATTGAGATTGATATGAAAGGGTTATCGCATGATTTTGGAACAAAAAATAATAAAACTATTTTAAGTTATTTTTTCGAGAAAAAAAATAATGATAATAACAATGTATAGGTGTTTAATACAAATGAAAAAAGATAATTCTTTTTTAAAAACTTGAATGGTCCAAACCAAAATTTAAAAAAAAAATGAATGAAAATGTAATTATCATTAAAAGATTCTGAAGAAGGAATATTGATCTAAAAAATAGATCAATATAGAAACTGATGACAGAAAAAAAAGTAATAAGAAGAAATGATAATTAAAAAATGATGGAACATGTATAAAGAAGTATAAGAAGAATTTAAATGGTTTGGTATCACAAAAAATATAATAAAATACAAACAAAGTAAAGAAATGATGATAAAGAGAAATTAGAAAGCCATAAATACATTACAAGCTGTATAGCTATGATGATATAGTAGTTAACAGAAGTTCACAAAATTAAGCTATGTGTATCGAAGGAGATGATGAGAAGAATTGCAAAAAAAGGGTTGAGGAGCAATAAGATGAGAAAAAGAACCGTATTTTATTATCAGCATTAAAGTCCAAAGCATCAAAATGATTCAAGATTGTGATACTTTTTAAGGCACTTTATAAGCGCCGAGCTTCCACAGAGCAGGCACACTAATTGAGTCGTTTTGGTGATTGAAATAAATTTCTACATTAAGCTCTGTTTTGTTCTTAATCAGTTACACTTAAATGAATTTACGGCATTATTAAGTTGTTATTTGTAATGAAGGCATTTAAATTATTATTTTGTTGATAGACTCAAAAAAATGGAACAAACAACAGTCAGTTCAAAGTCAGTCAATATTCAGAGTTGTTATCTCGTTTAAGACAATATACGCGAAATTTCTGTCAAATATTAGCTTGTCATGAGATGCATCTAAAGTTTGATATTTGAGGATTGCTCAAATTGGCAAAAATTGTATGCAGCAGAAATTTCTATTATAAAATGTCAACCGATTAGCAATTTTGAAGCATTATGCGATTTCAAATATAATTTAGATTGCATTTTATTATTTCCCCGAGCAATACATCACAGCATTAATTGTCATGATGTGCCACTCGGTTTTATTTTCATCTTTCTGATTGTTTTGAGTTCATTTAATGAACTTTCATTCTTAACTGATTGCTTCTCAATTCCTTGTAAACATGGTGATTGTATTAAAATTAATAGAGTATGAATGAGTGACATCGTACAGAAAAAAAAAGTATTTCTGATGTGTAGAATTTATATTATAATTTTTAATTTTTCGCAATAGCAATTTCTTTCAAAATTAGCCAAACAAAAAAAAAAATTTAAGCTGAGAAAAGAAATTGACGTGTTCATGAATAATATCAAGGTATTTTTGTGTGATTATTGTCAAATTATTATTGAATCAAAAAAAAAAAAACTTGTTGGAATGAGAAAATCATTATGAAATTCATATTAAAATTGATGTTTTTGTAGAAAGATAATAATGTAAAATTGATAAATTTTTGAATATGCTTTGATGTTATTTAATGAATCGCGTCACAAATTTAAAAGATTTTTAAACAACTCAGATGTGTAATATTGAAAAAAAAATTAATATCATAGAAATTTTAAAGAGAAAAAATATCAGAAAATACCAAAATCAATGCAGTTTTGAATGAAACAAAAGCACTTTTTTATGATTTTTTGATCTCTGAATTTTCTACATTCTTGAAAATTCAAATCTTCAATGTCACGTTAAAAAAATAAATATTTTGTAAATTCAAAATTGCATATTATCATGAATATCCAAAAAACTCAAGTACTATAAATCCAATAATGTGTAACATTTCACGAAAAAAAAATATTTGTTCTTTTCGAATGCTTAATTTAGATACAAAAAGTATAAAGAACTTCATTGAAATCACAAAGAAACATTCTATCACACACACAAAATAGTAGATGACCTTTTTAAGTTTGTTCTTTCCAAAAAAAAAAATCGTAAAAATATCCCTAAAACAGTGCTTGTCAAACTATGTGTCGCGACATGTGAAAGAATTCCAGGCGTGCTGCATGATTTTTCAAAAAAAAAATAAAATCTTGACTTGAATGCTGTCTGTTTTTACATTTTTACATGACATTGATTTTAAAACTTAAATTTGTATTACAATTTTGATCCTTTATGTCTTTAATGGACAATAAATATGGATCTATATGTCTATAGGAAGTTAACTTGACTAAAATTAAGGTTTTGAGTATCGGTCCTAAAATTTATACAGTATCAATACTGAAAACCTCAAAACCTTAGTCATTGACCTACAAAAAGTTGAAAACTGACAGTTTTCTTGTCAATACAGCCGCCAAAAATGTGTCGCTAATCAAATAAGTTTGTCAGGCACTACCATAAAAGCTACTACTATATGTAAATTATGAATAAGATCAATTAATATCAAAGATCTATTAAATTTAAATAAGATTTCAAACAAAATTGCATATATAAAGTATAAAGACAATTATGTATCTTTGAACAGAGTAAAAAGTTCTTGAAACCCATTGACATAGCGTATGACGTATGATACTAAATAAGGATACTGAATGAAGGCTATAATACTATGAAAATGATGAGAATTTTTTATTTATCAAAGAAATTGTTTCTTAGACTGATGAATTTGAAAATTTTAAGAAGGAAGGATGTAAAACATATGAAACTAAAGAGAACTAATTGAGTTGGTGAACTTTTGAAAAAGAAAGGAAGGCAGATTAAGAAGAAGAAGTGAAGAAATCAAAAACGCTCTAAAAATTATTATTTTTATAAGAAATGAATTTAAAAAAAAAAATTACAAAAAAATGAAACACAAAAATACAAATGTCCCAAAAATCAATTGAAAGCAAGCTATTCACAAATGACGCTGTTGAAAGTTAATAGTGGGTGGGTCAACTGTTTTCGGTTTGTTTTTATATTTCATATGACACGTGGGAACATTTTATAGAACAAAAAAAAATCATGTCATGATATGTAAATTAAAGCGTCATTTGTGGATTTTTGTTGTTAATCCTGATTCCAAAAAATTTTTGTTTACTCCCAAAACAAAAATCAATTTTCATCCCATCCTTAATTTCCCATCTTTCCCAAAGGACTCTTTTTAATCTCATTCCCAGTCATTCAGACACTATCCCAATTATTTTTAATCCCATAAAATTTCAAAACCCAAAAAAAAATTTAAGAAAGAAAGAAATAAAGAGATTTGTAAAACTTTGTCCCGAATTCCTTAAAACTTCATCCCCATTTTAAAAAGAGTCCGCCAAATAAATTGAAAAAGAAGAAAAAATAATTATCACAAAATGATGATATATCGACGGTACTTAAAACACTCTATGCTGACGATGATGATGATGAGATGTCCTAGACGAAGAAGATTGATGCAAAAGAAAGATGAATTACGGCAGCATTGTTCATGCTAATGACAATTATGACGACATTCCCCCCATACACAAGAACAGACGACTACATGATTTGGCACGTTTGAACACTCATTTATGGTACGTATGCTGAAAAGATTTGCTTGTACAGTTTTTGAATTTCAGGTTGAATAATGCTTCTGTTACTGTTTTGTCTGATGTCTGATGTCCTTAAACTTTTTAATAGATGTCTAATTACTATAGTTCTAAATGAGGATAGATAGAGCTCTTCCTTATATTTTCTGGAACTGTCACATATATTAAGCCTCACGTTTCCTTCCTAAATGATATTCTCTATAACTTAATGTCCCCTATTCCAATCTAAAAACCGTTAAATGATTGCAAAAAAATATATAAAAGTAGTCACTTTTTTCAGGTAATAAAGAAACTTCCAGAACAAAAAAAAAGTAATTTTGTTTAAAATGTTTCATGAAATTTTTAAAATGCATTTTATTATTCGAAGTTTGAAAGTTTTCTTTTTAAATTTTTAATAATTTTTTTTATGTTTCTGTTCAAAGCAACTACAGTTTCGTTATATGTTATAAAATCAGAAAAATAACATTTAGACAAAAGTGTATGACCACTATAACTGTTTCCAAATAGACAAGTGCAGTAGATTTAGGCTCCAAATTGGATTTCTTCGGTTCGGTCACAAGGAATGTGACATAAGGTCGATCTGACTTTGTGTAACATTCAGCAATCAAACGAGCTATCTCTTGATGTTGCCTACCCTCTATTTTGTGATTGTCGACTTCCATAATTAATTGACCAACTTCAAGGCCGCCTGCTTCAAACGCTGCTCCATTTTCCTATAAGAATCAATGCCAAAAAAAATTTTGTATTGTGTCAGTCATGTGGTTTGACTTTATGGTTATTGATGTTGTGTCATTTGCTTACGTGAATATTTATGATTCTTGGCAAGGGATGTTTTGTATTCGATCCGCCCTCAATTGCGAGTCCTTCATTATTATTTTATTTTAATAGTCGTTTTCATTTACAGAAACAATAAAAGAGAATTTTTAATGAGATTTTAGGGCATTCTTTAATGTATGTAAGAAAATGGAAATTATCACCACCCAACAAAAGTTTCAAGTTTCCCTCATACACGAATAATATTTTATGGCTATTGCTAAATTGTTTAATGGTTTGTTTTACCTAATATGGCTTTCGTTTTCGGGATGGATACCAATAAATTTCCATCGCTATTTTGTATGACGTTTGAAGACCTCATTTCGTTTGAAGGCTTTCGAACGTGCTCACGAGCTCTTTCGTGATGTATGTGAGGATCATTTCTCAATTGGTTTTTTGACTGCAAATTAAATTTTATTTTTAGAAATTGATATTGCTTATAATCGAGTTAATTTTACCAATGGACGTCCAAAATACCAAGAATGCAATCTCTGCGTAATCGATCGAATACCGTCAAAGCTCAAGTAGCTCCCCTAAAAGTATTTAAATGCACATTTTCAATCGAGTGAGTTCTTAATTTAGAATAGTGCATATTGGCACTTGTGTGTGCTCTAATTAGAAAATAAGACAGCACTTTCTAGAAAAACTACAACAAAGTGCTCAATTAAAGAGCACTAATCTATTTTAAAAATATATATATATATATATAAATCTATTTTAATGTAATTTGATTACATACTGAGTGTAATCCTGAATGATTAAGTTGATCATCGATGCCTCTACTTCCAAGCTTATTTTTAAAACCTCCCTATAATTTAATTATGTATGAGCAATGAAAAGTAAAATCACACAAGAGCATAAAGGTTTGAAAAAATTAATTAAACAATGAGAGAATAAAAATCTATTGTTAGCTTAATTAACATACTCCACTACGGCCATAAAGAGTAGCTACATTATTTGATAGAACATTCACGGTTACGCCATGTCGAAACATCAATTCATCAAATCGTAGTCTATCCTCTGGATAAATAATATCACGTATTTCAGAAACTAGACTATGCTGTAAATATGAAATATAATATTGATAAATTTTTCTATGTCTATATCTATACAGCTATATATAAATATATTAAAAGAACAAATTGTAATTTGGGGGAATTAATTTGTTTCTAAGGAATACTAATAATAATTCAGTTATTCACGAAATCATAAGGTAATCGTTCAACTTCTGATGTATCTGAGCGCATTTTTGTAATGACTAATCCAGCTTCTAGACTCGAGTAAGCTTCAATTTTTACCAATTTTGTGAAAGTTTGTTCCAAAACCTCTACCCCCATCCCCTATACTATTAGAAGTAGATCCTTGAGACGTTGAGTTTGTTCTCAAGTTCATTATTGAATGTACTCCAGATTCCTCGAAGTTCACTAGCTTTACCTTTTTGGACTATCAATAAAAATTTTATTTGCTGATTTTTATTTATTTTGCTTAAAAAATCACTGGCTAATACAAGAGAATAGAGTTTGACTCCAAACAAAGGCTTAATTAGGCCCCTGTGAAGTATTAAAACAGTTGATAGACTAGATCATATTCAGGTCAAAACTCAATTTAATTAAACCAGACATCACCACAATGCGGCTAGAAAACTTGCTTTCAAAAATGCGCAAACAGACGACAAAAGGAAGAAGAACAAGGAAACTTTTGAGAATATAAATGACTAAGAAATCATAATAATTTTTTGCATGCTTCCCTAATAGAAAATTCAACAAAAACCGAAAGAAAACACAAAACAAAAGAAGGAACAAAAAAAAAACAAATGTATAAAGACGAGAAAGTAAAATTTGTCGATGAGAAGTAAGTAAGTAAGTAAGTGAGTAATATAGCAATAAATATTGATTTAAAAAGAACAAGAAATTGATCGATATAAGGGTAAGATTGAATAAACTATTAAAGAGAGAAAATGAGTGGAGAGGAAATGGAATCCAAGTGGCATTCGATCATCCTCTCCCCATTAATCATCATCATCATAATAAAAAAATTTACCTTTTCTGGTGTATCTAGCAATTCTAAAAGTATCGTAACAAATGTTTCAATGTCCATATTCCTTTTCGCTCCATATTCAGATATATTGTGAATCAAATTCAATAAATGATTGCGTGACAATAGTGATCTAGCTTTTTCCTCAATCGAAGATATGCTACAGTTTTTCTTAATTGCTTTTAAAGACGTGCTAATGTGTCGACTTGTCGACGTATCTCCAGCGTGCCAGGATGACGAAGATTGTGGGTAATTATTATTAAGATTATTATTATTATTACTATTATTATAAGAACAAGAGTATGGAATTTTTCCAATATCTCGAATAAGAAGTGTCATTCGCTTGTGACATTTTAATAAATTTACAGCTTCATCATGAGTTATTTCTAAGAAGGAACGGTTGTTAACTTCCAATATTTGATCTCCAATCTACAAACGAACCAGAATTAATTTAATTCCCTCCCATAACAACTTCTTAACATCATAATTACCATCAAACCAGCTCTTTCAGCTACACTATCCTTATCAACACCTGTGACAAAAATCCCCAAACCATACTCGATGCCTCCTCGTATCATTAATCCTAATGATTGACCAGGTTCAATGAGTAAATCGATTCGCCTTACACGATCTGTTTTCTCAACACGTCGATGACTATATTCGTGAGGAGGCGATACAGAACGTCCATGCCTATCTATCCATATACATCCAAGCTTTAATGGTGGAGCTGAATGAATTGAGCCAGAATCACCACCAACTGCAGCACCGCTGCTATGTGGTTGATGAAATTCTTGAGGTACAGGAATATAAAGTTCTTCATCACGTGGATACTGATGCAATTGAGACTCATCGAAGCTATTATATTTCATTGTTGCATGCGCTGATGACCCACCACTGCCTTCAGGCGATCGAACAGTCATCGAGCAGAATTTTTCTGCTTTTAAGATTTGTGTACATTTTTTTACAGCCTCTTCGTGCTGAAGAGATGTAAATGGAGTGCCATTTATTTCCAAGATTGCATCGCCAGCTCTCAATCCACTAAGATAGGCTGGCGAACCAATTTCAACTTTTGAGACATAAACACCACGACCTGTCGTTTTGTTTCCCCTCACACACAATCCAAATCCATTATCCTCCTTCGATGCTGCTGCTGCTGCTGTTGAATGTGGATCATTTTTTGTATTTCCTGATGATTTATTGCTGCTACTTGAATGATGTGATGTCTGCTTCAATGGTAAACTCAAATTCTGTGAGTTTGCTTTTGTACTATCACTTCTCTTCAAATGAATGGTACGTGTTGCTAATTGATGGATATTTGGTATGCTGTGACTCATGTGTTGATCCCTCATTGTACGATACAGCTATAAATTATAGATTTTTTTTTTTTAAATTGATTAATTAATTAGACAATCATTTGAGAGGAGAAAAAAAAAAATGATGGAAATGGCAAGTTAACAAATGAGAATTAAAAACTTGCTAAATGACTGTAATTTCACACAGTATCAACAGTTTGGTAATTTGAGTGCAGAGAAACGGCACAAGAAGTAAATTGAATCAAATGTACGAATCATTCGCTACAGTTGGCGAAATTACAAGTTTAACAACTTGGCATGCACAATATTGAGTTACTAAAAGAGCCCGATAAGATCTTTATAATAGAGAGGGAAATGACTTGCTATACATGTTCGCATTAGAATAATGCCTAAAGCACACACATCCGGGGAGTATTCAGATTTTTTTTTAAAGGGTGTACTTACTTGATGTGTCATTGTTGGTGGGCTTGATGCTGACGATGGACTCTTTCTTCCTCGTTGGTGCTCGTTAATAATAGCGGAACCGCTGCTTGTTCGTTGTCGATTTGTCGATGATGGTTGCGGTTGATGCTGATGATGCCCAAGAAAACCAGTTAAATGCGGATGTGCTGGATGAGGATGTGGAGCGCCGTGATGTGGAACTGAAAATAGTTGTATAACTTCCTCAGGTGATATAACTTTTCGCTTAAAATGATTTGAATTGACATTTTTACTGTTACTCCTTGCATTGGAGTTTGAATTGGATGGCATGTGTTTCTGATCATTTGCCATTTTATTATTATTGCTGTTCATTTTGCTACTACTATAAGCGGATGATGCTGAGACGGAATTACTCTTATTCAAACCCTTAACTGTTTGAATATTATTTGTAGAATGTAAAGCTAATGGCGATTGAACTGAATTATTGCTAAAGTCTTTACTTGGATGTGAAGATGCTCTACTATAATATGAGTTTTGTGAATGTGGACGAGGATGTTGCAGATAATTTATATCACTGCTGCTGTAATGTCGACGATGATCTTGTATGTTGTGAGGATGATTATAGGATTTATCTATATTTTTTTTTCATGTTTATGGAACAGTCCAGAATTAGTTTTGGATGTAATTCATATATAAGCAAAAAAAAAGAGCAGAAAAAAAAGAATCATGTCATTCAAAATGATCTATCATCAAAAAAGAAAATTGTTAATCGCGAAAAATAATCTAATTACAGAAGAGGAGAGGTAACTACAAATGGATATTAGCGGTCTACTAAGTATATATTACGGGCTTTCCACACAACGACTATGTTCGTCAGTAACACTTTATTTCAAAGTTATAGAAGCAGTAAAAACAAGCATGACTGTCGAACATTTTTTGGGAATTTCCGTGAATTATTTTTTAATGACTTATGGAATTGTAAATTCTATCAAAACTAGTTTGATTTTATGAGAATTCCCAAAAAATTCGTCAAGACCCTTGGATAATCAAGTAATCAGGTTTTGAGGATATTAATGTCAAAAGCTTAATTTGTAAGGAAAAGAAGCTCTTAATTTATGTAATTTATTGGAAAAACACGTTACTTAGTAATGTATGTTATTTTATCGGGTATTATTTTTTTTGTGTGTGTGATTGTGATTTTTTTTTTTCTTACGAACCAAACGATCTTGATGTAACGGATGAATTAGCTAAATAGAAGCTCTGTTCATCATATGGCTTTTTCGTACTATTATTACTCAATGTACGATCATGTCTTCCTCGATCAAATTGTTGTGCATTTACATTCTGACTATACATGAGACTAAGAGTTTCAGTATCGTCTAAATCAACTATATCAGCATAAACATTATTATTCGAATAACTTAGCAAGTCGAACGATGATGGACTACTATTGTTATTATTGGAAATATTCTCAATGTTTTCAAATTTATCTGTATAAATTTTATTATTATTGCTCACGCCAGTTTTCATCTTCTCGAAGAAATTATCATCTGCAATAGAAGAAACAAGGTGGCATTAGTACTTTTTCACAAATTAGCTAAGGGGCCATTCACTTATTACGTAACGCTTTTAGGGGGAGGGGGGGGGTCTAAGATTTTGTTACGATTCAAACAAGGAAATTTTTTTTTCATACAAATTTTGTTACGAGGGGGGGGGTCTAAGAAGTCATTTTTTCGCGTTACGTAATAAGTGAACAGCCCCTAAGCACATCTTTGCACCAGCATGTCACTTTTAACGTATTTTTTTTAAAATATTCAAACACCAATATTTTTTTTTGAAAATTTAACATTTTCTAGCACCAACACATTCGTATTTTGAACTGCTAGAAAATTGACATTTAAGAATGACTGAACAACTTCACAATTTTATTTTCTTTTAAACTCAACCCAAATGAACTGGATTTTTAATAAATTAATAATGTAGATCTAAAGTGAACAGGCATTAACTGGGCAAAAATGCGCTACATAGAAAAAAATTGAATTGCATTAGAAAAATAATAAAAAAAAAAAGCTCGTTCTCTCTCTTTCCACTATCTTATGAGATTTAATTTCAATTTGTGTAAAGCATTTGGCTCTTGGCATTTGGCATTGCTTTCCAAAAAAAAAAAAAAAAGAATCGGAGAAGAAAGAAGGAAAATGGGAATGAGAATGAATGGAATATTTTTTTTCTATTTATTTAGTTTTTAATTACGAAGAAATATGTTTTCATATAGATAGACATATAAACTTAATGTATAATATATTGAATATTTTGCTTTATTATGAGTGAGCATGGTAGCAGCAGAGGGAGCCAAGGGAGGGAGGAGAAAAATGAAAATTGATTGAAACTTCCATGGTCACATATATTATGAATATGTATAAAATAAATACTAGTATATTCTCATTACGACTTTCGTTTATAAATGTTTGTTGATTTTCATGAAATTCATCCCCTGAATATGCCAATTTGTAAATTAATGCTATTTACGTGCACAGTATAATTTCTTTTAATAGGGAACGAGAGTTGAGGCGGAGGTGTAAGTTTAACGGAAACGTCTAAATGAGCATTTTACACAATCGTCACTTTATTAAACTTTCTTTTTTTTTCTTTTCATATTTTTTTTATATATGTATATATATATATATATATATATATATATATATACTATATATATTTATTTCAATGGCCATAGTTTACTATTTTTATGCTTCATGGAAAAATCGATAATGCTCACTTGAAAAGCATGGATCTGAAAAAAGGTATTTAATTATTTAGATAGTGCACTCTATTTTTATAATCCTTTTGTGTCTCTATTGAATCGCCCATGCCTTTAAGGAATTTTCACAATTATCGAAGAAAAAATAATCTCAACAAGATTTTCCACGTTAGTGTCTATCATGTTTCTAATTATATCAAGTTTTGGCACTTTTTCTTCAAATCATTCTCATTTCACGAAACATTTTTTTTTCAGATTTTCATTTTTAATGTTTTGGAATTTTCTTCTCGCCTTTTTTTTCTCATTTTCCTTTTTTTTCCTCATACGAAAAGAAAAAAATTTTCATTTTCATTTCTTTCACCTTTAAATGCTCTTTTATTCACATTTAACTTACTTTAAACGACACTTAAAAATTAAAATCTGTATCACAAACTATCACAAGTTGAAATCAAATTAGATTAGAAATGTTTAAGTTACATTCACACAGGATAAATAATAAAAATTAAATCCTCACGACTTTATGGTAAAATTATTTTTTCCCCAAGTTCATCGACAAAAAGCTCAAAAGACTGATTTGTGATGAGGTGCCGAAGCGAAGAAGCATGAAAGTCCTGTAAGGAAATTTTTATATTTGCAACAATAAGCTTTCCAAGGCATGCGCGTTTATCAAGATATAATAGAAATCCAACATTAGCATATTTGTTTGTTGTATTATTCGGTTTAAGACACATTTTATTTTTTTTATCGTAAGTTTCTATTTTAAAACGCACATTTTTCATAGAATGGATTCGAAGATAAGGTAGTGGAGAATCTTAAAAACCTGACCGAGTTGGTCGTCAAACAGAAGTTCTTCCCGTTCAGCCAAATTATACAAACATGATGAAGCAAGAATGGAAACCTCGAAATGAACAAGATACATCCTAACATAGAATTCACAATTGAGAAAGATTGCGAACGAAAACTTTCGTTCTTAGACCTACTAATCAGCAGAAAAAACGGAAGGTTTGAATTCAGGGGGAAACTTACTCAGAAACCTATTTGTATCAAGGCACTCACATTCTCCACACAAATACAAACCAGCAATGTTTGAGTCTCTGTTCCACAGAGTGTTGAGTACCTCTCACAAAAGAAGGGCTCAACAAGGAGATCGAATGCATATATGAAATGGAAAATAAGAATGGTTACAAAAAGAAAATCATAAACGTTAACAAATAAAGCACAGTTGGAAAAAACAAAAACGGGATAAGCTGAAAATCACAACAGAATTGCAATGCATCAAACCAGAATTGAAGAAATGGAAAAGGATTCAGTGGATAGATTTCCTTTCTCCTGCTACGGACAGAATAAAAAGAGTTGCAAAAAAACATGTGATCCAGAGTTGCTACTAATCCAAAAGTACTTTGAAAGACCTTTTAATCAATCTGAAAGAAATAAGGAAAGCAGCAACTAGATCAAAAAAACGCTATGCGTTTCTTTTAATGCAGAAAATAAAGCTAATGAGGTAAAAGCATAGAAACTGATAGAAACCTAAAACCAGAGAAAGAAGTACAAATTTAAATCGGCTATTGCACAACATTGTGTGGAAGGACATGTGATTGGAAACAAAAAACTCGTCAAAGAAGTAACTGACTCTCAAATTATTAATGCTTGATCAACAAAAGAAAAAGGACCTAGCCAACTAGTAGCGGAACCCCAGACTGTTTACACTTGATCGGAAGTTTGAGAAAAGGATTAAAATACTTGAGATTGGAGTTCTTAGCTTAATACTTGGAAGTTTAAGCTTTCAGAGTATATTAAGAGATTCTCTAATCCAAATAAGTCAGAATTAATCAAGATTCTCCTGATGAAGGAAGTTAAGGCTTCAGAAATATTTAAAAAAATCGACAATTCCCTCAACTTGTGTAAAAGTCAAATCTTTAGACAGCAAAAAGTGCGTTTCAAAAGAGAACCTAACAATAAACTTGGTAATAAAAAACAGCATATTTGTATTGTAATATTTTTATTTTTTTATTATTTCTTGTTTTTTCAATGGATTTTATTAATGCAAATGTAATTCAAAGGCAGAGAAAGGGGGAGAATTATTAAGTAAGCTTTATGGTTTAGTGTTTTGGACACAATTGGGCCGGGAAATTACCCATAAAAATTATTCAATGACGTGTAAATGAATATAAAATAATTAAACATTAAATTAGGTATATAATGTGCAATTAAAGTGCGGGTAAAGGTGCTGTAGACGAGTGATTATTTTTTTAGAAAGGTCTGCCCATTCCACGTCCCATTCCAGCTGGCATACCTCCTGCTTGTGGCATCTCATTTGCTGACTTTGGACTTTTGATTGTCTCATCAACTGACAAGATTAAACTAGCAGCTTCACATGCAGCAGTCAATGCATTAATTTTAATAATTGATGGTTCCCAAACACAGGCTTCAAAGTTATCTGCGATGTGCTCCTTGTTTATATCAACTCCATACCAAATATTTCCTAAATTTATAAACAGAGTTTTATAAAAATTATCCTCTAAAGTTTAATCAAATAACTCACCTTGAGCATGCTTCTGTCTCAGCTTGTTGAGAATGTTTGTTGCATCGAAGCCAGCATTATCACAAAGTTGACGAGGAATAATTTCCAAAGCTTTTGCTAATGCACCAATCAATAATTGTTCCTTTCCAGCAATTGTTCGTGAGTAATCTCTTAAAATTTTCGACAATTCCATTTCGATAGCTCCACCGCCAGCAACGACTGCATCATTCTTGATTGTACGACGTACAATCATAATAGCGTCGTGCAAGGAACGTTCAGTTTCTTCCAAGAATTGTTCAGCACCACCACGAAGAACTAAAGTTACACTACATTGGGCGATAGCACATCCTTTGAAAAGATTGAATCTGTCTCCGCCTATTTGACGTTCTTCAAAATAGTCACATTTACCCATGACATTATCTTTGAGATCAGCAACAGTGGTCAATACAGCACCACCGCATGCTTTCATTGTTCGTCTCATGTCTTCTTCAACGACACGTCCAGCACAAAACATGTCACGATCAGCGAAATATTGAGTAGCAACATCGCCAATTGGAAGTTTTGATAATACAACATTAGCTCCTGATTTATGAATCTTTTCTAATTTATCATAGAGGATTTGCCATTCAGCATCCACAATCTTTTGATACTCTTTAACATTATCCACACGAATTTCGGCATTATCTCTTTCGGCCTTTAGCTCCAACTCAATATTAAGCAATGCAATTTTGCAAGGATTATATTGTTTAGGCTGCATTTCGAATCCAGCATATGAGAATGTCTTTTTAAATGCAACACCATCAATAAGTTCAGACTCTTCAAGAGCTCCACCGGCGACTTTCTTGATTCCAATCATGTTTAATGGTAATAAATCGTCCAATTTTAAAACTGCATCAACAACCATTTTTGAGAAGAAATCTTTTTGCTGATGAATGAGCTTTGAGGACATTGCTGTTGCTGCACACTTCTCCAATAATGCTCGGTGTTCTTTTGTATCGCTCTTTTCAATCGTTACTGCTAATTTATTAATATTCTCAATACAAATCGCTAATGCCTTACGAACTGCTTTAATTACAATTCTTGGATGAACACCTTCCTCAACAAATGGTTTTAATTGTTTCAAAAACTCGCCAGCAAGAAGAACTACACTTGTAGTTCCATCACCAACTTCTGCGTCTTGTGATCTAGCAATATCGACGAGAGTTTTAGCAGCTGGATGCACAATATCTAATAATTTCATGATTGTTGCACCATCATTCGAGATTGTAGCCTTACCACGTCCATCTACAATCAACTTATCCATTCCTCTTGGTCCAAGCGTTGTTCTTACCTAAAAACGAGTCATATGAGTCATAAAGTTTGAATGAAAACTATAATAACTTACAGCATCAACTATTGTTTGACAAGCATTGATATTTGAGACTACTTGTGGTTTTCCTTGTGAGGAATCTGTTCCTTCTTTGAGTAACAATATTTGTGGTTGCTAAAATTGGAAAAGAATGGTTATATTAATTGACTCATAACTTCGAGATGATTCTTGTTGAGGTTATAGAATTTTTATAAACTTTTTTTTGCCCAACATAAACAATGTATATCACTATATGTGCATTTATGCTGTCATTTTCATTGTGTTGGACACTTTTTAATTAACATAATTTGTTAATTTCATCAAGTTTATGTAGAAAACAACAATTGAATAACACACGGTTTATGATCAAAAAATGTTTTCACAAAATATCAAAATATACAGAATGTATCGAAGATTTTTCGACTTAATTATACATACCATCATGATGATTACTGATTAATATATTCGTAAATGTTACAGAATGATTGAAACTATCAAAAACACAATTGTTTAGAAAAATTTTACTTAAGATTAACTTGACTGATTTTAGCAAAACGATTTTTCAAAGTTTAACCGATTTTACCAAAACAAGCTATAAAAGTTTTTAACGGAAAATATAAATTCAAACGATAAAAAAAAAGAAAGAAAGATTATTCAGTAGCTTTACATCAAAAAAATTAAATCATTAATTTAAGTGTTTAAAATATCATTTTAGTTCCTGAAAATATGTACATTTGATAGCCAACATCTACTTTTACAAGGATCAGTTGAAGGTGAGTTGAAAATTTATGGATTTTGTGACGAAAAAGTGATTTGAAAAATTGGCATAAGTAGTGAAAAATCTGAGTTGCCCGATTGACAAAGAAATAAAGTCATACATTTTTATTTACAACGTAATAATCTGTGTACCAAAGTAATTAGTGCTGATGATCAGTTTCTATTGATCCACAGTGAATCGAAGGTTCTTAATTTGGATGAAATTAATTGCATCAACAAATTGGTTAATGACAAAATAGTTCAATATGGCGAAATATTGATGATTTTTCGTGTTAGTAACGACTATACGAAAAGTAAAGTGTATTGAAACAACTCTATGAAATATGTATGAGAAAATATACAAGTGAAACTGTGAATATCGAATTAATAACACCTTGGATTTCGTCTGTAGATTAATAATAAGCTCATTTTACGATAAATGTTTTAATTTTTGTAACATTCAGTAATAATACATCAAATTCACGGTTCGTCAGTCAAAATTTTGCTGTTTTTGTTTCTGAATAAATATAATTTTATATTCCCGTAAAATCAGCAAAATTTTCAATGTTAAAGTAATGATAATACAAGCTTGACGTTTATACACTGACATAAATAATATTTACAAAATTGTTCGTAATCAGCAACTCAGAAAGTGATTCGTAAAAAAACTGTATTTCTAATACATGACAATCTTTCATTCGTTCCAGAAAATCTTAATCATTATTCACAAAAAAGTTGTGATTATTAAAAATAGTGAGAAAAATAATAATGGATCCTGCGAAAGAAAAGGAAGTAGAGGACGAATATTTGTCGTCGCTAATGGACTTGAATGTCAACAGCAAACCTTTAATCAATATGTTGACGATGCTTGCAGAAGACAACATGGAATGCGCACATGTGATAGTTCGAGCGATAGAAAAACATTTGGCACAGGTTTTTAAAACTTTATAAAATATGAAAAACTAGTGAAAGCATAGAGAGAGAAATCTGGTCGTCTCTAATTTTGCGACAGAAGCGCATTTCTCTGCATAAATCACCATACGAATTTAAGATTATTAAAGAAATTCTTCATATTATGTTGGAGAAATGCGCTTATCACAACATTTAGTCATAGTGTATTTTTATATATTTAAAAAAAGAGAGTAAAAGAGATGTGAAAGAAAAGAAAATAATGTTATGGAAGTGATATTGAGTGTGCATGAAATGATTTTTTTAAAAAAAATATGACATAATATTGCAACTTTTTAACTACTTTCTTAATCTTTCTCATTACAATCTCATTAAAGCATTATATAGACCTTAAAACAAGTATAAATCTGTGATATTATTTTATACAGTAAAACTATTGAAACTTCTTATCGAAACTGTTTTTTTTCTTCATAACAATACCAACAATTTAATCTTAACTTATAAATAATAAAAATGTGTGTTTCAGAAAGAAAACCAATCCATTAAATTGACTTTATCCAATCTAGGTTTCTCCATTTTCACAAAACGACTTCTACTTTAACTCATTTCCTAATGTACCTTCTTATCTCATTAAATTTCCAAAAAAAAGGTATCATTCGATGTCAAATTGCCGATTCTTTATCTGATTGATTCGATCGTTAAGAATGTTGGAGATAAATACAAGCAGCTATTTGCACAAAATATTGTCAATATTTTCTGTGGTGTCTTTGAGAAGGTAAAAAAAGCACAAAAATTGCTAATTTTCAAGTACGATGAGTAATTTGATGTTGTTCATAATTTATAGGTGAACGAAAAAGTTCGTGAAAAGATGTTTAATTTACGTCAAACATGGAATGATGTATTTCCTCAAACAAAATTATATGCATTAGATGTCAAAGTAAATGTTATGGACAGTAATTGGCCAATTACAGCAAAAGTCGTTCCGAAATCCGTTCATGTCAATCCCAATTTTTTAAAGAACTCGGAAAAGCAAGCAAAAGAAGATTTATTGAAACAAATGCAGGCCAAAGAACGTGAATTGCTTGAATTAAGACAGCGAAAAATTGAACTAGAACTTCTAGTTACCAAAAAGAAGATTGCAGAACAAGAAAAAGAAATTCGAAAAGTAAGTTCTCTACAATTTATGTAATTTTCTTTATTTGGTGCTAATGAGTTTTTGTCATTTCAGCCGTCTGCAGGAGTTCCATCTTTATCTTCTGTGGCTGTTAATCCAAGCATGGTAAGTCGAACCGTTATTTTCATATTTAAAAAATATGTTTTTCTCATTATTCTTAAATCAAGTAATATGCAATAAAATGTTGTTTGTAATGCTGATTCCTTAAAATTGATTACATTAGATACCACCAATCGCTAGTACAGCAATCCCTACAATGCAGTCACATCCAGGTCATCATGGTGGGAGAATTCGCATAACTCCAGTTAGTTCTGCAATGATACAAAGACCGCGTGATCCACGTCTTTTAAAATCACGTGCAACAGTTGAGAATACAGCTGTTAATAATCAACAATTAATGACGCCGTCATTAACGTCCATCGATATTCTTGGGAATATGTCAGCTACAAAGTTGTTGCCAAGAATTCCAAAATATAGCAGTTCTAAATCGTCTAGGGAACACGATGAACGAGATCCAAGAAAGCGACGTGAGAGGGAAGAGCTTAAAGGAAGCAAAAGCAGTGAATTAACGTCTCGAGAAAAAAGCAGATCCTTGAAATCATCTTCGTCATCAGTTGATCGTAAAAAGTCTAGCTCAAGTAGCAGTGAATCGCCAAGAAAAAGTCGTGATGATGATAAGAAGGCATCAAAAAGTGGCTCGTCTCATCATAAATCGTCGCATTCGAGGTCTCATTCATCAAAAAGCTCAACAAAGAGTACAAATGGTGAAAATAAGGGGAAAGAAGATGTTGATTTGAGGATAATGCCAGTCCTTGACACAGACATGAGACAACAACAACAGCCACAGCAAGGAGAAGGAGAAGAGGAGAATAGTACAACGAGCGATAAACTTAATAAAAATAAGCTTCTAAATGAACTCCTTCACGATGAAGATATGAAGACTAGTCAAGATATGATGATAACAACAAGTAATAACGGTAAAGAATACAAACCAATTTTAAAAGTCATGATAAATTTTCATTATTATTTATTGTGACGAAAAAATGTGATAGTAGAGTGTAAGAAAATTAATCTGTGATTCAGAAGATCTCTTAAAATGATAATCTTTTCTTAAAAAAAAAAATTAAATCATCTTAATGATTATGTATATCATGTGTCTTTTTTGGAATCACTAAAACTATGTTTTTGAACTTGACTGATGAATATTCTATTTGAAAAAAAGAGGATAAAAAGCACAAATAAAGAATTTGCCTCAAGATTTTTTTGAATTAAATACTTTTCGGGACTAAGTCGTTAATCCAGGGACATAATGATTTGTGATAAATAAAAAATTGTTATTACAAGAATGAAAAAAAAAATGGGATTCATGTGGGACTTAGTTTTATTAATAGACAACATAATTCTTCGTTGCCTAACGAATTATCGCTTTCAAGCTTAGCTTTATGATGTTGGTGAATTTTCAAATAATCTCAATCTGCGTCCAGTTTAATTTATTTACAAATTTTTAAAGAGATAGGAACCTCCTTTTTGCGGATGAAAGATGGAAGTGAAATAATAACATGCCATCATTATCATTGCTATGAAATGAGATAGATGAACATAATTAGATTTCTTTACAGAAGAATCGGAAACTGAGCCAAAACTATGTGATACAGATTTAAGGTTTGTGGAACCGAGCAAGAAGAGATCAATGAGTAATGAACCTTTAGAAACGGAACCAACAAATAAGAAGAATAAGACCGAAACGGATACGTGAGTATAGCATATACATTCAACTCCTGACATCCTTTAATAACTGTCTTTACAGGTTGTTTGGGAGCGAAGATGTCGACTTGAGAGCACTTAATGAGAAACCCAATGAGCCACAACCGGAGAAAAAGAAAACAGTAAGCTCAAAAAAAAATTTTTTATTCCTTTAAACATTTACTGAAAATTTACTTCGATTTTAGCAAAAAGGAAAATCATTTGAAGAACTTCGAGATAGACTTAATGCATCGAGAAGAGCTAAGCCAGGAATTAAAATCTTGGAAGAAATTCAGCCAATGCCAATCAATGAGAACGGGGAATTAAATAAGAAAAATCTTAATAAGAAAAAGCATGAAACAAAAGAAACTCTTACTTTGTCTCAAACAATTGCGAATGATATGAATGAGCGAAAAGAATCACCTCCAAAAATAATTCTACCAAATATTCATACACAGCTACCACCGAAAATTGAAGATGAAAGGAAAGAAGAAGTCATCGATTATGGAAGTATGACAGCTGCAGAATTGAGAAAAGCGACTTCAGGTAATTTCCAACGTAATTTTTAAATTCAAATTTTAATCCATTTGAATTCTGGATAACCGTTATTAATTTTAAATGTCAAAAGTTCGTTAAAAATTCATTTTTTTTTTGTTTTGCAGTTCCAACAAACATTCGAAAAGAAAAGAGGAAAGAGACAAAATGGAGTCAGCCAACGATGCCACCAGCAATTCCGTGGATGAACGTGAATCGACAAGCGCCAGTTCCAAACATGATTCCATTGCCTCAACATTTCACAAATCCCTGGGAAACAAATCCAATGGTTGTGGCTATGCAAAAACAAAGTCAAATGCCACTTGTTGTACCACAAAGTCCATCTCAGCCAGTTTTGAATAATAAAATGCGAACATTACGTTTAGACGGAACTCGTGATCATTTATTACGCTTTTATGGGGAAGTTGCTATAATTTTCAATGAATTGGGAGAAGCACATGATATCAAGTTTAGTTCAGGACAGAGTAAAGTGGTAATTGATGATGCATATAGTGCTTTTTTAGACTTCAATGATTCATATAAGCCTATCATTGTTGATGGAATTTTACATCAAATAAAATTTGGAACTCCAACAAGAGAATTATATATTGATGATCATTTCTATGAATGCTACTTTAACAATCAACCAACTCAAATTATCTTAGGCGATAAAGTTCGTAGAATTCGTATTGAAGGAAAGGCACCAGAAGTAAAGATTGGAATTAAGCGCAACGATATCGTTTTGGGACTTATTAATATGATGATTGATGCTGAATTAATGGTGCCCGTTTTTCTCGACACAACGCTTCAATATTTTGAATATAAAGGACAAATTTTTACATTGCAATTTGCTGACTTTTTCTTAAGCGTCATTATCAACAATGATCCATTTAAAGTTGAATTTGGTGGATTGCCAAAGAACTACATTTTAAATGGGCAAAAACATTTCATTCGATTTACTGTGCTGCCTGATGAAGTTAATCCTGGAAAGGTTAATATGAGAGGAATGCGTAGAACTCATTTATTCAGAAACTGCAAATCACCACCATTAATGGATGCTATTCCTGATCACTTGATGCATACTAAGCTTCCACCACCAATGGATAATAATATGGATATATCTAAATTAGTAGAAAATGATATGAGAGTACAGCCACCACAATTACCTATTAACACGAGCACAATGCCACCAAATATGATCCCAGGAATCGGAAATGAAACTTCAATGCCTGATTTAAATATTAGTGAATTATTACAAAAACTTGTAGCCACAGGAATTATTGGAAACAATGCAAATGCTGGACAATCAAGTTCATCAGCACAACAAACAAATGAAAATAATAAGAATAAAAAGGATGTAGCTGAAAAAGATGATAGTCGTGTCCAAAAATCACAACCACAAAAAGAAGAAGTGAGAATAATTCCCGTCAATTTGAATCGTCCTGAAACAATCAAGAAACGACAACAAGCTATAATCGACACATTATATTCTGGCTTACAATGCAGCAGCTGTGGTCTTCGATTCCCCTTAGAACAATCCATTAAATATAGTCAGCATTTAGATTGGCATTTTAGACAAAATCGTCGAGAACGTGACAGCAAGCAAAAAGCTCACTCGAGAAAATGGTATTATAATCAAGCTGATTGGATCAGATACGAAGAGATCGAGGATCTTGATGAAAGAGGTATGTGCTGAATTTTCTGAAGGAAATTTTCAAAACACTAATTTAACTATTTATTTATATAGGAATGAACTTCTTTGAGACACAGCAAATGGAAGCAATGGATCAAGGTGAAGATTCAAATGGAGTTCCACGTTCAATGGGCAATCAAGAAAGTGCAATCATTAGTTGTGCAGCAGCTGCAGATGATGTAAATAGAAGCTGTGATATGTGCCATGATCGATTTGAACAGTTCTTTAATGAAGAAACTGAAGAGTGGCATCTGAGGTCTGCAATTAAAGTAGAAGAAAAATTCTTTCATCCAATTTGCTATGATGACTATAAAGTAAGTGCAACATTATTATGTTATTATACATTTTTTAATTCATGATCTTGTTTATGTTAAGGCTTCACTGACATTAGATGAATCAGCAATGAATGAAATCGTAAATGATTCAAATGTCAATCAAAATGAGGATATTGACATGACAGAAGATGGTATTGTAATCGTTAAGGAAGAGAAATCAGCAGTAAAGTCTGATAATACAATAAATGGTGATGACGATGATGTCATTGTACTGCCACAAGAAGAACCAGTTATTACAGAAATTCCCGATGAAACAGAAACAGAACAAGGCGAAAAGAAAGAACAGGACGAGAATCACATGCCTAATGTTACAGACGATGATGTAATGATTCAGGAGCCTAAAATTGAGACACAAATTGTGAATGATGATGACGACGATGAACTTAATAGAGGTACTTTACAAGAAACATCACATCCTTTTATAGTTAAAATTAAGGAAGAACCAAAAGACGATGGATACGAAGATGAAGTCAACGAAGAAGACCCATTTGTGGAAGTTACATCGATTAATGAAGACGATTTAATGCTTGGTAAGTTATAGGCTGAATATTAATTGATGTTATTAATGAAAATTATTCTAATGCATTCATAGATGACGCGCCTACGCATTCACCATTCCATCCAGCAACATTAGATGAAAACGCTATTTTTGACGAGTCATCTTTGATAATGTCTCAAGCATCTCCACATAATTTAGTGGATGATTTCTTAGATGATGAAAATAATTCACGTCCCGATTCAAATGGAGGAATTGGGGCGTTTGTTGGTGGTAATAAAAAATTGAAAATTGTTCTTTCATCTTTGGTTCAAAATAATTTAACAAATAAGAATTTAAGTAATAATGTAAATACCGAACAAAATGATAATAGCAATATAGATTCAATCAATAAATTAGTAGATTCCAATAGCGTTGATTTACACGGAGCAGAGGATCGACCGAATTGTGATGAAAATAATCAAGACGACACAGAACTATCCTATAAGTTAAAACCTCATTTGCAAGGATTTAAGTTTGAAAAGAATTCAATTCCAGTGAAAAGAGGAATCGAAACGTCAGGATTATGTTCAATCATGTAAAAATATCGAGCGTAATGCGACACAAATAATGTAAAAATTATATTTTGAAACACGCATCCTTTTCAAATTTATGCATAAAATTAATATCAACGATAAAATTAAAAATATTTAAAACTTTACAGGATATCACTTGTTATTGGATTATTATTTTGAATTTTTCTTTTAAATTGTATAATTTCCCCATTCAGAACCATTTGCGCCTGAGTTTTTCATCAAAAAAAGAATTATGAATAAAAGGAGAGAAATAAAGAAGAAAATTTTCTAGAAAAAAAAACTTTTAATAATGTTGTAAAAATTTATTTTATTATCTTTTGTGAGTGTTTATGCACATTTATCCATGGAATAAGATTAAATAAAGCTTAATAGAAAAATAAAAGTAACTTCTCTTATCATTCATTCAACCTGCATAATTTGACTTTCAACAATCTTTTCTTTCAGTTGCTTAAGATATTTTTTTGAAATGAACTTTAATTCCATGTGCTGAATGTTGTGTGAATTTCCATCCCAGTTCTTAAATTTTTCAAAATTAACTGGATCGGTTAAGTCGACTAATTCAATTCCACCAGCACTAAAGTTTTTCATATCCTTATCCAACGACATTTTGATGATTGATTCTCGATTAGCATGCTGATTCTGTCGTTTCTTATTAACTTGTGTCTTTAATTTGATCTGTTCTAATTCATCGTCGAAACGATGGAAGTACCTGTAAGATTAATAAAGGGTTTGTAAGTAATTGACGGTGGATCCCTCCTTGTTAAACTGTTATATTAACTCCCCCTCCCTTAAAAAGACAAACGACCCTAAATTTGATAATTCCTTACTTTTCTATTATCTCTTGAAACTCGTCTGGAGTTAGACATTTCTTATCCTGTTCAAAATGTTCGACCTGTTCTGCGAAGTATGACAATTTTTTGCCTACAATATTGGCCTAAAATGACAATAAAAAACAAAATAAAATGATTTTTTCTTGTTCTCGCAAATTTATTACCTTTGCTGCAAAACCTTCCTTAATGCTTTCTCTCTTTTTAATTTTCTTCAACTCCCTTACAGCAGCAACTGTCTTTCTGCTTCCTGGATGTTTAATTTCGTCAATTTTCTTTGCTAATTTCTTTTTGGAACCCATTTCTGAAGTTTATAAACAAATGCACGTGAGATTTAGAAATGTAAACAGAAGAAGATTATAGTCATGCATCTCATTTTTACATATTCACATCTTATTGTATTTAATTTGGTGAATAATGAAGTTTAATATTATTTTCAACTCAACACGTGGGTTGAACTTGAGATTTGTAACCGTTCAAAAATGTTCAATTTTGATTCATAGACACGTTTTCAACAAGATTTTTGCATAAATTTGAATTTTTTCTTGTCGTTATTGTTCGATGAAATAAAAATAATTTTAAAATATTTTTTTAAATTGAGTGCATTATAGCCTTTAAAGCATAAATAAAATATTGTGAAACATCACAGCAAATCCAGGAAAATAAGAGTCTACAAAGTAAATTAAATCTCTACAAGTGAATCATTCAGTTGTTTACGTTTGAAAGTGGAATAAAAACAAACCAGTTTTTTAAAGAAATGGCTAATATTAAGGATTATGAGTTACTTCAACAAATTGGTAGTGGTACTTTTGCGGTAGTTCACAAAGCAATTAATAAAAAAACGCGGCAGTTTTGTGCAATTAAAATAATGGATAGAAAGAAATTTTCAAAGACAAACTACATTGATAATTTAATTCAAGAAATTTCATTCCATAAAATGCTCGATCATCGATATATAGTCAAAATGTATGATTTCAGTTGGGATGCTACCAATATTTACATAATGATGGAGTTATGTGAATTCAGCTTATCGTCGTTTATAAAAAAAAGAAACAGATTACCAGAAAGTACAGTAAGGTATTTATTATAGAAAATTAGTTTTAAACTTTAATTTATTAAATTTATTTATTTATTGCATCAGGATCTTTACAAGAATGGTAGCGGAAGCTCTTAAATACCTACGTGAAAACAATATATCACACTTTGATCTCAAGCCACAAAATTTATTACTCACAAGGAACAATCCTAATTCTATTTATGTTCTAAAACTTTGTGATTTTGGTAAGATAAGATATACATGTATTTGGACATTCAAAAAAATTGCATGACTATGAAAACATTACAGGTTTTGCGCAACATTTGTCAAGTGACGAGGAAGAAAGTTCGATGGTTAAAGGAAGCTATCTTTACATGGCACCAGAAATCGCTATAAATAGGAAATATGACGCAAGAGCTGATTTATATTCGATAGGTGTAATTCTTTATGAGTGTCTTTTTGGAAATGCTCCATACTCTTCAAAAACAATTGATGAGCTACTTGAAAAAATTAAATCTAGACAGAAAATTGAGTTGTCTTCAAATGTTAAAATATCGAATGAATGTGAAGATTTACTGACTAGACTTTTACAACATGACCCAGACAAGCGGATTTCATTTCAAGAATTTTTCAATCACAGTTTTGTGGATATGAAGCATGCACCTAGTGATGAGAATATGGAAAAGGCTATCGAAATATTTCGACATGCAGTCGAAGAAGACACAAACCAAAATTATAATGAGGCTTATCACCTGTACTGTGAAGGTCTCACATACTTTGTTCCATCTATTAATGCTGAAGTTGGTGCGAGGAAAGTAGCATTGAGAGAAAAGGCTGCAAATTATTTGAATCGTGCTGAAGAGATCAAGCAGTTTATAATTTATTCATCATCAGCACCAAATGTCAATGTTATGGAGCCAGTAACGAAAGCTTCTTCAAGTTCAACACAATCAGTACAAAATGCCTTAGAACCTACAGCTAGCTATAAAGCTCTATATGAAAAATGTTATTCTAATGACCAACTCAAAAATGGTCTAGAAATCGGCAAGTCTGGAGAATATTATGCTTACGAGCATAAACTTGAAAATGCTTTAGAAAACTTTAAACGAGCACTTACAATCCTCGTTCCATTACTAAATAAAGAAACTGATTCTGAACGAAAGAAGTTGCTACACAAACAAATTCAAGAATGGATGAAAGAAGCAGAGAGCATAAAATCAATACTCGAAACCCAAAGAAATATTGAACAAAGTTCCAGTGATTCAAACACAAATAGTCATTGTGTGATCTCATAATTATTACATTAATACTTAGCTTATTAATTGTGGACAAAACTGTTATGCCTTATTTTAACGTAGGGAATCTAAAATGAGCACTTTACCACTCTACTTTCTCACAGCTTTTAACAGTCAAGTTATTGCAATACAATATTGTAAATTTAAAAGTTAAACGTTGTGCTTTTTTAATGATTAACATTCTTGTCCATAAGTTGCTAGTTTTTAAACAAGCTTAAAAATTGTGTTACAAACATATTTGAATTTATTTATTGATATATTATTTATAAGCATTGCTTGATAATAAAGAATTAAGAAAACAGCACTAGAAGTGATCCATTAATTTGAAATTTTGATACCAGTCATCGACTTTTCGTTTCCGCATGACTAGCTCTATATCTCCGGATGAATATTTGTACATGTTTAAAATTGGAAATTTATCTTTAAAAATTTCCTTCAGTACTTTATATGTTAGACATTGAGACATTCCATTGAGTCGGAAGTGCTTTAACGATTCTCCATACTTCAATATTATTTGAATTGTGTCTTCATTAAATATAAACTCATCCACTTCGATGCTCAGATGTGTCAGCTTTACATGAGATTGCAGGATATTCTCTAGATCATCATTTCCGAAATTCACTAATTTTGATAGCATTAATCGTTCCAAATTTGGACATATATTAACTAGTTTGAGTAAATTGCGTCCATTTTCCAATTCATTTACATTTACATGAATTACGACTAGCTGTTTAAGATTTTTCTTTGGACTGTCATCACTAATGAGTAGTGTATCTTCAGGAGCGCCAAATATAGCAAAATAATCTAATAGTATTGATTCCAAGTTTGTAAAATTTTGAACGAGAGTATCAAGTACAGCAATAGATCGATTTATTAGCTCTATGTGTTTTAAGTTATGAAAATTATTTGCCATTTGAATAATTAATTCTGGATGAATTTTTCTCTCACTTAATAAAAACGTTAATTTTTCTAGTCTTAATCCTCTCATCATGCTCAATTCGGTCATGTATCCCATATCATATGACGAATGACTATCAAGTCGCAGTTCTTTTAAATTTGACATTTCACCAAATCCTTTAAATACTCGAGTTGACACTAAGTCGACTAGTGTTTTTAGTACTTCCAAATGCTTCAATTTACATACTTCCTCGATTGTATCGTCGCTTACCCACGTTATAGCAAAATCCAGGTACTTTAAATTTGGTTGTTGTTGAATCATTAGCGGAAAGTTGATATTGGAACTAATTTTGAGATGTTCAAGCCTTAAATGACTAAAATCAATCTTGTCATTCTCAAATATCTCTAGCTTCGTAATATTAGCCTGTCGATTAAAAAAGTCTTGGAACTCATCTTCATTGTATGGCTCAAAAGTGAAAGTTAATTCCGTTAAAACGTTTTCAGGTATTTTAAGCAGAACTTTTGCAGAATTAAGCAGCACATAATCTAAAACCAATGTCCTCAATTTGTAGAGATCCAGTTCATTGCCATATATATCTTCAGTCTCAATACTAACGTATATATTACGGAATGTAAACTTTTCAATATTACTTGTCAGACTCAAAATCTCGTAAAGCATTGTCTGAGACATTTCTGTTGGCTTGCTTTGCATTGAATTCCAAATTGTTAGTTGCTTAATCTTTGGACCATATTTCTTCAACAAAATAACGATTCTTTCGAAGAATACATCTGATATTATCTGACAATTACATAAATTGATAGTAAGGTCGTTGAATTGTCGTTTCGATTCAATGACAGACATAAAAGTTTTCGGATCACACAGATCTTTGTAGCATAGATTAAGTGGATTATCATTTCTTGATGACCAACACACTAGTTGATAAAAATGTTTACAGGAAAGTGCTAAATCAGCAGTGAAATCAATAAAACTAATAATTTTTAAGAGAATATGTTCAGGAATTTCTAAAATGTTTGGATTCTCATCACAGGCTGTTCCTATTTCACTGTTTTCATCCTCCATCTAAAAAATAGAGTTTGTTTAACTATTGTAAGTTACTTAAGTGTACCAAAATCTACCTTAATTAAATAAAATTTGATCTATAATAAAATACGACGAAAATTTTGAAATAAATAAACATTGACAAGTAATGAACGTTTTAAATAAGTCTTAGATTAAAGCGCATTTTTGAAAGAAAAATCAAAAACCAGTATAATTAAAAATAGCGTGTATGAAAAACTTAATAACTCTTTATTAATTCAGCAGAAGCTGCTTAATATTAAAATAGAACAAGAAAAAAAGAAAGTGACAGCAACTGAATGCTGATATTAACAATGAATGAAGGAACGGCAAATGTTCAGGTGGAGATATATAGAAATTTCCTAAAAATAAACCCAATTGAACAATTGTCGACAGGACATAACATCCAGTAAATAATATTTCAATCCATTTCCTGCTTTTGTTAAAATTGATGTTCCATAAAATTTGTAAAAAATTAAGGTTCTCTTGCTTTTTACTTCTCGTATTGTCGATTATAATTTTTGTCATCAAGAAGAACATTCCACTAAGTCCAATATATGCTGTTATAAGCCCATCCTTAACGAGTAATGGAATCATGCTGAACGTAGAGACTTGTAAGAACCAAAATGACATGAATGGTTCTAACGGAAAAATTAAGATGACAGGAATTGCCACAATTAGAATTGATTTCTCGTGAACTTGAAATGAAAATAGGAAAAATGCCAAGGAACTATTAATTAACGCATAGAGGAATTGCTTCTTTTTTGGATTAAAAAGAAGGTTTACAGCACTCGGAACTAAAGCTGTTGCAGTACATCCCAGACAAATTTTAGCCATTTCTTCATTTGTAAAATTGTCCCTAAAATATATAAAGCATTAATAGCATGATCCTCAAAATAAGTTTAACTTAAGTTTTACTTTATCTTCATGAACACGTTTACGATGCACCAGACATTTGATACTTTATCCTCAAAGACCCCTCGATAAATTGGAAATATTCGATGAAGTACTTGTAAGAACGAGCTCATTGAGAACAACCATGGAGTCCATATTATCACAAAAGTTATAGCTACAATGATTCCCAACTTAAATAATCTTACTACACTGCCAACGAATGAATGTCTATAAAATTAGATTACAAATATTATTTTTTTTTTAAAAAAAAGCTACACATTTGAAAGCTTTACCTCCTGTGACTGTCTGATTCAACAAAGCTGTTTGAAAGTAAGTAACAGAAGAATGGAACTGCATGATATAATTCCATTTGCTTATAGTTCAATGAAAGTACAAATAAAATAGCTCCAATAATTCGTTTGTCTAATAGAATTACAGATATAGCTAGTGCTGCTAAACCTAACGACATATTGTTGTATTGGAAATGTCCATTGTCAATTAAAAGTTGTCCTGGATAACATAAAGCTATAAGCACAAATAGCCAGTAAAATGATTCCGATTTTTCTTTGTTCATTTTTAGAAGCTTGCTGAATATCACATGACATATTAAGAGCATTGCCGGAATATAAATCAATATGTCAGACATCAAAACAGAGTTTCGCATGAAAAATTTGTGATCGTCTGTGGTAATTCCACGAGACGTATGCAGTGCCACGTATGACTCATTGATATATTTTGCAAAATGACCAATTATGAAGCTATGATATGCTGTTAATGGCGGATAATCTAGTCCCCAATAAAGCAAATCATTGTCAGTTGAATTCTCGTACCAGTCTTTTATGGGAAGATTCACAGTCACTTCTTGCCAATGCCTTTGTGCCTCAAAATCACCATACATTGGTGGATTATTTTCTCCAGAATATGAATGTAATGAAATTGTTGATCTCAGGAATATACCAGTAGATATAGCAATTATATACTTAACTATTGACATTTTCATTAAGTTTGTCTTGTTTTTGCTTCGTGGATGATTGGAATTTCAGCTTTTTTTCGGCTTATCAATAAAACTTGTTGATTTGTAACTTTTCTTGTGTCGATATACACGTGACTTTAAGTGTTGCCTTACGTTTTGAACTAATTATAATGCTGTGTATTCGACCATAATAGTTGGTTAATTAACTGTTTTTAAATAATCTATCGCAAATTCAAATGTAAACAAAAAGCAGTTCTGGTAAGTGAAAAAGATTTGAATCTTTCTAAAATATATTCACACCTTGATTTATGCCTAATCTGGCATAAAGTTCATTTAACTATGGATATGGGCATGATAGACATCGCTAATTATACTGTTGAGACTTAAAAACTGTTCTTTGATTATAAATAATATTGAGCACGTGGCATGACACATGGTGTGAATATAGAAATCAGCTGTTCACAAGACATTTGTTAAAAAGTATTTTTATAAACTTATGAAATTGCCTTTTTATGATATTTAAAAGGTTCATAGCAACGATATAAGTTAATCATTTCATAATGGATGGTGAAAGTAAAGCCTTAATATCTGACTGCTTTTTAAGAACTCTGCCTACGGATATACATGCAACGTAAGATGTTTTACAAAATTTTATGTTAAATTTTTTATTAACACAAGAAGTTTAATTATTTTAGAAATGCTAAAAAGGAAGTTCCAGAACCAAAAAATGCTCCTCATAAAACTGAGATGCAGCTGCTGTCACTACGAGAAGAGACACAAAACATGATAGAATCGACATTAAAGTACATACATGGCGATAATTTTGAATTTTCTAAGTTGGATGATTATGAGCATAAAAACAGCAAGATCAAAGGATCATATTGGAGGGAGAAAGGCGAACTAGTCATTAAAGGAGGATCAGATTACAGTGGATTAGTATCGGAAGGAAGAGAAGGAAAAATGAAAATGTATGCTTTAATTAAACTAGAATCTTATGGATTTGAAGTACGCCATTCTCTCGAAGTGCTTAACATGTTTGAGGATAATGTAGACGACAGCATCAACTTTTTATATGAAAAGTATTTTCCAACTAAGCGAAAAGCGAACGATAATAATGCACAACTAGATGAGCTTTCAACAGAAGAACGTTATGAGCAAATGAATGATGAATTGGAATCACTAAAATCAATTTTTCATGATGAGATCCAGGAAATCGAAAAGCATTCAATTTGGCAGTTTCAATTACGTCTTGATTATCTCCTTAAATTCTCACCATCAGAAGAAAAGAAGGCTGAATTAAAAAAGAAACTTGAAATGGAAGCACAATTTCAGGAACTTCAACGACTAAAACTAAATAAAAAGAAAAATAAGGTCGAAAAGTGTAGAAATGTATTGGAGAAAGGAAAATGCAAGTATGGCATGAAATGTAAATTTTCTCATGACATTAATCGAGACGATGATGACAATACAGATGGACCGAATTCTTCTAAACAATTTAATAAAAAGACTGACACTACTCAAGAAGATCGTAAGACGTGGATATTGGAAATAAGATTTCCAAAGTGGTGTCATTATCCAAGTCAACCGCCTATAATTTTATTAAGGAATAAAATAGGAGATATACCAAAATCTATATGCCTAAGGATAAATCAACGTTTGATAGATGAATCTAGAGAATTGGCAAAAGATCAAATTCCATCAGTTTATTCTGTAGTGGACTTGCTTAAAAATGAGGATGATATTCTAAATTTCCTTAAAAAGGCTGAATCGTTCTACACGTATCCACCATGTGATATCTCAATATTCGATTATGACCCAGACAATTTGAATGGAATTATAAATGAAAGTGATGAAGAAGACTTGCCTACACATTATGAAATGGGAAAGGTTGATAAATTTGATAAGCAGGCATTAAGTGATGCTGAGATATTAAGAGAAAATGTAAAGCTGGTTAAGAGATTTAATGAAAAACTTGACACGCCAGCTTACAAGAAAATGCTTGGAGGTAGAAAGAATCTCCCAACTTGGCCAATGAGAAATGAAATTCTAAAAGTCATTAAAGAAAATCAAGTGTGCATTATATCTGGTGAGACAGGTTCTGGAAAATCAACACAGACTCCCCAATTTATTTTAGATGATTGGCTTGAAAAGTCAACCAACAGCAATAAACCCGAAAATGTTGAGATAATTGTTACTCAACCGAGAAGAATTGCTACAATTGGAGTAGCTGAAAGAATAAGCGACGAACGTTGTGAAAAAATTGGAAGTATTGTCGGTTATCAAATTCGATTAGAGAATAAGATTTCAGCATCTACACGTTTGACATTTTGCACGACTGGAATATTACTGCGAAGGCTTTATTCTGATCCCTTATTGAGTTCGATTAATTATGTAATAATTGACGAAGTCCATGAACGGTCTGAAGAGTCGGACTTTCTTTTATTAATTCTAAAAGGATTATTAGAGAAGAGAAAAGATTTAAAAATAATTTTGATGTCTGCGACATTAAATGCTAAACTATTTTCTGATTATTTCAATGGTGCACCAGTTATTAACATTAAAGGACGTACTTTTCCTGTAAGGCAAATTTACCTCGAAGACATCCTTGAAAGTACTCAATTTGTACTAGAAGCTGATTCTCAATATTGCAAGAAATTGTCAAAGAGAGATGAGGAAGCTTTAATGCAGGAATTAGAGTATATGGATATACAGGCTAATATGAATCCACCGCCTCGTTCAATTCGTGATGAGAATCTCTCATTATCTGATTTACTAGCTAGATATCAGGGATATTCAAAAACAGCATGCAAAAGTCTTTTCATAATGGACCATTTTAAAATTAATCCTGAATTAATTGAGGCAATTCTGGATTACATTATTGAATGTGATGAAAAGGATTGGCCACAAGAAGGAAGTATTTTAGTATTTTTGCCTGGTTTAGGAGAAATTCAGTCTGTATATGATGCATTAATGGATAGCAAAAATTTTGGACCAAGAACTGATAAATTCATTATCATCCCATTACATTCATCACTGTCATCTGAGGATCAAAGCATGATATTCAGAAAGTTTAATAGAAAGAGGAAAATTATTTTGAGTACGAATATTGCTGAAACTTCAGTTACAATTGATGACGTAGTTTTCGTAATCGATTGTGGTCAGCATAAAGAAAAACATTTTGACAATAATCGAAATATGGAGTCACTCGATACTTCATGGATATCTCGGGCGAATTGTTCTCAAAGAAGAGGACGTGCTGGAAGAGTTATGGCTGGAGTTTGCTTTCATATTTTCACAAAACATCGACATGATAATCATTTACTTGCTCAGCCAATACCTGAAATTCATAGGATACCTCTTGAGCAATTGCTGTTAAGAATAAAAATGTTAAATAATTTTCACGGCAGGAAAATTCATGAAGTGCTATCAAAATGTATAGAACCACCGACTATGGAGAGTGTTGAGGCAGCAATCAAAAGATTACAGAACCTTGGGGCTTTTGAAAAAGAAAATTTGACGCCTCTAGGCTCTCATTTAGCACTTCTTCCAGTTGATGTCAGAATAGGAAAATTGATGTTGTTCGGTGCCATATTTCAATGCTTGGATAGTGTACTTACAATTTGTGCATGCTTAAGTCATAAATCACCTTTCGTTTCACCATTTACTAAACGACAAGAAGCAAATGCACGAAAAAGACAGTTCTCAATTGCTAATAGTGATCATTTGACAGTCTTGAATGCCTACAAAAAATGGAGAGAGGCTTATAAGAAAAGTCGTTATGCTGGACAAGTTTATGCTGAAGAGAATTTTCTTTCAATTAAAACATTGGAAACAATTGGCGAAATGAAATATCAATTTTTAGAACTGCTTATTTCTATTGGCTTTGTTCCTGTTGATTTGCCAAAAAAGCAGAGAGGAAGAGTATTTGATGACAATGTTTTTGACATAACTGGAAAGATTCTTAATGCCAACTCGGAAAACTCTCGTTTAATTAGTGGAATTCTTTGTGCTTCTTTATATCCTAATATCATTAAGGTAACGTATTCTGAATACATGTTTGTATATTTTAATGTGATCGAAAACCATACAATGTCTGTCAAATAATTTGTATGGTTTCAGTATTTTAAAAGTTATTAAAAGAAATCAACTTATTCACAATTTCCTTGCAGATTTTGACTCCAGAGAAGAATTATGTGGCTACATTATCTGGTGCCATGCCAAGATCATTTCAGGCATCTGAATTGAAATTTAAAACTAAAGAGGATGGATATGTCGCTTTACATCCTTCAAGTGTTAATGCATCAGTTGGTGTGTTTCAATCTCCATTTCTTATTTATCAGGAAAAAGTAAAGACATCACGTGTTTTTATCCGAGACTGTACTATGGTTCAAATGATTCCATTAATTCTGTTCTCTGGATCCGACATTAGAATTGAGCTTCATAATGGAGAATTTATGTTCTTGCTTGAAGACGGTTGGCTTATAATACAGGCAAGCTGCTTGAAAACTGCTGAATGTATGAAGCATATGCGTAAGGAATTGATGAATATTTTAAACGAGAAAATTAAGGATCCACTGTTAAATTTATGGAATCATGATCAAGGAAAGAGAGTCATCGGTACTATTATACATTTATTAACGAAAGAATGATTGCTGTTATCATGCTTGTATGTAGTTTTTGTCATATGATACCCTGAACTTGTGTCTTATGACACAATAAGGAAATAAATATTTTGTTTTACTAAAAACAAACGTTAATTATCTGCACCTAGTCATTTCACGAAGCACCTTTAGCTTATTTGTTTTATTTTTGTTATCAGCCGATTTAAATGCATTTAATAAGCAACAAACCCTCGTGTTCAGCACAAATCTTCACTATGGAAACTTTTTCCAAAATTATGTCCATCCGATGTTGAGTACAAAATTGGAGCATGTGATCAGTAAAATGAGGTGGCATTTCCGCAAAATTTAATATCTTCATTATACACATTTGTGAGCCCTTAATTGAGCATTATTAAATTAAAAGTTTCTATAAATAAGTAATTCTATAGATGCGTCGAGAATACAAATGATCCTTTTCATGCTCTCTCTCTTTATTGATACTTTTCATATTAAAATCGTATATAAAGCAACGATCTTGACAAGCGCATTCATCATTTGCATTCGAATTATTCTACAGATTACAGCTAAAATGTTTAAATCAATTTTAATGTTTGCGATTTTTGCTGCCGTATCGGCTCACATGGCACACTATCGTGAGGAGTGTAAGGATGAATTAAACATCCCTCAAGAAAGCATTGACAATTTCAGTAAGTAGATTGGGGTGTGTGGGGGAGGGTCTACGTTCAATAATTCATATTACTAATTTATTTAATTAACTTTACAGAAAATTGGAAATTTGAAAATGATGATCATTCTGCATGCTATATTGAATGTATATTCAAGAAAATGGGTTTGGTAAATGATGGACAATTCAACGTTGATGTTATTGCTGAAAAGCTAAGCTCAGAAGACAAAACAGCTGAAGAATTGAAACCTGATATTGAGAGTTGCATTGATAATACAATAACTGATAGCTGCAAGAGAATTTTCAAGGGATTCGCTTGTTTCAAGGAAAACAATCTCTACAGAATCAAAGCTAGTGCCCAAAGTTCTTGATCATGTGATATCATGTCCTATTTTAATCCAGTCCACTTTTTAATGTGAATCATTTACAGAATCAATTTTTAATAAAATTATTTGCTTCATTTTAATAATGTCTTTCTGTACATCAATTGGGTATAAAAAGTGAGGCTTGCTCCTACGAAAAATGTTAATGCTAAAATGCTTAACGGTATAAAAATTTTTAAAGCATTTACGTAAAGCAGCACAAATGTTTTAGAAAATTTGTCATAAATTTTTTGTGTAATTATTATCTACGAAGGAACTGAATGGATGTGGTTCAATGACACACTTCTATTTGCCTAATCTTTTTTTTGAGACTTTTATATTCCTTCTGTCAATTTTGTGATTTAACATGAAATAAATTAACATTAAAATGCCAAGAAAAATCTTATATTTTAAGAAAAGTCCATTAAAATAACAAACTGTGCCTTACAATGAAGTTTTAATTAAGTGTCATACTGTATCAAATCGATAATGAACACCAACGGTTAAATTAACTTTGAATTATCATTTCAGAATTTTCTAACATCACCACTGACGCTGAATAGTTTTACATGAAATTTCATTAATTATAACAATCTACTAAGCCAATCAAACATAAAAAACAGTTTAACTACACTTAGTAATGATGGCGTGTGTTATTAAAGTGATTTTAAATAAAAAATTGAAGGTTGATGAAAAACGTCTGGAAAGAATTTAAATTTTTTTCACAGACGGGGCTTTTAGTCATAAAAGGGGTTTGCACCTAAATTCTTCGCCATTTACAAAAATCAGCAGAAAATTGAAAAAATTAATTAAAATTGTCAGGAAGTTGTTAAGAAGTGAATAAATAATCAGAAAACAAAACTTAGATGGCTTTAAAAAGAATAAATAAGGTATAAAGTGTATAAGTGTGAAATTTAAAGAAGAAAAATGTGTTGAAAGTTTTGAATTAAAAATGTCTTGCTTCACAAGTATTTGTAATTTTTTTTTCATGTAAAGACACTGAAAAATTGTGTGTGTGTAGGTGAACTGCGTAACAAAAAATCGAAATTCTGGATATTTCTCAAAGAAATTTAATAATTTAGCACTTTCTCTGTGACAAATTGAGCAATGAATCATGCGAATGAATAACTGGTTCATGAAAATCTGATCTCCAGAAAGCACATAGTCTCGGACCTAAAATAAAATTAATTTTGTATTATCACAAGGTCATAAAACGAAGAAAATTTTTTTTTCTTTTATAAAAATCATCTTTTCTTTAGGTTAAATAGTAAAACGTGGACTATTTTCTCAAATTTTCCCCAAATTATTCGATTAAAGCTCATTCCCATTGCGTCATTAGACGTCTATTCTTCATATTTCACTTTTTATCTTGGCTAAAATTGAAGGAAAAAAATTCCTCACACACAGAAAATGTTGAAGAGAGTGAGAAAATTTTTGTCACCCATTTTTAAGCGTAATTTTCCTTAAAAATGGCTTTCTCTAGCTTATTTTACTGATTTGACTGTCTTGCTTGATAATTTTATGTAAATCCAGTACTCTAATTGTACAGTTTTAAGCATTAGAAAAAAATAAATGCGCTGGATTTCAAAAAGTGGCGACATTTTTGCAGCCCGTCGCTCAATCAAATCGAATGTTCTATGGAACTGAAAATAAAAAAAAATTGATGGAAAATTTTCTCTCAACATAAAAGAATTACTGAGCATTTTCCTACACATTATATGCTACATATAAGAATTTTTAATTCATTTAAGCACATGCTTCATTATATTTCATAATTTTTAAGTTCGCAGTAATATACTTTACTTCCCTATTCGAAAATAATTTTTTTCTATGAGTATATATGCGAAATGACGAGGAAAAAAGATGAGGAAATGATTCATATATTTTTTTTACCTTTGACTCGCTATTTTTAGGAATTACAAGATTTGGGACGAGATCCACCAGCACAGTGCTCAGCAGGTCCTGTTGGAGATGACTGTAAGTTTTTTCTTCTCACTCTCTTTCTTCTTTTATTAAATTATTCAGTGATAATTGCATACACAAATAGTATTAAACTTCTTTCTCCTGCTTTTTCTCGTTCATAAAAATACATTTTGTGTGTGAGCAGTAGTTTCATGAAAAGAATTGACAATTTATTAACTAAATTATTACTTTATCTTTAATTTCTCTCATAATTATAGTATTTCATTGGCAAGCGACCATTATGGGACCTGTAAGTAGACAACAAAAGTTATAAATTCTTGTTAATTCTCTTATACTTCGAATTATGATTCATGTTTGGGGCGTCTTTCTGTTAAGGTTTTCGGGATAAAACTGGATTTTCATAATCATTTTAATAGCTTTTTAATTATAATTTGAAATTGCGAAAATATTGTGTTTTTGAGTTTTTTGTATTTTCCCGAAAAGCAAAATAACGAAAAACCATTTTTACGAATTTTCAAATTTGCGAATGTTATATTATTATATCATATCTAATCGCATTTAAATGATGAAATTAATTTTAATTGTCTTTTAATGTTTGATTCAGTGTTGCAAATGTAGATGTCTACACTAGATGAAGAATGAAGATTCTTCAATAGTTTTTGTCTAGCTAAGAAATTTTCTTCATAAAGATCGATTCTATATGAAGATAGAAAATATAATCTACACAAAGATTCTGTCTTCATAAAGATTCGATGTAGATGTCTACAATTCTACATTTGTTCCAGGTCTACATCACAGAAGAATGTAGAATTGTAGACATCTACATCGAATCTTTATGTAGACAGATTCTTTATGTAGAAATAATCTTTGTGTAGATTAGATTTTCTATCTTCATGTAGAATCGATCTTTATGAAGAAATTTCTGTCTCAGAATTTATCTGATCCAGATAAATGGCCAGAATGCAACACTTGTTTGATTTAACCAAAGGTTTTTTGAGATTCAAATTTTCTACTATAAAAATTTTCGTAAAAATGTACATTCGTAAATTTGTAATTCGGATTAACGGTTATTTTTTATTTTGCTTTTCGGGAAAATACAAAATACTTTGTGTTTTTATTTCCGTGTGAAAAGTGCCGACGACTTATTTAAATGCTAAACTATAGATTCTTTAATTAATTGCTTTATGGCAATGCGCAAAATTTTCCATAAAGAAAAGTAGTGGAAGTAAAAAACATATATTTTTATCAGTTTGCTCTAAAAAAATTCCCCCAAAAAGTTAATATGGCCTACTTTTACTTCACATCAAGAGCTCTTCATATCTAATTTACAAGTCTAGTGCTTGTAGTGGTTTATTAAATAAATTTTCTCGACATTCTTTATCTCACCGATAATATATACTTTTCGTGCTGTATTTTCATTCATACAAAGGACTTTTTCTTCTCAGCAAGAAGATATATAGTGTACGAGAATGAAAATAGGCGACTATTTTGTTCGGCAAATGATTAGTGCGCATAATGTTCATTTTCTTTCGAGATTTGAATTTATTTTAACTAAAATGCTATTGATGTCGGTCAGTTACATTTGATTCTGCCGTAAAAAAAGAAAGTGGAATTAAACTTTAGATAATTAGATATGCACATAAACATCCATCTCAAATTCATTACACCGGGAGTTCTCAAACTCTTTTTATGAATGAGAGCCTCAACTAATTTCTCTATTCTCCGTTTTAACGTATGGCTTCAATAAAGATTAAATAGTTTCTAAGGGCTTTTATGTTAATAAGGTTTAGTACATCTGAACTAGACTATAACTTTTTTCAAAGGAAGCTTTTGTGAGCAGAAATCTGCATAAGCAAATAGTTTATACTGCATTACTAGTCATTAAATCAATATTATTGTAGACATTGAGCAAAGGATAAGTTCGACATGAGTTTTGAAACAGAAAAAATGAAACACAAAAGGGATTGTGACGAAAATAAAACTGAAAACTAATTGTGAACTTGATGCTTGAAATAAGAATAGATTTTATTCAATGTTATATCAACGTGTTTTCGTCAGTTCAAGGATGATAGAAATGTGAAATTATTTTAATTTGTCAAGTTTTGGGTCCATTGATTCATTTGTAAAGATTTTTTAACTAAGCACAATAGGAAGATCCCATTCTAGCCATTTGTTCTTGACACGACACACTTTAATGCCAAATAATTGGTTTTAATCGAGAGCACTTGAACTACTTCTACAATTATCATCATTATTTGTTTTTCTTTCTAATTTACAGCCAGACAGTCCGTATCAAGGAGGTGTTTTCTTCTTAACCATACATTTCCCAACAGATTATCCATTCAAACCACCCAAAGTGGCTTTTACGACTCGCATATATCACCCAAACATTAACAGTAATGGGTCGATCTGTCTCGACATCCTAAGATCTCAATGGTCACCTGCACTAACAATTTCAAAAGGTAAGTTAATATTTATCTAGAGGAGTCATTCACCTTTGATGTCTATCGTTTAAAAAGAGGGTTGTCTTATAATATATATTTTTTGATTGACGTCATAAGTTAACTCTCCGTAAGCATTATTTGCAGCATATTAACTGACTTTTTTTGTCATTTCTCTTCAGTGTTGTTATCAATTTGCTCTCTTCTCTGTGATCCCAATCCGGACGATCCATTGGTGCCGGAAATTGCTAGAATATATAAAACGGATCGCGAAAAATACAATGAGCTGGCCCGTGAGTGGACACGAAAATATGCTATGTGATGCGTTCCAGATGAGAAACTGTACCGTCAAAATTTAATTCTTGCTGTATTATAAATTCAAAAAAAAAAAAAAATGAAGAGAAAAACACACACAAGGCTCCACCAAAACAGCGCATCCTTTCTTGATTTTTCCGTTTTTCATCTTTCTTAAAATTTTTCTTTCTTTCATCTTTACTTTATCCACTTCCAACAACTATCCTATGTTCTTAATTATTATATAAAATATATTATAATTTTACAATTCCTCTCGTCATTAACATCTCTCCGTGTGATCGTCAAATCAAGAACAACAGCCATCATGATAATAAATTCTATGGTAAATATTCAGTTCTGTTGGAATTTTCTAAGGCAAATTGTTGCATTTCATTCGAATGTTGAAGTTTTCACTCAATTTTACAAGATTTTAAATTCCAAGTACATTTTTTTGGAAGAGAAAATTTTACAATTTGAGAGTTTTTCTCACAATTTACTTTGAAAGTTTTAGCACATTTAAACGAATTGAGAATATTTGAAAAGGAAAGAAAACCATCCATGAACGAAGTGCATATAGGAAATTATTATAATTTTTTTTACAACTTGTTTGTCAAATTTGATATAAGATGATTAATTAATTATGAATACTGCTGATGATTTATGAATATATTTTCAAATTTAATAATAAAATGTACTAAGGTATTATATCAAATATTATAACAATTTGTAATAAAACTGATATAATCTGTGAAACAAGATCTATTATGCACATGGTCACTCACTCATGATCAGCAAAAGCGCCTTTTCCCAGCATGGATTAAAACGATTTGATTAAAGATTATCGTAAGTCACTTCCGTACTTTTTCATATTAACTGTCAACAGAAGTGCAAACAAATTGCGGACATTAGTGTCTTTTTCTAATTGGGAAAATGCGCTAAATTCGAGAGAGAAAAAAATTTTCCTTAATCAAAAATGAAAGCGAGAAAACACAAAAATACTAGAGGAACTCAACCACAAGTAGTAATCATGAAAGAAAAGAAATGAATATGAATTCTATTTTTATTTTTTAACAATGATGATTTTTTTTTTATATCCGGTAACATATTAAGCAGAAAGTAAAAGTTAAAACTCAAAACTGTTAAAATCGTTTTCATTTAATTTTTTTTTTATAAAATCATAATTTTTTATCAACGCAGAGTTGGCATGTATGCTGATTTTTTCTACTTGAAAGGTGCTAGCAGCTGATTTTATGATTTGTCATAAAAATAACTGCTGATTGTCGCACTTGTAGAACACATATCAGCTGACTTCCAGCTCTGTAAAATCAAAGCTGATTCTTGTAAGCGAAGAAAATTGGTTCTCCTCATACAGCTTTTTATATAAAGAAATTTTTTTATGTGTTTTTAAAGGAAAATTTTTTCACTTTTAGTTTAAAAAAAAAAGATGGAAGAAAAATTAAAAAAAAATAATTTAAATAATTAATGAAATTGAAAACTTATACTTATCTTAAAACAAAATATTAATTCAAATTTTTTTCGGAAAAATTCAGTAAAAGAGAAATAATTGAAAACAAAATTCTTATTCTTACTTTTATCACGTGTTTCCTTAACATTTTCTTTTTATGTTTTTTGATATTTTCTCATACAATTCATGGGTTTTTTTTATCTGAAAAGACTAAAGTCAGTGTTGAACAAACTTCACGACACACTAGTCGTTTTCTTCTCCTTAAGCACGTTCTATTGCAAATTTACCAATTGTTCCTTGTAAGTTTGTCGTGAATGATATTAGGTTTGGACTTCACTGGATAACTAAATGAATAGGCAATAATTAACAAAGACAATGAAAAAATAACGGTTGTTTTCAAAGATTTTCCTCAGGACTCGATGTGTAATTTGACTGACTTGTACACATCAAATAACGAAATTTTGACATTTTGATGTGTAAAAATTTGGAACTGTTAACTTTTTTAAACATTTACATATTGAATTTTACATTTTTGATGTGTAAAATTTTAAACAAGTACACATTAACGTTAATAATTTTACACATGACATTAATTTTTGAAAAATTCTCCAACGAACGCAACAAACTAGACTAATTAACGATACTGACAACTATGTTGAAGCAATTCTGAAGAATTCCAATAATAGATTCCATAATGTTATTAAGAAAATTTTAATAATCAACGACATTAAAATGAACTGCAAGTTGTATGAGGAAATATTCTCCTTATTTTCTAACCTTTCTTCCCTAATTTAATTAATTATAGTAAAGATTTGTTTTTAAAAAAACTGATTAGACATGAAAATGAGGAAGATAACATGTTATTATTATGTACTTCAATGAGAATAGTGAAAAATAATTTTTCCACGCCTGAAACTGCCTCCTTTTTCACAAACATTCAGACTCTTTCTTTAATGAGAAACAAATGAAGAAGAAGAAAATTTGTATGTAAATTAGCAAAAGAAAAACAAAAGTTGAATGGACTGTCTTGAACAATATTTTACGTATATATTTTGAATTTTTAAATTTAGTAGATTTTTCATCATTCAATTCAAAAAACACTCATTTTTTGCTGATCAAAAATAAGAAAAATTATCAGTAATACACTCCTTCACAGAGAGAAGAAAAACATGAAAGAAAATTATAAAACAACAAGAATTATTCGATGAAGAAAAAAAAATAATAAATATGTATTGAAATAATTATTGTTGGGTGAATTATTCTACAATTCACTTTAGGGCGTTGACTTTAGCAGTTTTTGGATCCGTTTTTCTATTTATGCGCAAGTGATAGTTATAGTAATTACTTCTAAATTTGCTAAGGAAGTCATCAGTTAAGGTTCTTTGTACTTCCACAAAAACGTAATGTTCCTTATCACTTTTCATCATCATTTTAAAAGGAATCGAGCTGGGGTTTAGTTCCCCACGAATTCTGAAATTCGTTTGTTTGCTTCCTTCTGATTCTTAAGCTTATTATTTTTCAGTCATTTCTTGAATTTTATTTTCAGTATTTTCTATTTCAGATTCTAGTCATTCGTAAATCATAAACATTCACAGATTTATCAGTAATCGATTTTTACATCCCCATTTGAAAGATACCCTGTCATTAAAATATCATTTACAAGAAACCCCTAGCGTTGATTATATCTAAGAGATTTCTTGGATGAAAGCCAAGCAATAAAAAATGTTAATCTTTAAGAATCATTCGAAATAGTTTTACAGTTTGAAGTACAGCGATAAAATTATATTCCTGCAAAATTCACAAATTAATTATATGACGTCTATTATTATGAAATGTAACACATTTAAGCATTTGTAATCCAGTTATGCCTACACACAAAACGATTGTAACACAATGTTACTTGAAAACAACCGTTAGTATTTTATCCAACCACGTGTGCGAAAGAAGTTTGCTTTGCAGTCCAACTGAATGTTCTTTAAATATCATGTCATTCCTACTGCAATTACATTAAGTATCGAAAGAAAGTAAAAAGAAAAGACTAAAGGTATTTACGAGGAATGAAAAAATTTCTTCTTTATTATTCTTCATGATGACTTGATTCTTCTTACAAAGCATTGATTTGTATGTGCGATGATCTTGCTTGAAATTTTTCCCAAAAGTGCATAAATTTAGTAGTAGTAATAATAATAATAATAAGTTTGTAAATAGATGACAATATTATATGTAGTAATATAATAGTAGAGACAATCACGTAAGAATGGTGTCGTCAATGTTTTCATCCTTTCCTGATGCTGAAGCTGTCATTGCTCGATACAATACTTTAGTGACAACCTCGTTGAGTGAATCGCGTGCTCCTGCTTCCAAGAGTTGTAAAACTTTTTGGAACACTATGTCGCCATTTCTGAGTCGCAAGATGCTTATTAATGCAATTTCGCTGTTTGACTTGACATATCCATTCTTTTCTTTTGTACCATTGACCAACATTGGAATTAGAGCCTTAAGGAAATCCGAAGACATTTTTTCGTGCGGAACTACTTTTGACAAATAAATACTTGTTTTTGCAAGGAGTTGTTTTATCTCATTATTTGTATGGTTCATCGATTTAACATATGCAGTAAGAATGGGTTGTGGAATTTGCTGTCCTTCATTTTGACAAAATTCTAATAAATAGCAAGCTCCTCTAACACCATTTGATGCGATATTGACTTTTTCATTTTGTATGCACGTGACGAGTGTCTTGTTGAGTTTTCCTTCATATTTTGACGTCACGATAAGTGCTGGTGATTCTTTTAACAAAACAAATAATGCAGCTGTTCGTCCGTGCCTTAATGACCAATCCTCGCCGAAATCATCACTGAAAATTTGATTACTTAAATCATCAAGCAAATCATTTGAAATCCATTTTGCAAATGATCCAATACATCCAGCAACACAAAGTCGTGTCGTGTCCTCAGAATAATTAAGCATCGATGTTAATGTAGCATAAATCTGCCTTTTCATTAATTCTGACATTTTATCGCCATTTGATATTAAAATTCCACGTAATGCTTGCAACATTGTCTCTCTTATCAAAGAATCGTCTGCATTCTTGATGCCATTATGAATTTCTACAAATACCGGATCTGGTTTTGGATGAATTTTGATTAATTCCATTACAGCGACTCCAGCCTTCATTCTGTAGAATAAAAATATAACGGTTATTTTCACATTTTGAATTAGTATTTGCTATAAAATATTATCAACAGTCACTTAAAATTCAAAAATAAAATTATAGCAAAAAATACATCATTTTTAAATTTAAGATATTCGTTAAAAAAATAACTCACCTGACAGTTCTGTTTGGATCGTTTAATGCCTTTAAGAATGTTGTTTGAAGTTGTGGCAAAAACTGTTTGAGCATAATTCCAACTTTGGATAGTAAAATTGCCAATGTTTCGAGCACAGCTGATTTTACGCCTGAATTGAAACGATCACCAAGAATACGAATTAATGGACCAGTAATGTGTACAACTGATGGTTGTAAGGAAGTAGCCGATGTGAGAGCAATTACTTCTCCTAAACTTTGTGCTGCGCATTCTTTTTCTTCCGGTGCTCCATTTAATATACCTTCACGAAAAACAGGTAACAATGGCGCAATTCCTTTGGGCAAACAAAAACCTGGCAATTCCGAATTTGGAGGTAAATTAATGGTTGCAGACTTTACAGCGTCTCGAACATCTGAAACATGAGCAATTTGTTGTGCAGAATCGAGTGTTTTTGTTACAGCATTTAATGCATCCCATGCTCTGACTAAAATTTCTTTATCGTGTTCAGAAAGTAACAGCATAAGACCATTAAGAAGTTGTGGAATATGATTTGAATAATCGCCAGGAGAATTGATACAGAACACACTCAAAAGTGAAGCTGCAGCCTTTTTAATTGGCATTTTATTAGATTTGCACGAGTCCAAAAGTGTATCTATAATGATTCTTATGCCAGCATCTTCACTGACAGCCAAAATAATCATTTGACAATATTCAGTCTCTTTCAATTCATCAGGCGTTCCATGAACAGCAGATAATGAATCTAAAATTGAGGGAAGAATTTTTGGCAAGTATTTTGTCAGACCTTCTCCAGCTTCACATAAAATCGATAATGCTTTAGTATTAACTGGGGGCGCAGTCAATTGTGGTACGAGATATGGTAAAACGACTCGTGACTTTATGGCCATAATTTGTTTCAATCCATCTAATGTGCATTCAGCAATAAACGGATCTTCATCTGATAAACCTGCCAACATTGATGGAAGAATGTCATCTAATGCCTTAGTTCCAACTGCTGAATGTAAAGAATCAAAAGTACGTGCAGCTGCTTTGCGGACGTCACTTAATGGATCACTCAATGCTCGTCTTACAGTCGAGACGAGACTATCAACGAATGTAAGAACCATATCACGAGAAGTTGATGCCATAATTTCCGATAATCCAATACAAACACCTTGACGTTGCTTATCACACTCAGAATCTAAGCCTTTCTCCAAAATTGGTATAATTTCCGGCAACACACGTTCACCAAGTTTTCTTACTAAGTCTCCTAATGTCCTTGCAGCAACTTGACGTTTATCATCACTTACTTTACTTCCCAAACAGCCAAGAAGAAGGGAGAAAAGTGTTGGCAATATTTCACGTAACGTTCTCGGAGTATTTGTGACTACGACTTTCCAAACGTGTAATGCTGCTTGACGTACCATCAATGAGACATCGCTTCTGCCCATGTAAAGACCTGCCAATACTCGATTTCTACGCTCAATTCCAAGATGTCTAATGATGGCTTTATGTGACTGTTCAGTTCCGAAATTATCATCTTCACTTGCACTTTGTGTTGACATTTTTCCAGTTACTCCAGAAATTTTATAAAGTAAGTCACCAAGTAACTGAACAGAACTGTAACGAATTCTCCAATTATCATCAAAAAGTCCAGTTTCAAGTTCTGGAAGGAGTAATGTGATGGCAGATTCAGCATAAAGATTTACAATTCTCTGACCAGCTTTCAAAGCAGTATCTCGAACATATTCATTCTCATCAGCTAAAGCTTTCAAAATTGGATTAATAATCTGCCCGATGTAAACAGTAAATTCCTCTTGAAATGCTTGTGGCATGTAAATGAACATTAAAATGTAACCGTCCTTGACCTTTTGTGGAAATAAATAATATGAAAAAACGCCTATAAATATCTTAATGACTTGCAAATAAATAAATAAACTTACGTGTGGAGCAATATCCGTTCGTTCTGCAGTTTTAATGATTTCTGGCATTGTTTGATGCAATTTCTCTACACCTAGACCAGCAACGACTTCAGCTAAGCCTTGTGCAGCTCCAGATCTAACGAAATATGCATTATTAAAAATTGGTTAAATGATTAAATGACGAGATTTAAACAAAATTACCTGTCAACTGGACTAGCCTCTGAAGTTAATGTCTGCATCAACCAAGGAAGCAAGTTTTCACCAACTGTAGTTTCACCCATTCCTCTGACCATTGCTCCTAATGCACGAGCACTCACTGTTCTCACATCTGGCACAGGATCAAGCAATGATGCTTTCAAACCTATATTTTTTTTTATGGAAAAATTACTTTAAAACTGCATTTACTTAAAAAGATAATAAGTTGAAGACATACCTGGCATAATATTGTCTAAATATGGCGTCAAATCTTTTGGATCAGTCAGCGAATACATATTTCCGATAATTTGTGCAGACATCTTTCTAGTTTCTGTAGAACGATCCATAAATGCTCTCTCAACGACAGGCATAATTAAAGCCAATGATGGTGCATCGATAAAATGGACGAATTTAGTTTTCAACAAACTTTGAAGACATGAGCTTGTTTTATTGGCTGGATCTTCAAGAGCTCGAAGTAAAATTGGGACGATTGCTTGAATTTCGGGATTTTTAATAACGGCACCAATCATTTTTAATGCGTTTCCGCCAGCCTCTTGTACTTTAATATGGGAATCACCAAGAATTTCCATTAATTTTGGAACAATACTTGGTAAGCATGATGATAATTGTTTTGGTGCACAATGCGACATTGCACCTAATATTTCAGTTGCAGCAATTTTTGTACGCCATGATTCATCATCTAAAGCAGCTAGTAACAATGGCAATACTAATTTAACACCATGAGCACTCAATTTACGCATTACAACTTTTGCTGTCTCATCAGCTGCTTCGCGAACATAAATTGAATTATCGCCAAAGCATGTAAGCAAATGTGGAAGCACGTGAACTATATACGGCTCAAACAAGCGACCTATATATAAAAGAAAAAAAGAAAACGTTTTATAAACACGAAAATGACGTCTATAAAGTACAATTTTATTACCTAAAGTAGAACAAAGCATTTCGAACGCAAATAGTGCTCCCTCACGACACTTGTAATTCTTCTTATCCTGTATATGGTTCGTTAACTTTGACATTATATCAAGCTGTTTGAGCGATAAAATACCCAATCCTTTTACTAAGCCTGCAATTCCATAGGCAGCTCCACGTCGTTCACCTTTTAAGAAGAAATTAATAATAAAATAACGGTCAATAATATTTTTAAAATTCAACGTTCTTCGAAAATTTTAAAAATTTGTGAAGCGAAAACTTCAAAATGCTAATGATGGTTTAAAAATTACTCACCATATTTATCAGATTTAACAAGTTGATTCATCAATTTCTTTACAACTTGTGGTGCTTGATCTTTCATAGATGGGATTAAATGAGGTATACAGTTGGCAACAGCTTCTTGAACTTGTTGAGAAGGTGTGGCAAGAGCAGTTAATAATCTGTAAACAATCGGTTCGATTCTCTTATCTTCCTTATCTAAATGCCTTGCTAATGAACCCATTAATATAACAACTGCTTGACGGATATTATCAAATGATGGGACATTCGGTGCTTTATCGAGAAAATCTTCAAATACAGGCAATAAAGTTGTTACACACTGTTTTCCATGCAAATCAACTATTTCTAGCGAAGCAGCAAGCATTTCTTTATGGACAATTTCTTCTCGATCACGTAAGCCTGTTGATACCATAAATTGAATGATTCTTTCTACAGTTTCCAAGTCAAAAAACTGTGATATTTGACTGATTGTTATGGCAACACCACGACGAGGAGACCACATGTCAATTGCAGGAACAATTTCTCTATTGAATTGATCGAGAACAGCTGGAACTAAAGACAACTTTTCAGTATAAGTTTCTAAAAGTTTATCGAGAACAGGAATAACTCTTGATTGATCTTCACGTAAAATTGTTACAAGAGAGCCTGCAGCAGCCTTCTGAATACAATTCTCATCGTGAATAATATCCCTTAAAATTTCTTCACTCAGAGCTATCGGTATTTCAAAGCAGCTCTTTGTCCACAAATAATCAGCTTGATCTTGAATTTCAGTTGCCACGTCATGCTTTGCAATCCAAACTCTACGTAATATGAAAAGTCCAAGATCATTGTCGTCCTCGATATTTGGTAAGACATCCATGATTTTATTTAATGAACGAATGGCGCAATCACGAATCATTTCCTTGCTACTTTCAAGCATTTGCAAAATAAAGAAAATTTCATCTCGACTAGCGACAGATCGATGATTTTCACCTGACAATGCCTCAGAGACATCTAAAAATGCCGAACATGCTTGTGACTGAACTTGCCCATCAAAGTTTGTAATTAAGCTTAAAAGTAAGCGAAGCATTTCTAATGTTGGAAGATATTTTGGGTGTGAAAAGTCATCATAATCTCCATTAATGGTAGTTCCTTTAATTTGTGCATGTTTAGAGATCAATTCAATTCCAGTTAATAGCTCTTCTTGTCCTACAAATTCAGACAATAAAGTCTGCTTAAGAAATTCAAAAATGAAGGAAAATGTCGGTGCATCAAATACTTTAGGAGTATCCTTGAATCGGTCTTCTTCGTTTTCAAAATCCTCGTAAAGATCATCATCTTCTAAAGTTGAGAATAGTTCAGAAATAAATGTAGCTATATCAATTTTAGTCCATTCATCAGGTAAGCTACATTTAGGCTTTAAAAGTCTGATTGTAGCTAATGCATAGTTTCGTCCAACACTTGGTTTTCCTTTGAATAGATTACTTCCCAACAGATAATACAAGTTCGACAATGATAATGCTGATAATGGTGATCTTAGACCTCTCAAAATTGTTTGCAACAAAATTGAGTAATGAAGTGAGAGAAATTTGCTATTTCCTTTAAAGCATGCCTGAATCTGTGAAGCTGCTCTCTCTAATTTATCATTCATTGATGTCAATTTCAGTCTAATCTGACTTTCCTTTTCTAATTGATTCTTAATTGCCTCCTTTTGCTTTGGCGTATATTGTGGCTCTTTAGACTTTCCAGCCTGTTGCTTCTTTGCCTCAATTTCACGACGAAGTTGAATCTCTTCCAATTGTTCTTTATAACTGTACGCTTTATTTTCTCGCTTAATATGTGCTGTCTTTTCTTCCTCATTACTTGGCATGACACTCTTGTCATACAACTCACCTTCGGGAGTCAAATAAGTGAAATATTCTTCATCCATAATACCAACAGATGCTACTTCATTGAGAATAGTATTTACATTTTCAACAATCATTGGCATCGTTGCTTCGGGATTTAAATTAACAATTGCAGCTACAGAATTTTCATACATGCTGTTACATTTATAATCATTTAAAATTACATTTTGTAATTCTTCCCAGTTGTTTGAGATGAAATCACTTCCCTTTAACATATTTAATTCCAAAATCTCTTCCAATAATTCTGAATTTAACGAATAAATCGAGTCATGATGCATAGCTAAAATAGCGTGATTTAATATCGATTGTGTGTCCTTTTCGTCTGCGTAGTTTGGTGAACAAATAGTGAATAAAATATTTATAATTGCTTCTGCGGGCATCGAACGTTCATTTTCGTCAATTTCCTCGTCACTGTGTAATGTTATTTTTGATTTAGCCATCAATTTTGTAAGCTCATTTAAAATATTTTTCGCAAAATGCATTCCACTATTGGTGCTGATCAACCTTTCGATTGACTTTATAGCCTTTGCTCGAACAGTTTCAATATTGGATGTTGCTGCTAATAGAATGCATTTATACAATCGAATCGGTTCGCCTTTTAACTCATTATTAAAGTTAATCAGAAGCTTCTCGCTCATAATCAATAGATTGCACAAACTTTCACTTCCAATGTTGCTTATAAACTTTTCAGATATGAAAATCTCTTTCTTCATATCTAAGACGATATTCCAAAACGATGTTAATGATTCGTCCTTAACAGACAAAATTGACAAAAGAATGCATGCTGCAGCGAGTCCTTCGCATAAAACTGGTGCTTGATTTATACTTTGAGAAGCTTTTTCGACAATTTTCAATAAATCATTCTTAAAGTCAGCAGCAGACGATAAATCTGTTTGGTACAAACAGTTTAAGAACCATTGAAGGTAGCTTACTTTAACCATTTGTGACTTATGATTTAGTCCCTTTTTGAACCATTGAACGACTTTAGAATCGAGCTCATTTGTAAAGAAAATTGACCATAAACCAAACATTTCTAGTCCATGACAAATTACCTTCTCTTGAATCTCAGCATCAATAATTTTAATAAAATTTTCACTCACAAATGGCATCAATTTAGTAATTTCCTCTGTCGGTACCTGATTGTATGATAAATTTCCGGCTCCTTGAAGCAAACTATTGCGATATTCAGCAACTGTAATTTTCCCTTCAGAACCATTCAAAATTGCAAAGATATTCTTCATCATTGTTTCAATCGTCTTTGAATCTGAACATTTCATAGCGAGTTGTTTTAATCCATTCACAGAATATGTTCTATTTAAATCAACTTTTGAGTGGAGATTTTGGATCAAGACTTTTCCGATATCCAAGCCATTTCCATCAACATTACAACGTAAACCACTAATTATGTGCTCAACACCTTCAAGAATGGTTTCAGGACTTCTTAACATTGATCGTTGGATTGCTGGCAGTAGATTACTCTTGACTTCATCTTCAGTTAACATGTTCAAATAGATTTGTGATGCAATATAAAGGTGACAGTCCAGTTTAGTCTTAACTGTAATTAGACCTTTAGTAAATTGATTTAAATAACTTTTTCTGTGTGCCTCGATGAATGTAATATCAGCCTTTTCCTCTATTTGAAATCTTAAGACAGCCACGAGAATTATGAATGAATTGTATGTTGGTTCCGTTCCGTTGAATTTATTAAAATATTTTTGAAACGATTCCTCAGTTTGATCCAGCCAATAAGTTTTAAAATACTCGTATGCCATTTCAACACTTTTCGTATTGTTTGTTTGTAAGCTGAGAGCATAAAGTATCGATTGATATTCCATTAAAAGAGGGTATTGAGTCTTCCCGGCATTTGATGATGAATTACAGCTATTAGCAATGATAAATGTCCATTTTAGAGCAACTAATGCTGCCACACAAGCTTTGGAAGGTGGTGCGTTGACAAGTTCTTTCGTACACAATGCCTTAAAAATAGCATTAAATGCCTCAATCGATTGATCTGGATCTTTTAGACACATTTCACTAATTAATTCATTTACTGATGTCTGCGATGCTTCATCTTTGTACTTTACTAATGTCATAGCAATCAGCTTAGTTACTCCTTGAAAGCCTTTTGTGTTCATGTCTAAAATTATTAAATTATCGGTGTATTAATAGCATTATCAATGAAATGAAAAAAAAAATATCTTTTTACCTTTATGAGCCAGCACATTTTTTATGTCTTGAAAAATTGCTGGACGTTCCTCAATGCTCACAGAAAACATTTTATTCTGAAGCTGCTTCAAAGCATTAGTCAGCTGTAATGAAAAACATTAGATGCAATTCAAATTAGTGGAAATGTGAAAATTTGCGAATTTTATGTAAAATTTACTTCTTCACTCAGTGCCATGTCTGCTTTTTTATGTTCTTCCTGTATTTTTTGATTCTGTTATCCTCTTATACTTATCAATCTATTAATCTTCTTGTTACAGTACACGATTCTGTTATAAAACTTGTTAATTTAATGATTTAATCACTGAATTGTTGTTTTTTTGGGAACTTTAGAGAAACAGAAAAAGGAATAACCAAAGTTTCTGCGGGAAATGAATTCAAAATCAATCTAGTCGTTATTTTTTTCACTTTAAAAATCACCAAAACAAGACTATCTCATTAGTTTCTGCTGAAACGGTTAACAGAGATCCTTATTAAATGCTATAAATCATTGAGAACAAGTGCTAGCTATCTTGAAAACATCAGGGGTTTACGATTTGAATAATGTTTTGATTGAAGTTTGAGGGGAAAAACTATGTTACGAAATTTGAAGCTGAATTGATGCAAGCGAGGACCTCCATTGAATTTTTTGAAAAAAGAAATATTTCAATAAAAAAATTAAAATTGTTAAATTATGGCCAATAAAGAAGTATTTGCTGAAGATCAGCATGGACAGAAGATTGATCGCTGCTTTTCAGATGCATTCATTAAACTTGGTAAGTGAATCATCGTCTAAAATTAATGAAAATCAAAATCTTAATTTTGACAAAAAATTATTTCATAATTCACGCTTATTAATAGGTGTGGGAGCATCACTCGGTATTGTAGGCAGCTTAATATTCTTTAAAAGAAGGATGTGGCCAATTTATGGAGGTTCCTTCTTTGGTCTTGGAGGTAAATTTGTGAAAAAATTTCTTTCATAACTCATTACTGGATTCTTCTTATTCCATTTATTAGCGGCTTACCAAAATTGTCAGAAGTCATTAAACAGCTCATAAGACAACCTGTTCAACATGCTTAATAACTTTATAAATTAATGAAATATTAGTGTGGAAATAAAAAAGAAACGTTTTAGTTTATAATCGGAGAAAAGAGAAGAAACTTTGTAGACTGAAGCCATTTTAATGGATATCCTGCGATCCTGTTTTAGTTGAATCATGCTCTTTATTAATGGAAGAAATCCAATTGTGATTAAGAATTATTGAATTCAGGAATATGCATTAGAATGTATTCAGCCCTAAGTTCTTTATTGAGATCAAGTATTAATGCGTTTATAATATATTAGTATTGGTACAATTATTTTGACTAGGTGACAGTTGCATATAAAATACATAAATTAAATTAAACAAGATTAAATAATTCATTCTACTATAAATTAAAACAAATCACACAAATCAATGTTTGTGGACTACAAAAAAAATGCAATCAACAGCTTATTTAGTAGGAAAATCGGGCCAGTAATTAATGAAATATCTATGAGTTGATCCTTCAAATAGCCTGTCAAGCCAATTGTTTAAACCGTCTAATAAGTTTTCTTCCAGTAAAATCTTCGAGTCATTGATGTCTGTGTGGTCTGAAGATTCGTCACTTTCATCAAATCCCAAAAATGCTCCCGTTTCTAAATCGTCATATTCATAGCTCAAAGTTTTGGTCATTTGAAGCATTCGCTATTGGATTAGAAGAAAGAAAAAAAAATTAATATCTGACAATTAGCAAGTCTCGTTTATTTTACCCTATTGCCACGGCTGCTCTCAGGATGCTTAGCATGATACATGCAAAAATATTTTCTATGGCCATTGAGTGCTAAAACTGTTCCAATACAGTTTCTTGGATTTATTTTTAAATCACGTGGTTCACTGTTCATTAGTGATAATCTTAATAATTCAGAGTACCAACTTAGTCCCTTTTCGGTCAACATTATAGCAAACATCAAGGTTTTATTTCTCCTATAAATTATAGCAAAATGTTAAATAAGATCTTATTTAAAATGTTTAATCACGAATTTCATACCGGTATGGCCATATAGCTTTATGAAACCCTGGTAATAATTTTGGTCGAGATTGTTGGTCAGCGATTAAGATAATTGTTCGACAGCCCGGCTTCAAAAGTCTGATTAATCCATTGTATTTTTCAGCTCTCAGCTCATGAATCTTCAACTCTGGAACAAATGCCGGTTTTTCTGTATAAATTGAATTAAGATTCACAAAAATCAATTTGACATTAATTTTATGTAGCTTACCGTCTTCTTCATCAGTTACTATATGTTGTTTCTTTACGTTAGCTTCCTCAATTTTCACGAGATATGACATTAAATATCCGATTCCGAGGATAAATAAGAATGTGCCAAGAACTGAAGCAGCTGGGAATAAATGCTCATGCCCTAAGCTATCGTAGAGGTAGTCGATGCTAATAATGATACGCTTTATTACACGAGATGCTAAGCCTTGGGAATGTTCATCAAAAAGATCCTGCGAGAAAAGATGTTATTAATAACTTGAAATATGTCACGTATTATTATTTTTCGAGTTATCAGATATATATTTTTGAAGAGATTGCGATGGTGTATGTCCAAAAAAAAATATTAGGAAGATGCTTCAATTTTCATGCCGGGTTATTTAAAGTGTTTTTGCCAAAACCGTGCCACAGCTGTGTAAAACAGTAGAGGCTCAGTGGTCTAGGGGTATGATTTTCGCTTAGGGTGCGAGAGGTCCCGGGTTCAAATCCCGGCTGAGCCCCATCCTTTTTTGCATCTTTGTCCAATTTTTCGCATCTTTAATAATTTAAAGAAGCGAAAACATTTTTTTGCTGATTTCGTTTCTTTCATCCTAAAATTTCTTACATCTTATTCGGTCCACTTTCGATTCATTTCAGTCGATACTCTCTTGTGTTCACGATAATATTTTCAAAAATAATGTTTTGGGAAGCAATAAAAATGATGCGAAAACTTGCTATAATTTTTTTATAGCAAACAATTCTTTTTGAAAATGAAAATTTTAACGGCAAAAAATTGATAAAATAAGGACTATCAAAAAAGAACGGGCTCAACCGGGATTTGAACCCGGGACCTCTCGCACCCAAAGCGAGAATCATACCCCTAGACCATTGAGCCAATTTCATTGCTGCACTGATTGATTTGCTGCGATGTTTTCGATTCAACAAATGACCAATCGAGTTTTTTTTTAAGTTTTTGCACACTTATGTTTCGTGTATACCTAAAAGTAATTGACTCTCGTTTATGCATTGCAATCATTTTTAGTCTATGTACGCTTAAATTCATACCGAAATGAATTTTTCATTTAGATTCTTGAAAATTTTAAGGATTCTTGGTAAGACTGTACGAGATGGGGCACCCTTTTATTTTTGATTTTAAAAGTGTTCTTATTGCTTTTAATGTGTACATTTATAAAAACAAAAGTTTTCGTGGCGGAAACGCATTTGGAACAAAAAAATTTTTTTGCAGTTAATTTGCAGGAGTTGATCAAAAATTTTATTTTAGCAGGTGGTTTGCAGGAGGTTTGCAGGTGGTTTGCAGGAGGTTTGCAGTAGATCAAAAATTTTATTTTTGCAGGTGGTTTGCAGTTGATCAAAAAATTTTATTTTTGCAGGTGGTTTTCAGTTAATTTGCAGGAGGTTTGCAGTTGATCAAAAAATTTAATTTTTGCAAATGGGTTGCAGTTGATTTGCAGTTGAGAAGTTTTATTTTTGCAGGTGGTTTGCAGTTGATCAAAAAAATTTATTTTTGCAGGTGGTTTGGAGTTGATCAAAAAAAATTATTTTTGCAGGTGGTTTGCAGGAGGTTTGCAGTTGATCAAAAATTTTATTTTTGCAGGTGGTTTGCAGTTAATTTGCAGGAGGTTTGCAGTTGATCAAAAAATTTTATTTTTCCAAATGGGTTGCAGTTGATTTGCAGTTGAGAAGTTTTATTTTTGCAGGTGGTTTGCAGTTGATCAAAAAAAATTATTTTTGCAGGTGGTTTGCAGTTGATCAAAAAAATTTATTTTTGCAGGTGGTTTGCAGGAGGTTTGCAGTTGATCAAAAATTTTATTTTTGCAGGTGGTTTGCAGTTAATTTGCAGGAGGTTTGCTGTTGAGAAGTTTTATTTTTGCAGGTGGTTTGCAGTTGATCAAAAAAATTTATTTTTGCAGGTGGTTTGCAGTTGATCAAAAAAAATTTATTTTTGCAGGTGGTTTGCAGGAGGTTTGCAGTTGTTCAAAAAAATTTATTTTTGCAGGTGGTTTTCAGTTAATTTGCAGGAGGTTTGCAGTTGATCAAAAAAATTTATTTTTGCAAATGGTTTGCAGTTGAGGAGTTTAATTCAATTAATGTTAAGAAAAGATGAAACTTTAAAAAAAACTCTAAAAAGCCGTTTTGATCAACTGCAAACCACCTGCAAAAATAAATTTTTTTGATCAACTGCAAACCTCCTGCAAACCAACTGCAAAAATAAAATTTTTTGATCAACTGAAAACCTCCTGCAAATCACCTGAAAAAATAAAATTTTTGTTCAACTGCAAACCTCCTGCAAACCACCTGCAAAAATAAAATTTTTTGATCAACTGCAAACCTCCTGCAAATTACGTTTCCACCAAAAACTTTTGTTTTTATAAATGTACACATTAAAAGCAATAAGAAAACACTAAAATCAAAAATAAAAGGGTGCCCCATCTCGTACAGTTTACCCGAATTCTTGATTACTCAGAACTCTTGAATGTTTTATAGGAAACATGAAAATTTGAAAGTGAAACAAAATAAAAATTCATTATAATCTAAAAGTGATAATACGAAAATTTTCGAAGGAGTATACACTATGAGACTTCATACGGATAAAATAAGAAGCAAAAAAATTAAAGATCAAAAAAGAAGTTTTGGGCTCAACCGGGATTTGAACCCGGGACCTCTCGCACCCAAAGCGAGAATCATACCCCTAGACCATTGAGCCAACTTATTTTGATGATGAATGCTAGCAAAAGATACATTCGTTTCTTAAAGAATGTGAAACTTGTTCCACTTTCTCCCCTCCACAATTAATTTTATGAAGATATCATGAGCTCTTATTTCTCTCTTGAGGTGCACAAATATGAGTTATTTTGAATCGTTAAACAGTGAGAGGAATGCCACACAGCACAAATAAAAAGTTTCAAGACGAAATACGACCACGTGTCAATAAAATTATTAAAAGAGCTCTTGTAACAATTATTAAATAGGATTCCGGTATCGAACATCATCATAGAAAATACAGAACAAGGATTGAGAAAACAAAAATAATCTCAAAGTCAAGGTGCATTAAGAGGACTGGATTACTTGTCAAAATAAAAGAATTTAAGTTAAAGCAGCACATCTATCAGTATGAGAAAAAGTGTGAAAGTGAAATAGTATCAAAAATAAAGTGAAACGTGAGAAAATGAATTTCAAGATGAAAGTTAAGCTTTTCACCTTGACAATGCAACATCATTGACCAATTTTCGATTAACAGGACATTTAAGGACCAAAAAAGAAATTGGGGCTCAGCCGGGAGTTGAACCCGGGACCTCTCGCACCCGAAGCGAAAATCATACCAACTAGACCACTGAGCCTTTGCCGATCTAACCTTGCCATTCGAGCCAATGAACGGAAGTCTGGCGTTGCTCGTTTTTGACAAATGCACTTCAAAAGCTAGACCCATTTTCAATGCACAATCTCACCCTTAAAATAGCTTAATTAATGTATTTTATGAAAAATTTTATCCATCCAGAATCTAATTTTATCAGTACTAATAATTAAGATCAAAAAGTATCCAAAATGAGATCAACAAAAGCTAGAAAATATCAAGCACATTTCGCTCAAAAAGCTGAATCTTCAAGCTCACAATTTTGATGTCATTAAGCACTTGAAAACTTTATGTTTGTGAACATAACGGGGGTTTAAATTATTAAAAATTTCGGGAGAACGTTGTGGTAAGTGGACCAAAAAGCTATGGAACAGTGTGAAAATAAAATGTTACTTACCAAAACTTCAGCCTCGTATGCTAGTGCCTCAGTGGATTTTAAAAGTTTTTGGATTGTGTCGTCAATTTTACGTTTAGTTTGATTGTAGTTGGTTTCATCCTCTTCAATGCTTGATGTCTCTTCCAAAACAGGATCATTGATCCATTCAAATTTAACATGACGTGCATCTCGTCTCCAAATTATAACAACTCTAAGAGTTTTATCCTCAACATGATTGATTGATAAAGCATTTATAAACTCTTGTTGTTTTTCCTTGTAAATATATGCAAACTTAACGCGTTCATTATATGTCGATTCTATTGCTATTCGTCGAATAATGTGTCGTGCATAGTCATGATTACGTGAATTTTCAGTTATTAAAATAACACACAATCTCTTTTTTGATCGATGCCATTCCATTGGACATATGCCGTCCAACATATTTTGTGATGATAATCGTGGAAGAGCTAAGTATTGATTTCCTTTAATAATATTATTTAACGTTTGTAACGATATATCAGACATGGAAACACTCGCAATTGGTCTATTTGAATCTTCATTGAATAATAACAAGCTATCCATATGAGCATTAAGTTTATAACGTTCAATTATTTCCTTTGAATCACCTTTCAATGTTTGAATGAAGCCAAAATGAACGTGATTCTTAAAATAGAATGCACTCAACAGATATCTGAGTCGTGGTTGTAAGCGAGGTTCAAAAATTAGTGCTCTCACACGATTATCATGCCAGCCATTAAGAAATGAGTCGAGTGAGGCATCATTGATTGGCAGCACTAGTTTATATGGCAGTTTTTGACGTATAAAATCAGCCATTTTTTGGAGAGTAAATGAGCTCTCCTTATAAACATAACTATGTTCGTCTAATATCATTGCAATGCTTGGTAATGCATGAATTGAAGATTTTCGGACAACACTTTGCTCATGTCCTGCATTAACGGTTGCAAAAGTAACACCAACATTTTCGAATGCATCCATTATTTTCTTAAAAGTATTTGCTGCTCTAATGCAAGCAAAACACCAGTCCGAATAAAATATGAGGATATAAGGCGTCTGTTTACTCTTTGGCAGAATGTTTGATTCATAATATTTTGCTGTGATTGAGAGTTTATGGAAAAAACTAATGTCTTGATTTTGATAGAATGTCTTGTGACCGAAAAAATCATCGAATGGATCAAAACTGAATTTTCCATACTGAGAATAATCTGGACGTTGCCGTTGATAGTCCTCATTCGTGATACCATATAAATCAAACGATTTTCGTCTCTCAGGATCTGACAGCAGCTCGTATGCTGATTTAATTTCTATAAACTTTTTCTCTGCATCCACTGCGTCCGTTTTATCTGGATGCCTTCAAAAATCAATAAATTCACTTGTTAAAAATAAATTTTCAATTTTACTTATAAATTTTTCATTTACCATTCTTTTGCTAGCTGCTTATAAGCTTTTTTAATTTCCTGCAATGATGCCTTCTTCTCGATACCCAAGATTTTATATGGATTATCTAAATTAGTACATTCATTTACTAAAATGAAGCTTAAGCTTATTAACAGAAAAAAGTATGATCTCATTGTTTTGATTTCTACAATTAATAATCGGAACTCAAAAATATTGCACGTTTTAGGAACTTAAAGCTATAATTTTTGGCTATATTTAAATTTTACTTAAAAGAACAAAAAAAATTCTTTTTTCTATTTTCCCTAATTTTTCTCGAAGATGAAAATGAGATCTACAGAAAAATGTTAACAAGTCATTCCAAAACATGCGAAGAAAGCGCCTTTGTAACAGTTGGTCTGCTGACCTTATATTCAGTCTTAAATATGTGACTAGATTCGTTTATAAATAGATTTTGTTTTTAACGAATTCTTAATATTTGAATTTTGACACGTGGTTGTAGACAATTGATTAAAATCTACAGATATGTTTGACTTACGTGATTATAGCCAGACAAAGCGCTTGAAAATTTAACATTCTTATTATTTGAAGCTAAAATTCATTTAGTAGAGCTCTGCTATGAAATATCGTTGAAAACATCTACTAGCATGCGGTACTATCATTTTAAAAGCATGCTTAAATATTTATCCTGGAATCAAAAGAGAAAAATAATGTTTGAATAAAGATTTGGAATCATTTTGCGTTGAAGCAAAAAAACATTTTTTTTTTATTTTTCCTTCTTTTTTTGTTAGATCGATGTGATATCCTTTACAAAGCAATATTTCTGTATTGTTTTATATAAAATACATCCCCCGTTATTTGATGCTTATTGCAAATATCTTTGTCCTTCATGGATCTTCATCCATCTTGCCAATGGTCCGTGATCAGGCAAATATTGAACAATGACTCCATCAGGGATGAAACGCTTTTCTTCTTTCAATTCTTCATAGACGTCTCTGTCGTATTTTGTGAATCCCCACTTCTTTGAGATGAAAATCTTTTGACGTCCTGGGTACTTGAACTTGGCACGACGTAAAGCTTCAACAACTTGTGCCTTATAACGATCACTGGATCTTACAGACATGATTGGTTGACCGATGCGAACCCGAGCAACTGTTCCTTGTGGCTTACCGAAAGCACCACGCATACCAGTTTGGAGCCTGTAAAAACATAGGTTTTCATATTAGTTTACTTGTTTATAAAAAGTTGTTATTAGATGAAAGTATGAGTTTAATCAGAGATTAAGTCAACGTGTAAAATTTCTGCTTTTAATCATAAGAAATCTCATAGCCCAATGCTTACTTCATCATATGAATAGCTAGTTATTGGTTAAAAGATAATTGAGGACAAAACATACCTATCAGCTCCGGCACAGGACAACATTTTATTGATACGAATGACATGGAATGGATGGAGTCTCATTCGAATGTGGAACTGATCTTTACCACAGAATTTAACTAAATATTTGTTGGCGCAAATGCGTCCAGCTTCCAAAGCTTCAGAGCTGAGCTGTTCATATTCATCAGACACAAGATGAACACATAGTGGGAAGTCTTCAACTGGTGCTCTCTTTCTTCCTAAATCAAAGATACGGATTTTAGAGTCTGGTACACCACGACAGAAACGCGACTTTGGGTACGGTTTGTTTTTACAGTAACGATAGCTGTAAAGAAATGTGGATTTCATTAATTCGACTGTTAATTATCTAGTCTTTTTAAAGAGTGTTAATGATGAACAAATGTCATACGGATTATTGAGAAAGAAATTGTGGCAATTCAAAATCCTTCTCACCCTAAATCCATTCATTTGCTGTGCCTTCTTATTTGTATTTTCATTTATAAAGTCGAATAGCATTTAATGACTACGAAACTTTAGTCGGAGAAGGCAAATAGATTATTATAAAATGCGGAAATTAATGAACTTACCAACGAGCAGGGCGTCTACCCATTCTGATCTTTTTCAAGGATCTAAAAAGAGATAGAAAAAGTATAATTAATGTTTATCATAACCTCAAAAACTTTAGTCGATGTAATTTTCTTAAAATGATGAAATTCTATCGATTAATTAGATTTTATTGCTTACTAAGTAGTATAGAGCCATGATTCATTCGTGACTTGCATTAATTAAAGCTTAAATCTTAGAAAATTGAAAACTTATTACAACAGATTTAAAGCGTGTAATAAATTTTAGATTTTTTACATTTTCTCGATATTCAGCTACTTAATTCAACTATATACTATGCATTAATCGATAAATGATCAATTTAAGCTACTTTAATACACTAAATAATTAGTTAAAGTATGAAATTAAAATAAGTTTTGTGGAGTAGTCACCTTAATGCTCGAAAAACTCAGAAAAAAGAAGGAATCTAATGTCTACAATTCGGAGAATCAATTGTTGTAGACATTCTTTTTTCTGACTCTCCAAAGTTTTTTGAGTTTAAAATTTTCCGTTATGGGAGTTCTGGGGCATACAGGAGAGTTTAAATATTAAGGACAGCATGTGAATTAAGTTGCAAAAAATGCATTAGTTTATTGCCGCCTAATTAACGGATAGTACTACACATTTTTGCTTAGTCAGAAAAATAGTTAAATAAATATGATTTCTTTTCTTAATAACTTTGTGTTGAGTAAAATGTCTTAATTCTTAGCCGAATTATTTTCACTCGATTTCGTATTTGCTGTGACGCCTTCATTAATATTAGAAGACAATAATTGTCTTGTAGATGAGCTACTGCTATAGCTGCTATCACCACTTCTTGTTGAGACTTGCGAATTTCCACTATGTGGACTATCTGGCAGTTCTGTGTCTTTTACATGAGTCAGTGGAGTTCTTGTCTCCTTCTGTTTTAAAAATTTCAACGTTTTTTTAATGACTTAAAATACTTTTTGGTAGTAGGTTTCAACCTACCTTATCTGCGTCTTTATTTTTTACTGGACTCAGGATCGTATGTGAAGTCTCTTCTGGATCTTCAGGCGTAAAATAATCAGAATCTTCGCCTTTTGTGCACGATTTTTCCTGCAGAGCAACGAACAATAAAATGAAGTAATTAAAATATTATTAAGCTAATTACCTCTGTATTTTCCTTACGTCCATGAGTATTAAGTTCAGTCATTTCTATACATTTTTCCGATACAAGCAACGGAGATAACTTTTCAGCTTCACTATCATCGTCCAATTCCTATGTAATAAGACTCTCAATAAAGCATGTAGAAATAATGTTTAATTATACTTACATTAATTGATGACGCTCTCTCATTAATATATTTGACACAATCTCGGTCTCGTAGCGATAAACTCTTTGTAAGACCTTTCTTCTCCTTCATACTACTTAATGATTTTTTATTATGATCAATGCTGTCGTCGTTTGGAGATAATAGAGGTGGAAGTTCTGAATTATTGCACTTTTCGACCATTTTAAATGTCTCGACTGAATTAGACTTTTGATCTTTTTCGCTAATTGCATGAAATGTGTCTTTTCTGTCAATACTGTTGCGTTTATAAATCGGTCCATTAAGGGCTTCAATTAGAGGGATTGGCATGAATCCTAAAGGAATGTTTTCCGAGCCATCCTGATTAATGTTGATGATAGGCGTGTTTGATTTTTGTACAGCACGAATCTGTAAAAGTGCTCTAAATGGTGATCGACAAATCGGACAATTATTTGCTTGATATCTTAGCGAATCTGCGCAGCTGTTACATAAACATAAATGTTTGCATGGCAAAATTAAAGTATCTCTCGGTTCGCAAATACAAATTACACATTCTGAGCCTGTGTCTTCATCGTCATCATTATTGTTTGGTATCCGCGTTAAATTTTTATTTTCAATTCCATAAATCTCTTGTAATAAATAACATAAACCTGTGAAATAAAACAGAATGAGTAAGGAACGTGATAAAATTAAATGGCAAAATTAATTACCATCAACAAAGATCTTTTGCTTCATTGCACGTAAATGATATTCGCCATCTGAAGTATGATGATCAACGACACAAATGGTTGTGTGAGAATGCACAAAAGTAGAATCGATAGGCTCGTCTATAACACAATGAATCACTATTGGATATATATCCTTGTCACAATCATATTGGAGATTTTCATCTTGGAACTTATTTGGAAAGAATATGTGTGATGGCTGTGAAAAAGTTTGATTTGCTCCTTTTTCGTATTGAAATTTGTCCGAAACCAGTTCAGATTCTTTTGTTACATAGTTAATACTGCTGTTTGTGATTTCCTCAGTTGCAAAGTAATAAATTTTTATAAAACACTTTAGGTCACTATCAAACACAAATTCTACGTTATATCCTTTTCCTGTCTCCGATTTCACAAATTTCACAGATTCCTTTCGTACATTTACAAACGATTTAAGTGTTTTAGTTGGCTCTGAATTTTTGGGTGGCTGATAAGGGAACTGATTCATATGTAAATGGAAGAAAAAGAGAAAAATCGTTAAATGGAACGCAATTAGAATTAATTATTTAAAATACTTACAGCTGTAGGCTTCTGTTGTAAAAAATTAAGGTCGCTGTTTTCGCCAAATAAGTAAGCCTCAGGCTGTGACTGGTCAAATCTCTCGCCACCCATAATGAATGATGAGGAAAAGTAATTTCCTGTATATAAATATGGAATGAATTTTAAAGTACTGAAAAAAAATAGAAATTTTTCACATTCATACCCGATTTTGGTGGATACTTGTAGTTATTGATGATTTCAGTCTCTTCAACTGCATTATTGTTATTTAATTGATTAAGTCGGCTAAAGATTACACCCATTTTAACACTCTTTTTTAATTAATTACACTTTCATCAATGAATTTTTGTTTTTTTTTCTCACTCAAAGTCTACAAATAAACAAGTATAGAAGTCTTTAGTCCAGATCTAAACTGATGAATTAGGCGCATTTATTATTGTGATCGCATCATATTCAACTTTTTTTTTGTAGGCAAGGAGACAGACAAACAGAGAATAAACCTTAAGTGAATTGTTTTACGAAAAATGCGCTAAAAATATGTCTACAGATCTTAAACTTTTATAATCAAAACAAAATATTTGAATATGGACGAAATTAAAGTCTTTAAGTATGACAAATGCTGCTGCTGTTCGAGAAACTATAAAGTATCATCATTAATTGAATTAACTTCCAACTCGATAATCATTGGAGATGAAACCTTACTATTTAATGATTTGATTCTGGATGTTTGTTTTGTGATTCCGGTAAGTTTACAGTTTAATTTCCTGAGTGTATTTACTCTTATTAATGAGGACTTTTTAAGGATGAACATCGAATGAAATACATATGTGAAGGATGTAAGGAACAGTTGGTGATGTTTCACATGTTTAAAAGAGAAGTTAAGAAGTACAATAGCTTCACTGAAAACATCAGAAAACTTGATATATTAGTTAAAATCGATGAAATTCTTAACAACTTTGAGGATATTAGTGATCTTTCAGTCTATCAAAATGAAAGAACGATTATAATTTCAAAGAATCTCGAAGAGAATGAACATGAAATACCACAAAATGAAGAAAACTGCTTAATTGAAAATGAAGGGATGATGATCGAAGAAGATCCAGTAAAATGCCTTATTCAAGACGAAGAATATATTGATGAGCAGGAAGAATCGTGTATTGTTGAGGAATCTAGTTCGATAAATATTAAAGCAGAGGAAGGCACGTCAGAATATTCATATAAAGATGAGCAAATGACTGATTCTTACAATAGCTCAGAAGGAACTTCAGCTAAACGTCGCAAGAAATATTCATATAAAGTTAATACAAATGATAGTTTAATTCCTGAGCAAGTTGCATGGATTAAAAGTCAAGTTACAAAAAGTGAAATATTTGTCGACGGAAAGAAAATGTTTAAATGTCAAATTTGTGCCACAGTTTTACAAATTGCTGGAAGCCTTAAAAAACATTTGCGTGACTGTCATGTGTTAAAAACACCAGACGAGGAAGACGAGAGGGAATCTAAACGAGCATTTAAAGATGAAATTAAAAATAGTAAAATATTAGTAGAGACTAGCAAAGGAACTGAAGAAGTATACAAGTGCCAAAGATGTACAGAAAATCGAATTTTTCGATCAGAAGGTGGATTGAAAGTTCATTTACGTTATAATCACATAAAATCTCACGTAATTGATGCTGAATTTGTTGCAAATTGTAAAATATCAATTGAAATTGATGGACAATTGAAAAATGCTTGGCAATGCCCTGAATGTAAGAAAATTTTAAAATCACGAGACAGTCTCAGAAATCACATGAAACTTGAACATTCAAATGTAGTTGAGAGCTTGCAAAACTCACAAAGTTCAATGAAAGAGGAAGACTTTATTGATAAGAATAATATTAAAATGGAAGGAATGTCAATGCTATCACAATCTATATCAATAAATGAAGGAAGTTGGCAGCTGTTGACAAAAAAGAAAAGTCATCAAAGTTTAAGTAATGTAGTCTGCGAACCTTGTGGCTTAAAATTTGTACATGGCAGCACAAAACGTGAAAAAAGTCAAGAGATTCATCAGCAATTACATATTATTTTAAAAGTTGTGTCTCAAAGCTATGAACTTCCAAAATGCGAGCAATGCAAAATAATGTTCAGTAATAATGAAGATCTGGCTAATCACTTGATTACTCATGATAACGAAGAGATTTTTACTTCAGAAGGCTTATCTTTTATGGTAGCTACAAAGTACAAAGAGCCAATTGGAACAGCTGGTAATAATGAATATGATAAATGGAAATGTGGACATTGTATCAATGTTAGATTTAAAGATGAAGTTGAGTGCATTGAACATTTAATGATATTGCATTCCAAACAACTTATATGTCCAGTTGATTATTTAGAATTCAACGGAATTCGTGGATTAAGTCAATTTTCCACACACATGAAAAATAAACATCCAGAAATGTTTCCCGAACTCACAATCACATGCTCATACTGTAAACTGGAATTTTCAAATGTGTTTGATAAACTAGCACACATGAAAATTTGTGATACAAAAGAATTTGCTTGCGATCACTGTTCCAAAAAGTTTTTTACTAAGACACAATTATTAAGGCATTTGAAGATTGTTTCTGGAGTTATTTCATTCACATGCGATGTCTGTTCTAAGGTAATAAATTCAATTAATTATGGGAAAAAGTCCTTTAAATTATTTTCTATTTTTTTTTTATGTATAGAAATGTGTCAGTGCTATGGACCTAAGGTTGCACTATCGATGTCATACCAATGAAAAAACTTATAATTGTAGCTTTCCAAATTGCCTGAAAGTGTTCAAAACACCAGCAGCACGAAGTAGTCACATGGAGATTCACTCGTTTATTGAATATGAATGTACTGACTGCAAAGCAATATTTAAGCAGCGTGCTCTACTTCAACGACACTTGAAGAATATGAAATGTAAAGGAACACACTTGACTAAACCGAATATCACTCAAACTTCTTAGATTTGTAAGTTTTTGATATAAAAATGAAATGTTGGAAATAATAAAAATTAATTTAAAGTTCAAGGATTCAAACTTGTAATTGCTTAGACATTTGATAGACTGCAAATACAACTCGCAGTTCCAATTAATTTAACGGCATCAATATGCTCTCAATTTCATTTCGAATGAAGTGAATTAAATGATCGCACTTTACTTTCTAAGTTTCATTTATTTCAAATGCATGCCAATCTTTTTATGTTGTAGTCACACAAAGAAATCAGCGAGAGAGGAAAGAAAGTGACTCACACACTACGAAGAAGTAGTCATGATCATTTTTAGTCGGACACAAATAATTTTTTTTCTTCTCCGTAAACATTTGTTAACTAAACACGTTGTGAGAGACTAGACTTCTTAATTTAAAGTATATATTATTTTTGTTGTCTTGTTTCGTTATCAGTCGTATTTTTTTTCTGCGGCTTAGTCTTACAGAGAACTTTAAGCGCGTATAAATGTTTTGCGAAGCCTTCATATTAGTTTTTAAGTCAGTTGCATTGTGACAGTTAATGAGTTGACATGAGTCGATACGACTTGAGATTCAGAAATGTTCAATATAATGTTAAAAACCCAATAACGAAAAACAGTGAGTAGGCATAACACGCGTATTTAATTTTTAATCATTTAATTCCTTATTTTTTAAAACAAATTTAATGAATAGATAAGATCATTTTAAATAACGTGAGTGGTGAGTTTCGATCAAATGAGTTAACAGCTATAATTGGACCAAGTGGAAGTGGAAAAAGTTCACTGTTGAATGTCTTGTCTGGATACCAAACAAAAAAAGTTGATGGATCTGTTCAACTGAATGGGGTTGAATGTCAAGAATTTATTCAACAATACTCGTCTTACATCATGCAAGAGTACAAATTTCATCAATTTATTACTGTCTTTGAGACCTTAATGTTCTCAATCAATTGCAAAACCACAGAAACTGATGATAATGCGAAGAGGGAAAAGGTTTGTAAAGGGTCATCCACAAGTGGCGTTTGTTAATACAAATAAATTTTTGACACCATACGTGAACGATCCTTAAGTTGCGACTTACAATTAAATTCCTGACTTAATTCAAGGTCAATATTCTCAATATATTTTTCAAAGATTCAAAATATTTTAAACAAGATCGGCTTGTGTAATCGAGAAGATGTTTATGCCGGCGACTTAAGTGGAGGAGAAACTAAGAGATTATCAATCGCAATAGAACTGTTGGACAATCCAAAAATTTTATTTCTTGATGAGCCAACGACAAATCTTGATTCTGTTACATCAACGCAATGTATACAGCTTCTCAAGAATTTGGCAGCAGAAGAGAGAACAGTCATTTGTTCAATTCATCAACCATCGGCAATCACCTTTCAAATGTTTGATCATGTGTATGCTCTGGCGAATGGATGCTGCATATTTCAAGGCCCTCATCGAAATGTTGTTCCATTTTTAAAAGACCTTGACCTTATTTGTCCATCCACATTTAGCCCAGCTGATTTCTTACTTGAAATCGCAAACAATGATTACGGGAGTCAAAATGATAAATTGAGAGAGAAGGCGATTGTGAGAGAATCAAGAAAAATAAATCCTGCTGATGTGCCGGTAGACACGCTATCAGCAAAAAAATTAATCAAGATATTGAATGCACAATGTGTTAAAAACGAAATATCGGCACTGATAAAGCGTAATTGGTTGAACAATGCACGAGATAAGACATTGACATTGTTGAGACTCGCGATTCACTTTGCTATGGCCGTATTTATCGGAATTATGTATCAGGGGATAGGTCAGGAAAGCTCTAATATTCTGAATACATACAAATTTCTGTTCTTTAATATTTTCATACTCATGTTTACCGCGTTTAGTTCACTACAAACCACATGTGAGTATTCTTTTAATTAATTACTATTCTCACATGATATTAGAGATTAATAATTAATACGCTTAGTTATGAGCTTTCAAAAGTATCTTTCCCTTACCTTTAACATTAATCTTTTTGAAGTCAATTGTACAAAGACCTGTTTTTCTTCTTTCTTTGCAGTCCCACTTGAATTCCCAATCGTCAAGCGCGAAAACTTCAATGGAACATACTCAGTTTTTAGTTATTTCATAGCTTTATCGTTATCAGATGCACCGATATTAGTTGTATGCAATCTGATTTATGTAACTATTGCATATATTTTGACAAATCAACCATTCGAATTTTCTAGATTCACAGCATACTTTGTGATCATAATATTGTTAAGTTTTGTGGCACAAGGATTAGGATTGATTGCCGGTTCAATGTTAAATGTAAAGTTCACCTTAATCCTCGGATCATTCTTCATTTGCCCATTTGTATTATTCTCAAACTTCTTTATTCAAATGAAAGATACTGAGAAAATATTCCACATACTGTTTAATTTATCATTTATCAAGTATTCCTTCGACGGATCAATGTTATCAATATTTGGTTTTGATCGTTCAAAAATGAGCTGTGATGCACAATACTGTCACTTCCGTTGGCCTCAAAAATTCCTTAATTTTTTACAAATTAATGAAAATTATTATTCCATTTTAATTAAATTGATGGTCTTTATCTTTGTATTTAGAGCAATCGCATTTACAATTATGTATATAAAGCTTAAGAGATGATATGGCAATAAAGTTCATGACAATAAGAAAATAAAAACCTAACAGCTGTTTTTTTAATTATCGCATGTAGCTCAATGGAAACAAATGTTAATTGATTGTATTTGTGAGAGAAACTTTCTATGGTCGTTGAATGTGTGATGACTTCGTAGAATACTTGGGAGATTCGGTTAATACTTTAGGGGCCGTTCACTTATTACGTTTGCATTTTAGGGGGGAGGGGGGTTTTGAAAAATTGTAACAAAATGTAACATAAGGGGGGGGGGGGGTCAAGAAGTATGTAACGTTCGAACTGTCGTCTGATTCACGAAAAAAATTTGTTAACAAATTCACACCAAAAACATTTTTTAAATTTTCCACCTTTTTATCAAAATAAAATTAATTATGAACGTTCAGGGGGGGGGGGGGGGGGGTGTGAGTTGTAACATATTGTAACAAGGGGGGAGGGGGGGGGATGAAAAAAGCGTACGTTTTTTTGCGTAACGTAATAAGTGAACGGCCCCTTAACCTTGTGTTCAATAGAATTCTCAAGAATTCTCTTTATTTTGATTGAGTAACTTTAATTAATCATTTGCTAAGGGGCTGTTCACTTATTACGTTACGCAAAAAAACGCGTTTTTTCACCCCCCTCCCCCCTTGTTACAATATGTTACAACTCACAACCCCCCCCCCCCTGAACATAATTTCATTTTATTTCTTTTAAATCTAAAAAGACGGTTAAATTTCTTTTGTATTTTTTTTTCTTAAACATCAAAATACTGTATAACTTAATACTGTATAGTATTCTCATGAATTATTGGATTGAGATATAAAGCAAAAATTTGGTTTTTTTTTGAAGAAAATTCAAAAATGTCATGAAAAATATTATGCCCGATCGAATTTTGGAAAATTCAATCAACTTTGATATAATCACAATGATGGGATCATATTAATCATCATATGAATGACAGATTTAGAGATATTTACTTTTAAACTTATGATTGATTTAATTTTGAAAATTTCCACAAATTATGATTGTATTTTAAAGTCTTGTAAACCAGTTTTCTATTTATTTGTTGCTTTATATAACAAAAACTATGTGTTGCTTACCTATCAAAAGTGATCTGGACATGATGTTGGGTTATACGTCCAGAGATAATAAGTCCAGATACAAAAATCGTGCACAGAAAATTATAAGTCCAGAAAATCAAAGTCAATAAAGGTTTATAAGTCCAGATACAAATTGCACCTGGACTTAAAAACCTCATGTGCAGTTGATAAGTCCAGGTACAAATACAGCTGGAATTATAAATTGCACGAGAGGTTTTTAAGTCCAGGTACATTTTATATCTGGACTTATAAACCTCACGTGTGCTTTATAATTCCAGAAAATTCATAAATTTTACTTAAGATCAATTTTCTGGACTTATAATCCTTGAAAATTATTTGTGAAACTATTTCAATTTTTTCCTGTAAAGCAATTCTACAAATGAATTTTTCTGATTTTTTTTCCTCTAAAGTACCTTATGTATATATAGTAACTTATCTTCCAAATCATTGTTTAAATTTTAAGGAAGTTTTCGAAGATAAATCAATTTTTCTGATGTAAATTTACGTCTCCGAAAAACTTCAGCTTTTATTTTCCTAATACGTTTTAAAATTTTTTTTTTTAAATTAAAATTTTATTTTATATAATTTGGCAAGTCAGCTAAGCTTTGCTTAGCATATGGTTGAGATTTAAAGCTTAACAAACATTCTAAAATGTTTTTTCAAAAAAAATTTTATCAGCCAAACTTTAATTTTATAAACTTTTATAAACAACATTCTAATCAAAGAAATTATTGGTAATTAAAGTAAAACTTGATTTTTAAATATCATTTTCCCACGGATTTGGCTTAAGCGCTATTATTGCTTACATTAGTTGCAATAAAATTATTCATTTTTCTGTTAATTGGGTGTCTTTCAAGACAATTTAAATATGCAGAATCATAGAAGATGATAAAATGATCATTTTGATCGAAACCCAACTAGTGTCACAAGAAAAACCGAGATTGTTTGTCATGAAGCAAAAAAATGTCATCGATCTTGGATTTTCTACATTTGGGCGATTCTCCAGAACGGTGGAATTTTCAAAATGAGCTTTTATAATCCGTTGTCAATTAAGTTTACATATATATTCCGCAATTTCTTTAAATATAGAATAATTTGAAATTTTAAATTTTTCATCGATAATAATTTTATTATTATTATTTTTGGTCACAAAGCAACGGGCCGAAGAATTGAAAAATCTTAATAAATAGGACAATTCATGCTTGGACAAATAACTAAAGAGATAGGAAATAAAAAATTACATCAGATAAACTGAAAAGCTTGTAAGGTTTAATGAAAAATTTCGACAAAAAATTCATTCGAAGTCAAAATTTTTGCAATTTACCCTACTGGAATCGCCTATTGTCAAATGCAAAATTTTTCATAATTAATCAAAAAAAAATTGAAATAGTTTCACAAATAATTTTCAAGGACTATAAGTCCAGAAAAATGTATCTGGACTTATAATCGCACTAGAAGTTTATAAGTAAAATTTATAAATTTTCTGGAATTATAAAGCACACGTGAGGTTTATAAGTCCAGATATAAAATGTACCTGGACTTAAAAACCTCTCGTGCAATTTATAATTCCAGCTGTATTTGTACCTGGACTTATGAACTGCACGTGAGGTTTTTAAGTCCAGATGCAATTTGTATCTGGACTTATAAACCTTTATTGACTTTGATTTTCTGGACTTAAAATCTCTGGACTTATAGTTTCTGGACTTATAACCCAGCATCCTGGACATTCATAAATCATTAAAAAGGTGGAAAATTTAAAAAATGTTTTTGGTGTGAATTTGTAAACAAATTTTTTTCGTGAACTTTATTTTAAAAGACAGACGACAGTTAGAACGTTACATACTTCTTGACACCCCCCCCCCCCCCCTTTGTTACAATTTTTCAAACCCCCCTCCCCCCTAAAATGCGAACGTAATAAGTGAACGGCCCCTAATGCTTATTACCAAAAGTTGAAGAGGTCAATGCGTTATTTTTTTAAGGAATTAACTTATACTTAGACGATTATTGATTGTTTACTTCTGACGTAGTTTAAAAATTGTTTAGGATAAAGATTCTTTGATCCTTTTATAATTCGAACATCAACTGAATAAGAAGTCGATTGTTTGACATTTGAAAAAAAAATCTGCAGAAAGAACTTGCTTATCCACTTTTGATGATAAATAAATTGTTTTACTTTAAATCTACATATATTTTTCTACATTTATTTTTGTATAATTTTGGACTATGCGTCAGTATTTTTCGAAAGGTTTACGCGAACGGATCAACAATAGTTCTGCACGATCGTAATGAATTTTGAGTTTATTATTTTTCATCCTGTGATTGAACGAAGAGAGAAATTGTGTGATCTCTCACATTTTTAAATGCTTAATATTGTGAACAGAATAGTTGAAAGGAGAACTTAGATAAGAAATAAACAAAGAGCCAATATATTGAGACTATTTTCAGTTGATATTGAGACTCGTATTAAGATGGGTTCAGTTTATGATTTAAGTTTTAAAAATGTGTGTTATTGTCCGAAATCAAATTACATCCCATTCAGCAATAAAGAACCAAAGAAAATATTAAAAAATGTTTGTGGTGAATTTCGCGGAAATGAACTCTCTGCAATCATTGGTCTAAGTGGTAGTGGCAAAAGTTCGTTACTTGACTGCTTGTCAGGCTTTCGAGAGAAAAATGTCAATGGTACATTTATGTTGAATGAAGCTCTAGTTCCAATAAATACTATTAAACAGATTTCTTCATATGTTATGCAAGAGCACTTATTACATGCTTTACTTACAACTAACGAGATCATGAATTTCTCAATTAATTTACGTGATAAACAAAAATTATGTGACAAAGAAAAGAAGGAGAAAATTAAAAGAATTTTTGAGAAATTGAGCATTAGTAGTAAAAGTAATACATACATAAGAGACTTAAGTGGTGGTGAGAGAAAGAGAGTGCAAATTGCAGTAGAGTTAGTGACTGATCCTATAGTTCTCTTTCTTGATGAATGCACAACTGGTCTTGACAGTTTTGCATCCACACAATGTATACACATGCTACAAATGCTAGCAAGAGAAGGAAAAACAATAATATGCACAATTCATCAGCCGTCTGCAACAATGTTGAAAATGTTTGATCATATTTACGCTCTAGCTGATGGAAACTGTATTTATCAAGGCGCTAGTGAAAATTTAATTACTTTTTTCCGTGAGCTTAATTTGCCGTGTCCAGAAACATACAATCCAGCAGATTTTCTAGTTGAATTAGCAAACAATGATTATGGACTTCATAATCACCGTCTCACTGAAAAAATTGGAAATGGAAATAATTTAGGTTATAGACATGTAGAAATGCTATCTAATAATAAGAATCATATTACAAAATATACTAACAAAGAAAATATTAAAATAACAACACAACCAACAAAGTATGCAGCTTCTTACTCTTGGCAAGTTTACTATCTCATATGTAGACTATACTTAATTACGTCCAGGGATTCTTCACTTTTTTACATACGTTTTTTCATTCACGTCTTCGTTGGATTTTTATTTGGACATATTTACCAAGATGTAGGGAACAAAGGATCTGCAATGTTAGACAATTATCGATATTTGGTGGTGACTGTAGTATTTCTGCTCTACACATCATATCACTCTTTATTCATAGCTTGTAAGTATCAATATATTTTTAAATAAATATTGAGCGTATTTCTCTACCTTCACCCGATTTTAAAAACTCTAGCTATGCCTCTTAAAATTGAATGATTTTAATTTAAATCGATTCTTGAGATTTAATTTTGTTTATTGCTTTGTGGATTTGAATTCTTAATCATATTATTTAAGCTTTATTATTTTAAGATTAAGTTCGCTATAGTTTGGTTGCAAAACCATCGAGATTATGAACGTCATAAAAATGCAAAACAATTCTAAAAGGAGCAACAAACAATGAAAATTTCAACAATGGTCCAAAAATAAATGATCTCATAAAAGAGATGAGACATTCCAAATCAAATTAACATCCATGTACGAATATTTATTATTTTTTATTCCTTTGATCAGTTCCAGTCGAGTTTCCAATTATTAAACGAGAACATTTCAATGGATGGTATTCAACACGAGCATACTATACGGCATTTGTACTTTTTGACCTACCAATTTTACTCTTATGCTGTCTTAGCTACACCTCAATCACTTATTGGATGACGGATCAGCCGAAAGAATTAAATAGATTTATAATGTTTGTGAGCTTTGCAATATTTATGTCGCTTGCGGCACAATCATTAGGAATTATGGTCACAGCTTTGATGAATCTAAAGGTATTTGACGTCAAATGCTTTCATTATGTGTCTATTTAGAATTATAATTTGCTTGTTTATTTGTAGATGGCTAATATTCTTGCAAGCTTCTGTCTTACTCCATTCTTTTTATTCTCTGCGATTATGATCACAACAAAAGATGCTCATCCGTTTTTCCAATTATTTTTCTATGGAAATTTTCTCGATTGTGGACTTAAAGGAATTTTGAACTCAGTACTAGGATTTAACAGAAGTAAACTAGAATGTGATGAAATTTATTGCCATTTTATGGACCCAAAGAAAGTGTTGCGTGATTTTGGGGCAAATGTTGATGTTAAACAAGCTTTCAGTATTTTGTTGCTTTATATTTTATTTTGTCAAGCAGCATCATTTATTTTATTTAGATACAGGTTGAAAAATTTTTCATCGTAACTAGTTCATAAATCTGGAGAAATGGCATCAAAAATTTGCTTTTGCAATACATTTCATTAAGGAACGTTCGCTGATTAAGTTCCAAAATTTAATCTCAAGTTCAGAATGTTAAAAAATCATAATTAGGGGGAATTTTATCCAAAGTAATAAGTAAGTAAGCGAACGACCGTTAACAAAATATTTCAATTTGTTTTTAAATTGAACTTAATTATTTTTAAATTAGATCGTGAAGATAGTGATTCAAATTGACTTAACTGGACTTAACCTTGAACCTATTCTTTTTTGTTGAAAAAATGATACAAGGATGTTGTGCAATTAGAATATTATTATAACTAGAACAAAGTAGAGTTTTTATGTGCTCAAATAAAGATTAAAACTATTTTCTAATTATGAACTTATATTTTTTTTTTGAAGTTATTTCTGCGTGCACAATACGTCTAGTTTACAAAACCACTTTTGATCCATAGATTTACTGATAAATAAAATTCTGTTCAAAGTTACTAAGGAAGTGTTATTATCTTTAATAATTTTGTCCATGAGATAATAACTTGGAGTTGTTTTTTGGCAAAATCAATTTTGTCAAGTTTTTGCTAATCAAAAAAATAAGAATTAAATTTCAAGGAAACAAAATATTAATACCTAGTGTAGTCCTCCGTCATATATATCATGTGAAACTTAAATTGTTAACTGTTAATCTTCTAATGGTTTATGAGCCAATAAAAAAGATTCAATAAACATTTTGAAAAAATGTAAATAAAATATGATGCAGTTATGATCTAGGACTTAATTTAATTCGTGCTGCAATAACTAGGATTCAGATCAGCAATGCTTATTTTAGGAGAAATATGTAATCATTGAAAAACATTCATCATACAATCAAAAAACAAGCATGTTTAACGAGATATTTCTCGATCTCATAAAATCTAAAATGCATCAACATTTTTTTTGACAGAAAAACTTTTTTTAAAAGTAAAACGATCTTTATTTATTTTTTGCGAGAGACTAATGCATAAAGCTCTCACATAAAATATAAACAGCAATGAAAAATAATTTTTGTTGACACCTTAATGTGTGTGTGCTAAGAAATAACTCACAATTATTTTGGCTCTCATTGTAATAAGACGTACGGAAAAATAATTCGAAGATAAGAACCTTAAGGCTGTATTTAAAAATAGTTTCGAACTGAAATCTTATCAAACATAAAGAAACCATAATTAAAACAAGTTAATTTTTGTGAACAAATTAAACCGTGATTAAAATTTAAATAATTAAATTGATGAAGAACTTGCCATAACCCTAATTATAATCAAATTAGTTAATTCAAATAATGCTAATTAAGACATAGAATTCAAAATAATTGACTATGATCGAAAATCAAGAAACTTTGTGCTTAAATAGCAACGTAAGCTTTAAACTAGCATTTAATGATTTAAAGTACTGTATAAAGTCTAAAGTTCCAGTCATCAAAAAAGAGACAAAAACGATTTTAAAGAGTATTTCAGGAGAGTTTCGCGGTAATGAGCTAACAGCAATTATTGGATTGAGCGGAAGTGGCAAAAGTTCACTTTTAGACTGTTTATCAGGCTTCCGTCAGAACAACATTAGTGGAACAATTACTTACAATGACAACATTATTTCAACTCGCAGTATTAAGGAAGTTTCCTCATATTTTATGCAGGAACAAATGCTTCACATATATTTAACCGTAAAAGAATTAATGAATTTTGCAGTTAATGTCAAATGTAGACAGAAGCTAAATAAGGAGGAGAAGAAATTAAAGATTGAGGGAATTCTTCAAAAATTAAACATTTCAGACCGACGTGATACTTTCATACAAGATCTAAGTGGTGGAGAAAGGAAGCGATTTCAAATTGCGATTGAGTTGGTAGATGATCCAAAAATATTGTTCCTAGATGAGCCGACAACAAATCTTGATATTGTTGCATCAACTCAATGTATTCAATTTTTGAAAGACATTACAAAAGAAGGAAGGACAATAATTTTTACAATCCATCAGCCATGTGCATCAATGCTGCATTTATTTGATCATATATATGCACTGAATAATGGAAATTGCATTTATCAAGGATCAAGTGAAAATCTTTTAACCTTTTTTTAAAGAAATTGGATTGCCATGTCCATCTACTTACAATCCAACAGACTTTTTGATGGAAATAGCAAATACTTATGGAGATTACACCCGTGAGCTGACTGAAAAAATTCAGAACGGGTCAAATTTGAGTTACAGAAAAGAAAGCAAACAGAACTTTACAGCTGATATATTCAAGAGACCATCTGATTTCAAGGAGTTTTCTGCATCTTATTTCCATCAAGTTTACTACCTTATGTATCGACTGTTTTTGACATCGTTACGAAATAAATCTCTGGTTATCACGAGACTTATTATACATTTATTTTTTGGCCTTGCCTTAGGTATAGTTTATCAAAATGTTGGAAATAATGCATCAATGACTCGAAACAATTATCACTTTTTATTGTTATCAATAACTGTTCTTTTATACACTGCATATCATTCACATTATGTTACATGTAAGAGCTACAATTTTAAAATTTTAATGAAGTTGATTTAATATTCTAATTTCATGTCAATCTAGTTCCCCTCGAATTTCCGATAGTCAAAAGAGAACATTTTAATGGATGGTACTCATCAAATGCTTACTATTCATCGCTTATGATTTTTGATGCACCGATAATTTTTGTATGCGTAACAATTTTCACGACAATTACATATTTGATGACTGATCAACTACTCGAAATTAATCGATTTTTAATTCTACTTGGTATATTTCTCATGACTTCATATGTTTCACAGGCTTTAGCAGTTATGTTAACAAGTGTTCTTAAACTTGAGGTGAGGTTTGATTGCTACAAATGTTAATAGAAATCAATTAAAATGTATATTATTATCTTTTACAGTTTAGTTTGGTGTTTGGAACTTACTTTTTACTACCTGTTTTTGTGTTTTCAAATTTCGCAGTATTTGCTCGTGATACACATCCTATACTGAAGAACGTATTTGAACTGAACTTCTTTAATATGGCATTTAAAGGAGCTGTGACTTCTGCCTTGGGTCTTAATAGAACGAAGCTTCCATGTAATGAAGTTTACTGTCATTTTACTGATCCCAAAAAGTTTATGAATTATTATGATTGTGATGTCGATTTGATGCAAACTTTTCACCTTCTCTTAGCTTATTATGCTATTTGTCAAATGGCAGCATTTATTTTAATAGGATATAGATTGAAATATAGACTTACATAAGAATTTATCAACTATTTTGGCAATAAATTGTATATTGATCATTTTTATTTGTAAAAGATATAAATTCCTAGTAGCCCTTTTAAATATATCTTTGAAGCAAGCTTTAAGCTTGACAATATGAATTTAGGATTGATTCAATTTAAATAAAAAAGATTCTTAGGTTTATGACGTAGTTTTATGATCAAATTGGATCAAATAAACAATACCAAATCTTTAAAAAAATCCCATACAAAGATCATAATCTTCGTTTTTAAAAGATTATATGGTTTGCGGGAGCCTTGTTTAAAACCTTAATTTAGCAAAAAAAAAAAGGTTTAATATGCATAAAACTATCTAAAATATAAGACAGGTCGAATTTGTAATATCTTAATACTATTCAAAGTTTGTAATTTTATTATGTTTCAGGCAAGTTTCAGGTTTGATTCATTTGAAAAATATTTGCAGCCGAATTTCATTCTGAACGTTTCTATTCTAATAAATTAATTTTAAATGTGTATCTCAACTTGAAATTAAACTTTGACACTCTTAATTAAAGAAAATCAAATAATTTACTTTTCAGAAATTATGAATTTTTATCTTTTGAAATATAATTTAAAGTCTAAAATAATTTCATTATTTTGGTAATAACAACAAATGTCGGAATAAAAAAAATTGAGAAAGTGCATCGATGTAAATCAAGGAGTTGAATGAACTAGAAAATTTCCTGAAAAGAATCAGCTGATTAAAAACAAACTCTCTCTTTCGTTTACGTCAAGAGCATTACATGCATACACATTAAACTAGCAATACTGCTTAAATGTTCGAATGAATTTTCGAATAATGTGTTTGTTAGAAAAATATTTCACAATTGTTTCGGCTCTCATATCAGGAAGACGTGTAGAAATAATATTTATATCTAAACATTTGGCACGACTTTTGAAAATTGTATTTTTTAAAATGGTAGTTTTATGAATTAAACTAATATGTGGATTTTTTGGTGAATTAGAAAAAAGTTTAAAATTTAACTTCAAGTTCACTTTAATGTGTGTACACAAACTTTTGGTTAAAAACTCTTTTTCACTATAAATAGAATCAAATGACATAATCTTTGATTAATGTTATGAATGCATAAATATTTGCGATTCTTTTCTCTAGAACAAAATATGTAATGTGAGTATTAACTGGAAATAATGAAATTTTTTGTTGAGTAATTGATTTTAATTGACAGAAAAGAGAACTTCTGACTTTAAAGTCAAAGAAAATTTATCGATTCTTTCGAGTTTTTTAATCAATATTTTTATTATACATGTTTTTAGATTGAAAAATTAATTTAAAAATGAATAAAAACTATGAAGATACTTGCTTAAATAGCGACGGAAGCTTTAAACTAGCATTTAAGGATTTAAAGTACTGTATAAAGTCTAAAGTTCCATTCATCAACAAAGAGACAAAAACGATTTTAAAGAGTATTTCAGGAGAGTTTCGCGGTAATGAGCTAACAGCAATTATTGGATTGAGTGGAAGTGGCAAAAGTTCACTTTTAGACTGTTTATCAGGTTTTCGTCAGAACAACATTAGTGGAACAATTACTTACAATGACAACATTATTTCAACTCGCAGTATTAAGGAAGTTTCCTCATATTTTATGCAGGAACAAATGCTTCACATATATTTAACCGTAAAAGAATTAATGAATTTTGCAGTTAATGTCAAATGTAGACAGAAGCTAAATAAGGAGGAGAAGAAATTAAAGATTGAGGGAATTCTTCAAAAATTAAACATTTCAGACCAACGTGATACTTTCATACAAGATCTAAGTGGTGGAGAAAGGAAGCGATTTCAAATTGCGATTGAGTTGGTAGATGATCCAAAAATATTGTTCCTAGATGAGCCGACAACAAATCTTGATATTGTTGCATCAACTCAATGTATTCAATTTTTGAAAGACATTACAAAAGAAGGAAGGACAATAATTTTTACAATCCATCAGCCATGTGCATCAATGCTGCATTTATTTGATCATATATATGCACTGAATAATGGAAATTGCATTTATCAAGGCTCAAGTGAAAATCTTTTAACCTTTTTTGAAGAAATTGGATTGCCATGTCCATCTACTTACAATCCAACAGACTTTTTAATGGAAATAGCAAATAATGATTATGGTGATCACAGCCATTTGCTGATTGAAAAAATTCAGAATGGATCAAATTTGAATTACAGAAAAGAAAATGAACAAAACTTTACAGCTGATATATTCAAGAGACCATCTGATTTCAAGGAGTTTTCTGCATCTTATTTCCATCAAGTTTACTACCTTATGTATCGACTGTTTTTGACATCGATTCGGAATAAATCTCTTATTTTAATGCGACTTATTGTGCATATATTTTTTGGATTCGCTACAGGAACAGTTTATCAGTTTGTTGGAAATAATGCATCAATGATTAGGGATAATTATAATTTTTTACTGATAGTGATAACTGCGGTATTGTATACATCCTATCATTCACATTATGTTACATGTAAGAGCTACAATTTTAAAATTTTAATGAAGTTGATTTAATATTCTAATTTTATGTCAATCTAGTTCCCCTCGAATTTCCGATAGTCAAAAGAGAACATTTTAATGGATGGTACTCATCAAATGCTTATTATTCATCGCTTATGATTTTTGATGCACCAATTGTTCTTGTGTGCGTTACAATTTGCATAACAATTTCATACTTGATGACTGATCAACCACTTGAGATTAATCGATATTTAATATTGCTTGGTTTTTGCTTGATAACTTCATATGTTGCACAAGCATTAGCTATAGTTTTAACTAGCCTTCTTAATGTACAGGTAAGAATCATATAAAAATTTAAAAAAAAAATGCTTTAAAATGCTAATGAAATTTTGTATTAATTATTTACAGTTCTCTCTTTTGTTTGGAACTTACTTCCTGATGCCTTTCTTTGTTTTTTCTACGTTTGCTGTGTTTTCACGCGATACTCATCCTATACTTCAGAACATATTTGAACTAAACTTTTACAATATGGCAGTTAAAGGAGCTGTGAATTCAGTTTTAGGTTTTAATAGAACAAAACTTCCATGTGATGAGATTTATTGTCATTTTACTGATCCAAAAAAGTTTCTAAAATATTATGAATGTGAAGCTGACATGATGTACATTTTTTATCTTCTTTTAACTTATTTTGTCATTTGCCAGACGGCAGCATTTTTCTTAATTGGGTATAGATTAAAATACAAACACACATGAGAATAAAGTAATTATTTTTGCAACCAATATGTTATTTTGTTATTTATAATAATAATCATGTATGAGTTTATGACCTTGTGATCAAGATTCAAATTTACTAATGATGATTACCACCACAATTACCCGAAATCCACAATTATAAGTAATATTTGGACGAATGTGGTCACTTGTGACCAACAGAAGCGCATATACAGAAAATATTAAGAGATATTTAAAACATTTGAACATACTGCAGAAGAAGATAATCAGCAGATTCTTGAATCACAAAAGGTGAACAATAGAATCTCTTTGGTTTGAAAAAAATTTAAAATATACTCGAATTTTGTGGTACAATAGATTCTGTTCAAATTTGAATTCGTTGCTAGAGGCACGCTCATAAAGGCTGGGACCTTCTTATGATTTTTTACCCGAGTTGTCTTCAAATCGATTTATCTCATTATATTACTCGGGATATATTACAAAGGATTTTTTCGAATGTTACTTTTTTTTGTTTTACTAAAATACCTTAAACTGGTTAAAACCTTGAAAGCAATATAGTGCCAGAATAGTTAAAATAAGCTCTTAGGGGTCGTTCACTTATGACGTCCAAAATTAACGGTCATTTTTCAAAAAAGAACAATGGATTTCCAGGAATTTCTATGGTTCTTTTCTGGCTGACCCCCCCCCCCCCCCCCCCCCTAGATGTCATAAGTGAACGGCCCATTAACGCTATATTTGTTTTGGCAAAATTAATCATGATTAGCTATCAAATGACCTTAACCAAACTCGAAAAAATTGGATTCAACACAGATACATCTACCGAAGATTAAGAACTTCATCGTATGTACAGAACAAAGAATAAATAAGCAAATTGCTGAGTACCAATTTTTTTTATCTTTATTTTATAATAAAAAAAAAAAATCGATATTATTATTTGATTCTCCTTAAATTTAAATGTTCTATAATTATTAATATTATTTAAGTATTTTATTACTCATAAAACATTTACTCGCCGGCTTTATTCGATTTTTCGGTTTTTCTTCGTTAAAAGCAGTTGAACTTTAAATCATTTCGCACGAAAATCTGCAATACATCGACATACAATAAATACAAGTATACAGTTACAAAAAAAAATTATCAATGCAGAGTAGACTTTAAAAGAATTCACTCGTGTTTCGAAAATCGTATTGTTAAGACGGAGTAATAAAGCTTTTGATTTATAATTAAATAATTTAAGATTTCATTTGGTTAAGCAACTATAAAATAATAATTCATTAGTTCGGATGCTAAACTATTAATAAATATGAATTTAAATCCAAGAACTGGAAGCTTTGTATTGGGATTTAAAAACTTGACATTTATTGCAGAGTCAAAAAATCCGTTCATCAAAAAAGAAAAAAAATCAATTCTTAAGGAAATTTCGGGAGAATTTCGAGGGAATGAACTTACAGCAATTATAGGATTTAGTGGAAGTGGCAAAAGTACACTTTTAAACTGTTTATCTGGTTTTTATCAGGATAATATCAGCGGAACAATCACCTATAATGATAACATTATTTCAACTCGAAAGATTAAGGAAGTTTCTTCATATTTCATGCAGGAACAAATACTTCATACTTTTTTGTCTGTGAATGAGTTAATGAACTTTGCGGTCAATGTCAAATTAAGACAGAAACTTACGAATAAAGAAAAAGAAATATTAATTGAAGAAATTCTAGACAAATTAAATATTAAAGATAGATTGAATATTCTTGTTGGAAATCTTAGTGGTGGAGAAAGGAAGCGATTTCAAATTGCTATTGAGTTGGTTGGTGATCCAAAAATTTTGTTCTTTGATGAACCGACAACAAATCTTGATATTGTTGCATCCACACAATGCATTAAATATTTAAAAGATATAACGAAAGAAGGACGAACTATTATCATCACAATACATCAGCCTTCAGCAATTATGCTTAATTTGTTTGATCATATATATGCACTGAATGACGGGTATTGTGTTTTTCAAGGCACAAATAAAAACTTGATAAGATTTCTTAAAGAGCTAGAATTGCCGTGTCCATCAACATATAATTCAACAGACTTTTTAATGGAAGTAGCGAATAATGAGTATGGAAACCATAGTAATCTCCTGGTTGAAAAAACTCAAAATGGATTGAATATGGATTATAGAAATAAATGCACAACCACCAATTCAATTGATATATTCCAAAAAACCACAGAGTTTACAGATTACTCTGCAACATATTTTCGTCAAGTTTATTGCCTTGCAGTCAGATTTTATTTAACAGTCATACGAAATAAATCCTTACTTTACATGAGATTTGGAGTTCATATTTTGATTGCAATTTTTCTTGGAGCAATTTATCATAAAGTTGGAAATGATGGAGCTTATGCATTAGACAATTATCATCTTATAATAGTGTCTATAACCTTCGTATTTTATACATCCTATCATACACAATATGTTACTTGTAAGTATTCTGATACTTTTAAGGACGTTCTCTTATTCAGGAATAAAAAATAAATTGTTTTGTACCCCCCCCCCTTATATAAACAAATTTATTTTTTTTAAACTATCACAAAATCTTAACGAGTGACGTAATTAGTGAATGGTCCTCTATTATCACATAAAAAAAGAATAATTTTAAGATTGTGCTAAAATAGTGGTATCCAAAATAATTTTAATTCTTCTAATCTTTTTTTTTAGTTCCTCTAGAATTTCCAATAGTTAAAAGAGAACATTTTAACAGATGGTATTCAGTAACAGCATATCATTCCTCACTGATAATATCCGATGCACCAATTTTGTTTTTAAGTGTTACAATTTTCGTAGCGATGGTATATATCTTGACTGGTCAAATTCTCGAGTTAAATAGATTTTTAATTTTTTTGGGATTCTTCTTGACATTTTCGTATGCTGCACAAGCTTTATCAATTATGTTTACGAGTCTTCTTGATGCACAGGTAAGATTTCCTGTTTTAATTTTATTATTTTATCTAATTTTTCTTTGTCTTTTTATCAATAAAGCACGCGTTACTGATTGCACCTTACCTCTTAGTTCCATTTTTCGCAATGTCAACTGTAGGTTTATTTGCACGAGATACAATTCCTATATTTAGACCATTTTTCGAATTAAATTTCTTCAATATGGGAATTAAAGGTGCTGTAAATTCTATTTTTGGATTTAACAGAACAAGACTCGAATGTGATGACATTTATTGTCACTTTAATGACCCAAAGAAAATACTACGTGATTTTGAATGCGATATAGATGTTATGCATGCTTTTTATACACTTTTAACTTATTTTGTTGTATGCCATGCGGTATCTTTTGTTTTTATCAGTTACAGACTTAAATATAAGCATTAATAATAAATTTGAAAACTTAAAATGTTATGATTAATGTGTTTTATTTTCTCAACGTAACATTAACACGACCTTGAACTTGTAATTACCAATTGTGCTTTAAACTCTTTCAAGGTCTACCCTTCATACCTTCACACAACCTTGCTTTCTGTTTAAATATATTTCGTAACACATCTTGTGCGTCACATTTTAATCTAAGTTAAGTTTTTTATTTTTAATTATTATTAGGCATTTATTTATATTATTGTTGTGCTTATAACCGTTAGGATTGCAATAAAACTTGTTCTTGGAGAATTTTATATTCAAGAATGTGCTTTTTTGTAAGAGGAAGACACTGACCAGCCTTAATAGTTTAAAAATATATTAATGTAAAAATTAGCTGATTATTATGTGGAACTAAACGCATTTGTAATAGATAGTTAAATGCTTATGTTGAGTGAATTATTCATCCATAAATTTGAACATTTATCTTTTGAGTTTTATAATATCGCGAACGAAAAATGAATTGACACTAAGAGTACTTCAAGACATAATATATACTCCACAGCATTTACATTGTAATGTAAATAAGATATAAACCAGCATAGAAATACAAATTTTAAACAAACAAGTTAAATGAACAATAAAACAGAGTGTAACTGTAGGCAAAGAAAATTTAAAATTGTAGAAAACATTCATTGAATTATTTTACAGGAATACTTGTCGTCAGCAAGCTCTTATCTGATAAAAGGGAAACAAAAAGTATGGACAAAAATAAAACAGATAAATTCTATTTTTATCATATTAAAAATAAATTTCACTGTGTCACTGTAACACACATTTGCCGCCATTATCAAATTGAATTTATGATTACATATCTAGATGATTTATGGTTTTAAAAAAAATGATTTTTAAGGTTCTGTTGATCAAGCAAATAGCAAAAGTTTTGAAGCTGGAGAAATTGGAACAAGATCGCTAAGATTACCAACTTAATAGAATGTAATATTAATAAAACGTACCTGAAAGTATCAAATTATGCCAAAGAAGATCAAAAGCCAAAAAAAGTTTAAACTTTAGTCGAACTTGATTTGAAAATTGGAAGCTTGATCCTATATAAATATAGTTCAAATGAAAAATGTTTTAATTGCCTAAAATACAAAACTGTGAATCTATTACTCCAAAAAGTATGTTGTCAATAAATGAAGAAAAAGACTCCAAAAAACAAGTCACCAGAAAGGACGAAAAATATTTTGTAGATTCTCTGAATCTTTGCGCTTTAAATGTTTGCAAATTTCACATGTTAGACAAGGTTTTCAAGTAAAACCGGTTTTGAAATTTCTCAGTTTATTAAAATTAGCAATTTCTTTTAATTCAAGATAAATAATCATCATGATCATCTATTTTTTGAACTTACACAACAAGTCAAAGTGAATACTAACAACTGTCACATTTTCTTCTGCATTGCTGTTATTTTATATGGTAAAACTTCACATGTATAATGTTAATATTTTCCGCTTGAAAATTATATTATTGTAAAAAACAACATTCGCGGTAGAAACACGAGATCAGTAGTTTGTTAACAGACGAATGTAGCAGACGAACTGATCAGGAGAGCAACAAGAAAAAAATGTCGTTGGATATAAAATTTGAAAATCTTGTTTATTGTGCGCGAAGTTTTAGTTTATTTCAAAAAGGTACAAATGAAAGTGAATTAAGAAAACAAGAATTTTTATTTAAAAAGAAAAAAATTTTATTAAGACACGATCAGTGAGCATGTCTTGGATTTTTTGTATTATGGACTGGAAAATGTGATGTAAAGTGTTGTGATTCATTTATGGAAATATATTGCGAAAAATTGCTGATTCGTTAGGTTTTTGTGTCATAAAAAAAACAAAAGTTTTGTGTTTATTTAAAGACGATTGTCAAGTTATTTTTAAAATTGCAACTAAGTTTTGATGGAAAAAATCTTGAGTTTGGTTTTTTTTGGATATTTTTAAAAGTTAATGCAGAGAGAATCTCGTAGATAAATCTCGCAACCTTTCACATATGTTATTTGAATTTTGTTTGTTAATTCTTGTTTCTGTTTTATTTATTCTGGAATAATAATTTTGAAAAAATAGAAATCTGTGTTTTAAAATATTGAATTGATTGCTTCTTGCTTTATTTCTTGCAAATTTAAACTTTTCTGTTAATGACTTATGAATACTCAGAATTTTATTATTATTACTTTACCTCCTTGAAAAAAAAACTGCTAAATTAAGTTCTTCTGTTATAAAAAGCTAATATTATTTAATCCATTAAAGAGATTTTTATTAATTCCCATGTTCAACAATTTTAAATCAGAATTTAAATCTTTTGAAAAAGAAAAATAATTTTTTTTTCTTTAATAAAGTTTTCAGAATGAATAGAGAAGTTGTTTGAAATTAAAATTTGAAATGACACTCAAACGAGAAATCTGAAAGTATCTTAAGACATAAATTGACCTTTTCAAATATTCATCTTATTAGTAATCGAATTAAGATTAAACATTGTTAAACCTTGCGATTATTAACTTTGCATATGAAAGTTAAAAAAAAGATATTATTTGCATTAAAGGAGTGGGATTAGATTAATCTTAATAAAAATTAAGTGAGAAAATTATTCTAAAATGCCATTCATTATGCTTATTACTCAATGAAAAAATTTCAAGTATTTCAATGAAAAGTTTTCAATGATCCGTCTATGAAAATGATTAAACATTTAAATTTTTTAATTTCCCTTGTTATATTATTTTGTCTGACTAATTAGCGATCGTTTGAAGGAGATTGGTATAATTTAAGATTTCACAACAATTGCAGCAATTTAAGGCATTTCGATTTGTTTTTTTCCTAGACTTCAAAAAATTCCTTTAAACTAGATATTTGCAATAATTAAATAAGCAGTTTGAGAATTGATAAAAAAAAATAATAAATAAATAATTCCTCAACTATATTTGACCTAATTATTTATCTTTTCCTTGTTCCATCTGAGATAATATTGACGAGTCATCGTAAATATTTGCAAATATTATGACAAATAGAAAAAGTGTGATATAAATGAAATAATTAACTTCTCTTATATTTGTGCAATGATATCAACAACATTTATAAAATTGGACCTTACCATATTGAAAATTTGTTACTCATTCGTTTGTCTTAACACTCTCGAGACATTTTTGTCTAGTTTCTATAATTTGGTCTTAAATTTCTATTCCTTAGATGAAAAAAATATCTTAAAGGGAATAAGTGGAGAGTTTCGAGCCAATGAACTGTCTGCAATAATGGGGCCAAGGTCAGTATCTAAAAAAAATCATCTTAAATGTTTTGGCATACGTAATGATTTCACATTTTAATAATGAATAACAAATATGAAAATTTGCATAGTGGCTCAGGAAAAAGCACACTTTTGAATGTCTTATCGGAGTATATGACGAATGGAGTAACAGGGTCAATAACAATTAATGGCGAGAAATGGAATAACAAGAGATATAAAAAGAAATTTGCATATATAATGCAAGAAGAAAATCTGCATGCAGTATTGACTGTAAAAGAAGCAATGAGGTTTTCAATAAAGCTTAAAACCGGCAATTCAATGACGGAGAAGGAACAACAAAAGAAAATATTATCTATTTTAGAGACATTAAAGTTGGATAATAAGTTAAATACATACGCTCAGTATTTAAGCGGTGGACAACAGAAGAGACTTTCAATAGCATTGGAATTGGTCGATGATCCGCAAGTTCTTTTTCTAGATGAGTGTACAACAGGTCTTGATAGTGTATCATCGACACAATGCATTCAATTCTTAAAGAAACTTGCCATGGAAGGTAGAACAATAATTTGTACAATTCATACCCCGTCTGCCTTGATGTTTGAGATGTTTGATCATATCTACGCACTAGCAAATGGAAATTGCATTTTTCAGGGAGCAAGTTTTAATGTTGTTCTATTCTTAAAAGAACTTGGTCTCGTATGTCCATCGACTTACAATCCCGCTGATTTCCTCCTCGAAATAGCAAATAATGATTATGGAAGTCAAAACGAACGACTTACAAAAGTCATTGAAAATGGGAAAAACGAATTTTATCGTGGACAACCTTGTATTACTTTGAACAATAATAATGAGTTGAAGTTAAGTTCCACTCATGACGAGACTTTAAATGAACAACCATCATCTTTTGTGTACCAATTAGCCCTGCTTGTATTACGTAACTATAAAATATCACATAGGAATGTAACTTTAATAATTATACGACTAGTAATCTCATCTATTGTTGGACTAATGGTCGGTGGCATGTACCTTAATATTGGAAATGATGGAGTACACACTTTTCATAATTTTAAATACATTTTCGTCTCAGAATTCTTTTTACTCTACATATCATATTATTCACAACAGACGGCATTTCCGCTAGAGCTTCCTATTATTAAACGAGAGGTTTTCAATCGATGGTACACATCGTCTGTATATTATGTTGCATTATCATTAACTGATATACCAATGACTATAATAAGCACCTCTATTTACCTTGCAATTACATATTTTATGACAAATCAACCACTTGATCGTGCCGTTGCATTTTTTGCTGTTGGATTATTGACGAGCTTTGTGTCGCAAGGTTTTGGACATTTTGCTAGTTCATTGTTTGACTTACAGGTGAGATGTTTAATGTTAAATATGTTGCTAAACCTTACTTTCTTATATTTTTCAGGGAACTCTTACATTTGCTGCTGTTTTCCTACCACTTTATGGCATTTTCTCGGGAATTTTTATTCTCGTCAAAGATACACATTGGATATTCCACTGGATATTTCAAATATCATTCATAAAGCATTCTCTTGATGCTGCTGCAACAACTATTTTAGGATGGAATCGCGATAAAATGGATTGTAGTGATAATTATTGCCACTATCAGTTACCAAAAAAATTCTTAAAAACAATAGATTTAAATGAAAATATAACGATATCGATACGTGCACTTGTGATATTTCTTATTGTCTTTCGAGTAACTGCATTTCTCATAATGAACTATAGACTTAAACGATCAAAGTAGTTAAATAAAACATAAGGAAAAACAAATGATCTGACAGCATATGATGTAAATAAGAAAGATTTTGAAACTAGTGATAAAATAAATTTTAAATGGTGTACTTGAACTTGAATTTTATATAAGCGCAATTTATACGTTTACACTCAATGTCGATAATTACTTTAAAACATAAGCATGAGGAAAATATCACTTTAAGGTGCACTAAGTGTATGGACAGTCAATGATCATTGTAATTGCCTTCTATACCGTTAACAAAATTGATGTTAAATTGGATATTTACTTATCATTGATAAATAATTTTGAAAAATGAAATAAAAAAATTAGCTGAAATTATTATAATGTCATGTCAATTCATACTGTATTTGAAGAAAAATTAGTAAGTTTTGTAAGTTTTTAGCTACTGAAAGCTTCAGTGATTTGTAAAGGTCATGTTGGTGGATTTGTACAGTTAAAACATTTTCAAAATATAATTTATTGAGTAACTGATGGAAGCAAATAATACTTCTGAGTCAAAGATATCAAATCTAGAATTAGAATCAAAACTCTAGTTTATCGTTTATGTTTTCTATTAGTCAAATCGTTTATTTTTTTAAATCATTCTTTTTCAATAATACAATTTTTTAATTTTTCTTGTCATTTTTTTTTAATTTTACGAACTTCAAAAATTCTCATTACTTTTTATCTCATTCTACAAATACATCAGAACATTAAAACTTTTCATTTTTATATAAGAAATTAAAGTAAAATATATTAATTAATGGACAAGAAATTAATCACAGAAACATAAACTCAATCAAGCGAAAATAAACATAAATTTTACTACAAAAATTAATGTTGAAGAATCACGGCGTGGAAAATGTTTGAAAAATTAAGAATCAAATTTAGCCAAATTAAAGGCAGTACATATGCTCAGAAATTTAAAAGTTTTTTAAAAGTATGATTGACATTCAAGACATTAATCATAATTTCGAATTTAACATTAATCTGATTGATTTTTTCAAACATTTACTTTTCCTTGACACTTCTACTCAAAATACATTTTAAAGCCAAAATTTCTTGCAATATAAAACAGGAATGTTATAAAAAAGAGTTAAAAAAATTAGCTACAAAAGTTTGACATATTAAAAGAATTGCGGGAAGTACAATGTGTAAAAAAATTGAATTTCCTTTATATGAAAGATTAGATATAAAGTTAATTGGCACATTTTCTCAATCCTAAATTTATACTTAATAATTTTTTTTGCATCATTCTTCAATTCGATTAATTTAATTAAATAATTAATAGATAGTTCAGAGAATAATTTTGAATCTCTTCTCAATTTTTTGTTCTAAAAATGAAGAATAAATAACAGTCTAAATGTGGGGATTAGAATGTATTATTATGAATTCTTATTACAATTTTTTTTTCTTATATTCATCGACGATTAATATTATTAACCTTTATGACTCTCGACGTTTTCAAATATTGACTTTGTTGTAATTTTCTTCTTAATTAATTTTTTTAATCACTAGATGCAACTTTATCTCTTATTTTTTAAATCATTAATATTTTCTCAATCATTGCAAATTCTTCAAAGAAAAGCTCCAATTATTTATGTGTCTTCTATCTCTTTTATTTAATTTATAGAAGTTATTTCTAATCTCTTCTGTTGTTAACTGAATATTTTTTGATCGTTTTTTGGTGATTAATCGAGTTGGTAGATTAAGAAGTTAAAGTATGAATCATACTAAACGTACTTTTCGACCTGTTAAAGTTGAATAACTTGAAATCTTTCCATTGACTAAATTCTTCAAGAATCAATGAGCAAGAAATTACGTCATTCTCAACATTTTCAAAACACGAAAAAACCTAGTTTGATTGTTGTTTCTCAAAAAAAAAAACTCTTGTGTAAAATTTGACTAAATTCTAGCAAATTTTCTAGCATATGAACTGATAAAATTATAAATATGGAGTTATTCACTTATGATGTTCAAAATTTTCCTTATGATGTTTTCAAAAAAGAACAATGGATTTATAAAAATTTCTATTGTTATTTTCTTTCTGATCCCCCCCCCCCCTCTTTTGACGTCATAAGTGAACGGCCCTGTAAAACTATGCTGTTTATGCTCAATTGCTCTACCAACTCTATTGATTAAGCAATATTTTAAGAACTCCAATATTTTTCCCATTAGAAATCAATCAAAATTATTAACAATTATTAATATCCATGCATTTACATAGAAATTAAAATTCTCGTCGTTTCCTTCATTTCCATGTATAGTCGGTTGTGCTAATATCATTCTCAATGAATATGCATTATGTAAATTCCTAAACTACTAAAAAATTCTTAGATAATAAAATAGTTATTATTTTTTTTCATCTTCACACATCAACAGAATCGTCCTTTATGTAAGCTGTACTTTCACGATAGTTACCCAGCCTTTGCGTATTTGATGTCTTAAGAAGTCCTTCAACTAAAGTCTCCTATTTTATTTTAACAGAAATAGAAAGGAATTTAAATTAATTTTTATGAGATTTAATAAGGGGTCGTTCACTTATGACGTTTAACAAAGGGGGTCCAACATTAGGGGGGGGGGGGGGTCATAAAATTTCTGACATATTGTGACAGGAGAGGAAGGGGGGTCAGGAAATTTGTGAGATCCAAATTTTTTAATCAGGAAATTGTAATTTTTTGAGTCTTAGATTGGACTTCACAAGGGGGGGTATTGACATCTGTGACAGAGAGGGGGTTTAAAAATTGGGATTTTTGATGGACGTCATAAGTGAACGGGCTAAACGTTATCAGACATAAATGTGGCAAGCGTGTGAAATTTCATGATCAAGTTGACCTTGACCATAGATTATAGTAAAAACGTGCAATATTATGTAAACAAAAGCAGCAAAATGTGATTAAATTAAAAAAATCATAACAAAAAAATTATCGAACCTCAAATAAGGCAGAAATTTTTTTGCCGGCTATTCGACGTACATTTGGGACACCATTACTTTCATCAGAACTACTTGACAATCGGTTTTCTTTAGAATCTGTACTATTATTGCTATTTGAAATACTATTTGTGATATTGTGACGTGGTAAAGGCTTTGGTTCCACTAAAATTATAAATTGATAAAATAATAAAATTTACTCAAACATTAGCAAAATCATAAAAATGAGAAGAACAAACAAATATTTGTTAGAAGATGACTCTGAAAATTGCAATTAGTAACTTCTTTCATGATTTTATCATATTTTTTTTCCGTACTTAATCAAATGAGTCGTCAAGTCATAAACTTTTGGTGGTTAACAAGCAAATCGTTATGCTTTACTCTCAATTAAATTAAGTCCGGTTGAATACACTTGTGTGATTTGTTTATATTTTTTATAGGTCAAGGTTGAAATCGTTGAAATAAATACAAATATACATCTGTAGTGGATCACAGAATTTCCTGGTTATTCCCATCAAGCTTTTGATAAACATCTATTGGATATGAATCTATAAACAAACTACAACAAAACCAAATTTGTCATATCATGCTAGTTTGATAATATCCAAGCCAAAAGAATCAAAAACTATAGTTCATAAATATAATTATTAAATGATAAGTTTAAAATCAACAATTCACAAAGTCATCAAATCTAACGTAATATTATTAACTAAGTTGAAACTCATGCATTAAAAAATGACAATTCTCTAAATCAACTCATTTAAAAGTCATTCTTTATATTTTGAGTGGTATGAGTAGCATAAAAATAAAAAAAATTACTCACCAATTTTATTTGACGAAAAGTTTGCAGCGAGATCTCTGACAGACTTTTTCTCAAGTGCAGCACCTGGTGTTATTCCTAAAATAGCTCCACCTAATGCAACCCCTGGGTTTATAGTTACCATATCATTATCTGTAAGAATGAGAATGAAGTTTTTCATATTTAATTTAATTGTGAAATTTTATCTGAATTCATGTGACATTTTTCTATTCCTCATAAAAAGAAAGTTTGTCCATAAAAAAGGAGTACAAGTTATATAAATTTATTTACCATTATCAAGTCCATCGGGTGTAGTCTTTGTTGAATCATTGTTATATTCATTCTTCGACTCGTGCCCTAATACTGACCATGGACGAGGTTTTTGAAGCATTGTTGGTGTTTTAATGCCATTCCCTTGATGTGCCTTTTCATATATTGCTTTAATTGATTCGTTGCTCGGTGATTTTTTGCCGGAAGATTCTCTAATTGGTGGATTTAAGCTTGTATAAACAAAATTTGAGTTTTCCTCAAAAGTTACGTGCTGCTCTGTTTTTGTCTTGACTAAAGGCGATTTGCGGTTTGTTGTTGGAGAACACTTTTCTAAATTATCAGATGATAATGATCGCGGTGTCCAATTCGCAACTCCTTTGAGTAATGGCGACTGTCGTTCCAGCTTAATTTTACGTTCTTCCATAATTGGAGTTGTTTCTCCTGATGTCATTGTACTTTTCTTACCACCAATATTCTCTTCACGACTTATTGTTGGACTGTCGACAAAACTCAATGAACTGCATTCTTCAGATGTCGGTGATACTAATGGCGTTAATGTATTATCTTCTGATTCCGGTTTGGTAAAGAATGTCTCCAATCCTTCACCTAGACTATGTGATAATTCTGTTAGTAGAGGTCTTGTTGGTGCTCGAACTTTCGCTCTCTTTGGTCTACTCTTATTTAAATGTTGTAATGTTACAGATGTACTTGGCAGCTCTGTGATTGAATCGCAGTGTTCATCATCAATTTTACTTCGATTTGATATACTTGGCGATTCTAATAGATCAGGAATATGACTAAGACTTAGATTATCAGCGCCTAATCCAACAACACTTTGAGGTCGAGCTTTTGCAATCGATTGACGTTTCGATTTGAAGTGTGGAACAGCCTGATTGGAAATGTATACAATTTCCTGTTATTAGTTTAGTCAAACATAAAAAAATGCGATTTTGTTTTCAAAATAAAAAATAAATCACACACAAAAAAATGCACGCCAGTGAAGAAAAAAAAAATAAACAAAATTTTCGATATTGTGTTGATCGTCGAAAAAGAGAAGAGAGAAGAAAAAGAATTTTTGGGAAAAGAGATAGAAAGCCTGTGTTAATTTTGTTTGTTTCCAATTCATTAATCATCAACGAAATGAATAAGTTTTGACTATAAATGCAACAAGCTCTATTAATGCCCATTTTTCAATAAAATGCTTGCTCATAATGTTCATCAAGAATTAAATGAAGACAGTCCAAAGCTTCAGAGTTGTTCAAAACGTAATAATCAATTTAATGTTAAATAAGTTAAAATAAAAATATGAAATTTAAAATTATAAATTTATGAGTTCAAATCCCATTCTAGGTACGTTTCAGTAAATTATGAACCACTTTGTTGAATTTTTGCTCTGAGCTTATTTTAAGAATCTTTTTTTTTTGTTTCATTAATTTAATAAATCTCCCACTCAAAACAACTCTGGATCATCATGCAATTTATGAGTACATATTTACTGAGCATCTTATGTTAAAAACACACTACAAAGCACCACTACTTAAGAAAAGGAATGCAATAAATTACTATTACTGATGAATGTGAATGATGGCACTTACCAAGTTTAAGTATTCCAACTTCTGTACAATACAAAATGCAAAATTTTTTGTATGGTTTTAGCGAGAAATGGATAAATAAGAAAACATTTATATATATTTTTTTAATGAATGATTAATTGGCTATACATGTAAAATGTTTGGTTTATATGAGTTCATCGATTATGATTTAAAGAAAAATATTTTAAGTGATCGGAAATGATTTCGAAAAATGATGAGTATTTACATTAACTGCAGGAGAGCACATAAGTATTCTTCTTACCTCAAAAATATAAAATTAAGAATCATGAGTGTGAAAATGTGCTTCATTTTAAGTTAATTACAACTGAGCGCATTTCCTATTTCATTACCGTTATGAAACATATCCAGTCAACCGATTCATTGGGAAATTTTTGGAGGTCTAATACAATTTTTACGTCGACTGCATGTGTCAATTAAATTCCTATGCATATGTTTGTCTTACTGACAGTTTAGATTATTTCTAAGAAAAATGTCTATAGACACTGGGCACATATGCATCATCAATAAAATCTTCAATGTGAATTAAGAAAATCTAGGTCAGTGATTCTTTGAAGACCTGTGCATGACTCAAAACAGCTCATCCGTATTTTCCCAATTGATCAACTAAGTTATTTATTCATCAACAAAGAGACAGACATACCGCAGACAATCACACCTTTCGTCCCACGCGAGAAAATGCGTCTCACGAAAAGAGACTAATTTGCGTATGTAGATTTATTTCCTACAAGACATTTCAAATGAAAAATACTTTGATTTCCTCGTTTCTTTATATGATTCATATTATTATTATTACAAAATGTATATATGAGATTATTATATTATAAAAAAAAGAGAACGAAAGCTGTCGTCTTTCCAATCTGAATCACAATTATGAAAACTAGAAGTGTCGATGAATGTATAGCAACATGACAAAATGTGTGTAATGAAATTTATGGATTTTTTGTAAAAATATCTAAAGCATATTGAACTCCAATTATGATAATAATAATTGTTATGTATATACACCATGAACACAAACCAATGAATGTTTTTTAAATTGTTGTGTATTAATGTAGATGGGAGCAATAATATGAACTTACCGTTGGCGAACCTATTCCGTGTCTCTGTAGATCAATGTGATGATCTCCAACGGAATCCTGAATATTAAGCAGGGAAAAAATGAAAATGAAGCTATGAAGGGTGAAATAATGCGAAGGGACCAAGGGTATGGAGTTATCACTATAATGCACAAATAATTGAGATTTTAAGGATGTATAAAGTTTTATGTACAAGTTCCTTCATTCACTAAATATTTTTTCTAGTCCATTATAATTTTCTAAGACTTTGCTATCCACAGTATGGGGTAGGATTAAGGATTAAATGCACTATTCATGAACTTTAATTAACTAAGTGAGAATCACAAAGTTTCATTCACTCAAACTCGGGTGTCTATTCTTTGACATCCTTTTACTACCCTTTGATCACAACACATTCTCCTTTCAGTTCCGTTCGCATACTTACATGACTCGACCTTGATCGTACAATATCAGGTGTCTCATTGTGCGTAGTATTTGGTGAGTCTGGAATTCCCATACCCCTTTTATATCTTGTTAAAGCTTCTAAAACTTCGTCTGTTGCTCGATCACTTATGAGGCCAGCAAGTGACTGTTCCACTTCACTATAAATAAATATTTTTTCGGATTAAAAACAAAAAAAAAGTTATGATTAGTTCAATGTCGCATCCAGAAAAAATAGTTCACACTTAATGAATAAAAAATAAAATTCAACACACTCTGATTGTTCATTGTGGCACTTGAAACAATAACAACATAATAGCCATCGCCTCATTGTATTTCTTATCATTTATAAATACTCTTAATGTCTAGAATCTTGCTCCAATAAAAATTATTGTGAATGATTCCCTGTCTTTGTTCACAGCTATCACAAAATGCCGACAAAATTTTCTTTTATCAGCAATACAGTGTTATGTTCTTATCTATTTCTGATAAAAACTTATAAATGTATTGTAATTAAAAACCATAAGAACACATAATTTTTTTTCTGGCTGTGTGATTGCAACAACTTCTATAACTTGAATGAGCAGAGCGAAAGCAAAAAATCATATACACTCGAGAGAATTTGTAGTTTTTCAGTCGCATGTATTGGTAAATGAATAAGTGAATCAAATGAATGATGCGTCACCATTCAGATATAGGAACTGTAAGCATGCAATGAAAGAAATATTTCTAATTGATGATTGTTGCTTCTTTTCTTTGCTGGAAATTATGCACACATGTTTATCATTGATAAATGAGATGTTCTTAGCTGGAAATGTGAGAAACTTTCCCAGAAGTCTCGAAGGGATTGTCAATAGAATTGAGATCGGCAATTGTTTATTTAACACAAATGTCAAAACATTCCAATAATTAACAATTGATTTTAGTTTGGATTAATTGATTGGTGTTGATAGCAAAATACCAAACTCGACTGTTGAATTTATTGATTTTAAGAAATCTGAGCACCACAATGTGATTTGATTTCATCAGAGATTTATTTCATTGTATCACATAGTGCATATAATGAGTGTTCTTAATGAATCACGAAAGATTGGTTTGGGTTTTTAATTAAGTAGTCTTATTCTTATCTTAGTATTTAATACCTTGCAGCCCACGACAATTATCAATCCCAATTACCTTATTTTGTTCATTATCTCCCCACCCGCACAATTAACAATGCAAGTTTGTAGGAATTCATCATTGATATGAAGACGCTCCTCGCAGTTCTTACGCAACTCACTTATAACAGTCTGATTCCCAAGTGTTTTGGGACATTGTTCGATGCCAGTCTTAAGCATTGTTTCCATTGTTTCCTACATTTATATAGAAAATTGTTTAATTATTTTCCAATTAAAAAGTGATTAGGCACTTATTGTTCAATTGAATGAATGTGATAGCTACCTCAAGATACATTTTTACACTATGTGTCAATTCATTCGTCATTCTTGTTAATTTTATTTCAATTGGATGCGGCTCACATCGCACCGAATCTTGAAGTTTTGGTAAGAGCTGCTTGCAATTTTCTGCATCTTCTAGTAAACGCTGAACTCCTGAATTTTCAGACGTTTGCAGAGAAATTGTTTCTTGTGTTTCGGAAACTAGTTTATCGACCAATTGATGAGTTGCTGACAGAAGAAATCCTTGCTGGAGTCTAGAAATTAAATATTTGGTTTTAGTAAATAAATTAAATTGATTTTTTTCTTATATTTAAGTTTGCTATTCGAAAACAGATAAAGAAAATGTGTACAATACTTAAAATCCTCACCTAAATCCCTGACCTGCCTGCCTTTTTATTCCCGAACCATTACGATGCAAAAATTCTTGCATTTTTCTCATGACAGTATCTGTCTTCTCTGGATGATTCTTAAGACTAGGTGCAATGTCAAATAATGGAAATGGAATGTGTCTTAATGAGTAATTATTTTCCAAAGCGTAAACGATATCCGAATATCCTTGAAGTGTGACCATGTTACGATCCATAATGATTGTCTTTAATTTATTATTTATTTGTAATGCTTTGGCAAGTAGTCGTGCTCCCATATCACCCATCAAGTTACCGGAAATATCTAATACTTGAAGATGCTGATTGCTCCCTAATGCATTGATGAAATTGTGGATGTCTGTTTTCAATTTGTTCTCAGACATGTACAGTTCAGTCAGCATAAAATCATCTTTTTGTATTAGGTTAACAAGAGCATCCATTATAGTTGGAATGTGCTTCAATTTTACACCCTGAAAGCTTTTAATCAAAAAAAGCGATCGAATTGAAGGATTCTTTCCTATTGCTGTTAATACTGACGCCATTTCTGAATCGAGATCTAAAAAATAATTGAAGGATCAATTAAAATTTTATTATCAATTAATGACTTTATTATTGAATATTAAAGATCAATAAGTTCACATTTATTGTTCGAAGCTGATTGAAAAGCAATGTCGCAATTATTAATTAAATGAAATTTTGCACAGTTTGCGAATTGGAGCCTAATAAATTAGGAAATAAAATTATTGCAACCTATTTCAAATCGCATAAAATTCAATCGAGCATCAAATCAATAAAACTCACTATTATCCCCGATATCTAAGCTTTGTAAAACACGAACACCATGAATACACGACTCAAGAACATGGGCACCTTGCTGCCCCAATTGATTTCCATTGATATCTAGATGTAAACCTGCCGTGGACTCATTACACGCCAAACCTAAAAGGAGATGCTTCAGAGCCTCCAATGGAATTTTACAGCTGGCTATATTTAAATGCTTCAAACTTAAACTGCTCGTGAAAAATTGCTTAAATGACGGTGGAATCTCTTTTCCCTTCTTAGTTCCAAAAGAATTGTGTGAAACATTTAGATGTGCTAAATGAGTTGAGCAACCTCTTAAGAGCGCACCAAATAACTGTAAATAGAGTTATTGTTTATAATAGGAAAGGTCGATTCATATCATGTCTATTTCTAATTGCTCTCATAACTTACACTTTCCAATGTTGTGTCTGTATTTGAAATATCTAAATATTCAAGTGCGTTTGGTTGAGCAAGAAAATTGTTCAAATTCTGTTGGAAAAATTGTAGAAGTAAATTATTGATTATTTCGTAATGTTTAGCTGAGTATGAGTACAATAATTTTTAACTTTATGTTGGAGTTTCAGACGCATTTTCATGATCATGCTGATAATATATAGGATCAATAACCTTGGCTAAAGTTATCATATGTATTAGGAGTCACAATTAAATGATTCATTTTAATAAAACTTTAAACAACTAATGAAATCAAACTGACTGAATAATCTCTCAGTCATAATATGAAGATGCTCTTACCCCAAAAATCAACATTAATGCTATAATCTTCATCAATCAAACTACTTACGGTTATATCATCTTTCAAATTATTTCCGCTTAGGTCTAAATATGTAAGCGAACTTGAGATGCTTTGATTAAGCGACAGGGAATGTGCGATTTGATTGATGCCTTTGGATGTAAGACCACAATGTGATAGACATAATTTACATAAACCTTTTGTTATTTTCGCAATCGGACCAGCTAAATGAACAGCTCCTGAACGGGAAATAATAAAAAAGAAATATTGTGTTAATCGATTGATATAAGGCAAGATCGCGTGAACAACATAACAAAAATAATTTGGAAACTGAATAAATTATGCTAAAATCGATTAGTTTGTGTGTGGAATTGGCCAAATGTTGATGAATTTTAAGGATTGGCTAGCAATCTTGAATTCTAGAATGTTCATTCAGCTTTAACAGCCCTAAGAATTTTAGCAGAATATTAAATCAATGAATTGTTATTCAACATTAAATTTGATCATCTTAAAAAAACTTTCGAGAGTTCCCGTCAACAAACCAATCCTTAAATCAATCAACTGTTTGGACAAAAATAAGCAAAAAAATGTGTTAATTGTAGATCATAAAATCCCCAAACCTTGAACTAAATTTCCAATCAGGGCACAGAGTGATGAAGCGCCTGAGCCCGAAGGAATCAATAAAGTAAAAGAAGTATAACAGAAAAAGCAATAAGAGAACCAACATATTTGTTATAAAACATCCAGCAGTACTTAAAATTAAGGAAGATTAAAATATTTTACACAAAGTATTAAAGGAGATTTGCTAGAATTTTTACAGAAGCTTCGACAGACTCCATTTGATGATAAATCTGAATTTTATGGTTTGCTTTTTACGAAAATTAATATAAAATTCTGACGAAACTTCTGTGAAAAGTCAAGCAGACACCTTGCCTTTAAAATCATAGTGAAAATGTGAAGCAACGACTCACCTTTGTCTTCAATTAAATTATGTTTTAAATCAATCGTTTTTAGTGCCGGATTATTATTAGAGATCACAGATACAGCTAGTTTGTGTATGAAATCAGCTTTAAGACCTAAACCTTCAAGATGAAGCTCTTCAAGCCACATACTCCTTTTCAGTACGTGGAGTATACGATCCAATGTATCGTTCGATAGTCGGGTATTTGATACTTTTAATCCTCGAAAGAATGTGTTGTACTCGAGAGCTGATACTATTGCCATTAAATCCCTTTGTGGATTGAAAACAGAATATTGTATAAGTAAAAATTTGGGTTGGAATGTTAAGGGTAATCAACTAAATGCTTTGCGGATTGCAATAAAAGCTAGTGGACTTTAAATATTCAAATTTTAAAGGATAAAGAAGAAATTTGCACCCATTAAATTTGAATTTTATAGCAAAATAATACATTCATCCATAAAAGGGTACTCACTTCGGCTCCAGATGATCAAAATCTCTTAAATTGAGTATGCGGCAGTCGTGCGAGAGATATATCGTATCAATATCCCATGCAACCTCTTCCCGATACGGTACATTATGAAAATCGCACATACATTTATATTGTACACTATATCCACCACATGGTCCAACGTTTCGTGGATCAGCGGGTCTTAACTCATCAGAAAATATGGATATTCGTTCTATTGGCTGAACTTCTATTTTTCTTATAATATATTTTAATGGAACTGTTGGAAAAATTTGTTTAATCGCTGACGATAAGTCTGTAAGTATAACATCAGCATTGGAACTAAAATTTCCAGGTTCACCGAGTGTGGAAAACGAATAAGTCTTATCAGTTGTTGTAATGGAGAAATGTGTTGGCTTTTTACTTTCAATCGACTGTATATCTAAATAATGGAAGCTGCAATCGATGCGTGTTGGAACTTTAGCTGTCAATAAATAGACACGAACTGGCGTGAATACGAGTACACGATTTTCCGTCTTATCACTTTTAGTTTCTAATTTTATCATATACTTGACCAGAATTTTGGTATGTCGCCCAAGAACTGTCTTTACGCTATCTGCAATTGAAATAAGAAAATATATTTTTTTTTCTTTTTGTTATTTTGCAATATGACTGAGTATGACTGAATAAATAATGCAAACGATTATATTATTCAAGAAATATGTTATTGTATATACACACATGTACGATTTGTGGTAAGTTTAACTTACATGATAGAAACTTCAAAAAGAAATAATTTATAAAGAAAACCATGTTTGCATGACTGAGAAGATGAAGAATCTTTAAGAAATTTAATATTTTTTTTCTTTCTTTTTTTCACTTCGTTCCTTTTCCCTCAAAAATGAGATTCAATTTACACACATAACAGACGTAATCCTCCTCTCTTTATTACGTTCATCAGCAATCTTCATATATAACTTTTGATACTCCGATTACACTCTGAAGCAATTTAAAGTTTTAACATTTTTAAACTTATTTTTTAACGAATCTGTTGATAGAATTTGCACTTTGAGAGGGTTGTTTGAGGCAGTCTTGGAATGGGTACTCTAGATATTGTTGCGAAATTCAGTGATTAGCAGATGATTATTATTGTGACCAAAATTAATCAACGAATAAGTTTTCTAGACATATATTTTGAAGCATAAGCTAAGGTTTTGGAAAATGGCAATTCTAGGTTCGAACAATTATTATTCTCTATTTTAATTGTACTTGATCAAGATATTTGTTTTATCAAAATCTACTTTTTCGAGCATTGTATTGGGGCAAGATCAAAAATGAATTGTTCGTGACGCTGAGCAATAAATTACAATTTTTAAATCCTTAATGCAAATAATGCTGATCAGCTTATGTTTTTCTAAAAATGCAATATCTCTGCAACTAATAAACCAATCTTAAAAATTCTTTCACCAAGGAATTAAAAATTTGTGGCAGTAAATGTATAGAATAAAAAATTTAAAATTGCGGCTTCATAAGTTAGCTTAATTAACGTTTTAAATGTTTTGGTTGAAAATTCCATATGAAGAAAACAGTTTAGGAACTAGCTGTGTTCACAAAAAAGGTAGCAAATATGGTTTTCCTTACGCTTATTGAAAAACATTTCAAGTTCTACTTTAATTAACAAAGTTACAATGAATTTTAGAAAACTAGATATAACTTTTTGCTGTTTTATTGTTCTAATGATTTTTCAATGTAAAACTATAGCAAAACATAAGATGCATCTTGTTGCAAAAGGAAAAAAAATTAAAGTATTTATGGAAAGCCTTTAAAATCATAAAATGTTAAAAAGATTAACCAAGAAAATTGTAACAGTTTTAATAAATTCAAAATTCTGAGCGAAATTCTGAGCGAAATTGAGCCAAACATGTTGCTCAATTAAAATTGCAATGTTTTTGAGTTAATTTAACTCATTTTAATGCCTTTTACAGATACAATTTCTATAGAAAATGACTTTTTAGCTACTTATTAATTGTTTTCAGTCAATTAGAGCTAATATTTTCGGTTAAAAAGCGATTTATTCAACAAATTGAGTTTTAGTTAAATTAACTTAATCTATTCAGTTTTTTGAAGTCACAATACGATGTTTTGATAGAAAATATCAAAATCTACAACTTTTGTGAAGATCTTGAACAACCAACTTGCTTCCTTCATAAGAAAAACTCTACTTTAAATATTAATTTGTTAATTAAAGTAACTTATAAAGTCGCCATTTTAAAAAATAAAACAAAAAGTTAAACTTTTTGAACTTAACTATCGACCTGTGAAAAAATCATTAAAATTGGATGCTCGCAAGCAGAGAAATCAGCATATGAAGTTTTTTTCCCTTTTTTTCTGATCTTGCCCATTGATTCTGGCAATATACAAGGAAACATTTTCAGATTATGCTCACAAATAAATTTATAGGATTTAAAAAAATACGGAAATTGAAAATTAAATCTTTAAATCCAAGATAATCTAAGTAATATTCTCAGAAGTCTATGTCCGTTCACAACATCTGCTCAACAAAAAAATTTCATTTCTTAATCTTGAGAATTATCAGAAAATATCCAGACTGTTCAAACACTATAAAAGAGAGCACAAATTGAACATTTAAACTCAATGACTTTATCACAAATCTCAACTTCTTCTTTTCCTACACTAACAATTACATCAACCAACATCAACCCTCAAAAAGGAAATTCATAAATGCTAAAGCTGTAGAAATAATTTCATGCTAGAGTTAATTGAAAGTGTTTATTATATTCATTTGCTTTCTTTTGATTCAATTTCTTTTGTTATCACTTATAAGTTTTTCGCAAATTAGCAGCAACAAAAAAAATTTCAAGATTTCACTTTTCATAAACTTTTTAACGCGAAAATTTCATTTTCTGCTCGTCTTTTGCCACTCACTCCTTGTTAAATAATAGCTGTTTTTTTTTTGCTAGCTTGATGATAAAATTATTATTTTTATGACTTTACAAATTTCACTGCAGATTTATAAATTGAAATGCTTTTTTTTTATATCACTGCGAAAATTGAATTATGTTGAATTGAATTTCATCATCAATCCCTTGAAGCTTGACTATGGCGGTGAACTATTAAAATTCATCACACGAATTCAATTAACCCAATCATAATTTCTGTTTAATTTTCAATTTTGTTTGTGTCAATAATTTTCAATTAAAACTTTATAATTGAATCACTAAAAAATTGTGTGAGATTAAATTAGACAAACTTTTTTGCCGAGGTATTTTTCATTAGTGCTCGCTACCGAACCGACTGACTGACTCTACATTATTAGTTTAAGGTAATTATTCGCAACAGACTGACTAGCTTACTGTTGTTGGTGAAAAATATGAGCAGTGTTGAAGAGAGAGAAGAATTAGTTCATGAAAATAAAATATGTGAAAATTTATAGCTGCTCTGTGATAATTTGAGCGCATTTTTAAAAGGGAGTGCTAATGCTTAACTTTTTTTCATGAATTTTCATTTATTGTATATTGTCTCTAGTTCAATAACAAAATATTGCGGATTATATAGAACTGGTGTAATGATTATAATAATCAAGGCGTGGAAACTATTCCAAATATCTCATTTATTCTATCATATCCTGAAATTACACGTTCAATACACTAAGGATCAGTGTTGCATTCTGGCTATTTGTCTGGATCAGATAAATTCTGAGACAGAAATTTCTCATAAAGATCGATTCTATGTGAAGATAGAAAATCTAATCTACACAAAGATTATTTCTACATAAAGAATCTGTCTACATAAAGATTCGATGTAGATGTCTACAATTCTACATTCTTCTCTGATCTAGACCTGGAAAAAATGTAGAATTGTAGACATCTACATCGAATCTTTATGTAGACAGAATCTTTATGTAGAAATAATCTTTGATTAGATTTTCTATCTTCATGTAGAATCGATCTTAGAATCTACATTCTTCATCTAGTGTAGACATCTACATTTGCAACACTGCTAAGGATACGTTGGGATATCTCAATTCTATATTTGGGATAGTTTCCATGCCTTGATAATAATGGAAAATATCCTTAGAGTTTGAGAAGTTCTAAATTGGGAACGAGGAATTTAAAACTTTGAAATATTTATCCAAAATTCGGACTATAATGTTCATTGAATGCGCATTTCTATATGCATTATTGAATTATCCCATTTTTTTGCTTTGTAGCACATGTATAGCTTTTGAAACAATAGGTAACGAGTCAAAGCTGGCGCCAATAAGATTTAAATTGTGAAACTTCCAAAAAGTTTATCCCAAGGACAAAAGAAGCGCTTCTTAAAGTCATAATTATGAAATATAAATTAAATTCAAACTTCTGATAGACAAAGTGATCAATTAGTACTTAATTAGCAAAAACAGCTAAAATTGAGTAAGCACAAAACTGTGAGTTTGTACGCTTGATAAACCATTTTGCATTATTAAACGATAAAATAAGCAAGAAATAACTCAATTTCTCAATTCGCCTTTTCCATTTCACTCGATGATTACATTAGAAATATAAGTTTTTGATATGAAAATAAAAAAATTTAAAGTAGGTATTAAAAAAAAAATTCAAGAGTAAATAGATTGAGCAATTAATTGTAGCGGAAATAATTGATATTGATTTCATTTTCAAACAATATAAAATTATTTGTTGATGAAACTTTACAGCAAGCAGTTGGTTTCGTGACTCAACGAATTTTGAACAAAAATTTCCCGGCGACAAAAATTCTTTGTTGTTCTGAAAATTAGCATTCCATAATCATTGATTGAATTTTCAAGGAATTTCAATTAACAATAGGAAATAAGAAAAATCATCTTTTGGAAACCGAAAAATTTACGATAAAAAAAATTTGTGGGAATGGAATTAATTTTAATTTTTAAGTAGTTATTTGCTGCTTTTATTTTTATTGAAATCAAATTACATAAACTACTTAATGTGGATAGTAAGCGTGGAATTTCGGTAATGAACAAAGTAGGTATGTCAATGTCAATCACATTAAGTGATTAAAACGCATTCAGATGTTTTGTAGGCTCAATTAAATTTAAGGTGACTTCTATGAAGTTGTTAAGCTATAAACCCGAATAACAAAAGTCGGTTAATCGAATACAAATCCGTCGGCAAGTTAGCATGACTCTAGCATGATGCTGGCTTCAATTTAAATCCAGTACTATGCCAAAGTCACACTGGATTAGTTCCAGATTTCTAATCAATTAACAGTTTTGTGCCAATCGGGAAAGTTCAAATTTAATTGAGAGGACAGACCCAACGTAAACAGTTTAACCAGCCTTCTCGCTAGAAAATCTTTTTAAACCCACCTTACATCAGTTATTATTTTATATCCCATTCAGAAGATTGATAAATTTAAGTTGCAAATATTTTCCATTAAAAACTCCTCAAAAACCGCAAAAATACCGACATTGTCACCTTACTCGACCATAAAAAAACCACATTAGTTTAACAGAAACTTGCTAAAGTAATTCGCAATATAACAATATACAATTTAATTCCCGTAACAAACAGAAAATTGAACATCATTTTAATGTGTCTCGCAACTGATTGATTTGCATCACATGACCTTGATTTGAAATTTTATGTAAACCGATAAATGGATGAAAATTGGAGATGAATAACCTTCGCTAGTCATACAATTGAAAACAAAACAAATTCAGTTAATAATAGTGCTTCTCGAATTGAATTGATATTGTACAAAAAATATTGGAATCTTGTCAATATACTCATTTGAATGAGACCAACATTTTAAGTGCTTCTGTTATATATTTTTATGATTCTAGTATTTTAATAGCAAACAGTTGGTCTACAATGGAAGTGCTGAAAGGCAGGAATAACGTTAGAGTGTGTGAGCTGATGATGATAAGACGATAAAAACATTCATTACTATTTAAACAACTATACGCGCTCCCCTTTAATAAGTGACTCACTTTACTCTTTACTCTATGTTGCTGGTATTTACGTGTGCTGTATTTTATGCGTCATGTGATTATGAGTAATCTAAAGTGTTTTCACAAATTAAATCGTTGTAATAAAAGAGTTGGTGTTTTTCCTTTTTTCATATATGAAAAGTCTGTAAGTGCTGTACATATATGAATACATTTGAGAATCCCATTCTCATTCCTCATAATTTTTTACCCATCAAGGCATTTTTATAACAGCTTTTTGAATAGGATAAGTGTCCTACTTTTCTCAACACTTTGGTTGGATTGACTTGAATGATGTGCAGGATTGAATGCTTTTATCCTTTTTCAAGAAAATAATTCTTTATTCTCTTTAAGAATAATTATGAGCTCAAAACAATTACATTAAAAGTAGAATGGATATAATTTTGTCCTTACCGTCTATGATTTATGAATTGGACTAATTCTCAAAGTATTCTTTATTGTTGCTTATATTTAAATGTGAAAAATTAAATTACATCACAGTTAAAATGAGTTAAATTACTGAGATTCGTTAAAAGATTTATTGATCTGAAAATTTTCAGCTCCAGTTCTTCTTACTTAATGTTACATCAACACTTTGAGCAATATAGTTGTAACTCTTTCAAACTTACATTTTTCTTAATGAATAAATTAAATAAATCCATCAGAAATGCATTGTAAGCACCCCCTTCTGTGACTCGTTATATTCAAGCACTTCCTCACAGTCTCATTCTCATTTTGTTTTCATGTTTTTCAATGCGTGTGGTAGGTGAATGTGGAAAATTGTAAGGAAAGAGAAACGAGAGAAGCATGTATGTAATGAAAATGTAATGTACCAGCCAGCATAAGTGTGTAGAGATTGAATTCTGTTCATCATCTTTTTTAAAGGATAAATGCCATGGCAAGCACAAAAACAAATCCTTTTTACTCTTCAGTTATTATGGATCTCGGGTGGATAATAATTGAAATGTTGTAAAACAGACATGAAAATTATTTTCTACGTTTTTTTCCTACGTTGGGCGTGACACATTTTGCAAACATAACCCGCTACACTATGCTGATAAAAAAAAAATGTGTTGTAAACAAAAGGAAATCGTACGCGTAAACAAAATTATTCTATCCATGTATTTACAATATTTATTTATATCTCCTACTGTATACAATTCAATGATTTTTATTCACTAACAATATAATTATGTCACAGTTAAAGTTTAAGGTTGAGTAAATTTTTTTTGTCGGGTTAAATGAGACCCGACGACACCGTTGCTTATGTTTATATTTGTCAAGCTATAAGCACAAAGAATCTCATTTTTAGTATATTTTTTTTATGCCATTAATGGCACATTAATTATTCAAGTTTGATAGCATTCTTGACTCTGTTTTTGGATGCAAATTAGCAACATATATAAACGAGTACACCCATATAGGCACAATCAAGACTATAAACACAAATAATCATCAGTCAAGTCTTTCTTTTCATATTTAATTTAATCAAAATTAGTTTCAATTAATATCTTCATTTTTGTGAAAAAGAACAGACAATTTCGATTCATTAATTTTATTTTTTGCTCTTTTAACTTGTTATAAATTTTTTCTTGCGAATTCGATTCGCTTACTTCTTATGAATTTTGAGGGTTTCATAATTTTTTTTTCCCAAATCAATATCTTACACAAATACTCCGCTAAGCAGATAAGAATTTTATTTTTTGTTTATTGAGCAATGAAAGGAATGAGAAAATGGAAATCGAATCGGCTCTTTTAAAAACTGTAAATTGCACAAATATTTTTACACTGTTTTTTGTTATCTTCTCATATTTGGAAACTTCACTTGCAAACATGTTTTTCATACTTCATTAATTATTTCTTCTTGATACAAAAAAAATTCTTACCATTCAATTCTCGCAAAGTGTTTGCTGTAAAACTTTTTAAAGACATATCTGTAAACTTTTTTAAGGATGCTGTTTTCAAATATCCACAATTGATTTTTACACAATCCACATAAATAATACAAAGCAGAAAAATTTTATGCACACAATTTGATCTTTAGCTGGTTTTTTTCTCACGCATATCTTATCGAATTTTCAAAAAGATTTAAGTTTATTTTTTTCACCACTAAATTTTGTTTTCTTCGTGATGTATGTTCAGTGTGGACAGATTTTATTTCTCGGAAAAGGGGTAGGACCGGAAAAAATACTCAACAGGGGGACGTCTTAAAAATATTATTATCCTTATTAAATTGATATTATATGAAAACGATATTCAAAAATGTTGAAAGTTTAAATGTTAATATAGAAGATATGATTTATTGATGTACTTTACAATCCAATGTATGTGATGTTTGAAAATAATAGTTCAAATTTTTAAAAGCCGTTACAGTTTGTTATTTCATTTAATTTTGAGCTATTTTGAAAATATTAATTTTTTTTGTCATTGCTCAGAAGTTCTTAAATTATTAATTAATATTTTATTAAATGGCCCCAGCATGGAGTACCTTTTTGGAGGTTAGAATGTTTTCAAAACTTTGGAGGATCTGGTACAGCAAAATCTGATGCAATGCATATTAGACATCTTGTCTATTTTTGCTCTAATATGAGAATGAATAAAGGCACACAAAAAACATTGACCATATTTATGCATGTTTAAATTTAAAAGTTTCAAGGAATGCTTCAAAGCTGTTTTGAGATTCAAACTATTTTCAAAGAAGAAATTCCATTGACCCATTCAAATTGAATTTTGTTAAATACTCAACCTCCTTAAACAATTTACAATCAATCTACATTTTCAATCCTCAAAGAGTGAAAATATTCAAAGGATAATTTTTAATCGCTTTGCATTCATCTAAAAGAATTTTGTTATCTATCCATCTAAAAATTTTCCTCAACCTTAATCAAGTTGGATTAAAAAAACGAATTGGGAGATAAAGTTGAATGTCCTCAAGCTATCATTTTAATATTTGATGTAAAACACTTTTTTATGATAAAAAATTCACTTTATGACGACTCTTGAAAATCTCCTTTCATCTGCGTGACATTAGTTCTCATTTCAAGCGATGAATAAGAAAAGGGATTCCACGTTTTTTTTATCTTTATTTGATTACACAGGCAGAACTTTATCGTTTATCATGAAACAGCCGAAAAAAAAATGAAAAGAAAATTAGGGAGAGTAAAAGAGCAATGAAAAAAGTTTTTTTTGTTGTAGTTTTTCTTTCCACTTTCCTTGTTGTATCCATGTATATTTATGTGTAGTTGTTGATGGCCAAAAGGGGAATCTCGAGAGATGAAACAAATAGAAAAAATTAATGATAAGGAAGGAAATGAGACGAAGAAGATATGATGAGATGAGTTTCATAAGTTTAAGAGTAACAATTTAACAACAATGAGATGAATCTGTAATTGAGAATATCCTTGTGACTGAAAAATAAGGAAATTGGATTCGATTCGTAAAAATCAATGACTGTCATTAACAATTTCACTGTTGAAGTTGAAAAATTTAAATTAAATTTTACTCGGGATGAGAAAAATCTTCATGATGTTTTAAAGTGTCAATAGAAGGAGGATTCCGGGTTTCTAAGGCTACACAGGGCATTCTATCTTAGAATCATAAAAAATAATTAACTGTGACTTAGAAATTCCGAGAAACCAGGTTCATGGATTTTTAAAATAACAGTTGAATAAAAATACTTTTTAGAATCAAAGTATCAGTAGCAGACTTTATGGATGGCAAGAGATCACGAGGAAGAACAAAGATCTCGTGGATTGGATGTGTTGAAAAGGAAGCAAGAGTCCTTAATATTCTGAACTGGTAGAAGGTTTCTAATGATAGAGCTGTCTTCAGACGATCTCTAAGCGCGGCAATGGGCCCACGTGCGCCCCAGCCAAGGAAGTAAGAATCAAAACCACTGTTTTTAACAAGTACATAAATCTGTAATTGAATGTTATCAGTCCGTATCAGTTAAATGAAATATGATTTTCTTATCTTATCATTTTTAATTCAAAAAACCATTGGCACACTCCAATGCAATATTGTATCGGAATTGCATAACGGAACAAGACAAAATCACCTAATTCAATCTCGCTTTGGATCCACAATATAGAAGTGAGGGAAAAAAGTAATTTATGCTTTTCAATTCCTTTCCCCTTCATTACAATTTCCTCTTTTCTTCTTTTCTTTTGTGGAAATTGAGAAGAAAAAAATAGAAATTTGCAAAAACACATGTGGTGTGTTTGTGTTTTCCCTCCGCTCTTCTTTCTTTTGCCACTTGGCATTCATGATTTTTCACATATTTTTCGTCATATTTTCGATGTCTGCTGGAAGTTTACATAAAGCTGTGAATTTGTAAGTTTTCGATAAAATTAGCTCTATTTTTTTAAAAAAACATTTGTTTGCCTTTTTTTCCATTGACTTGATGGCAGTTTTGGAAAATATTTGATTTGACATTGAGAATATTTATTTCACAATTTTTTGAGAGTTTGGGAAATTTTTCAAAACTTTTTTTTTGAAAGTTCCACAAAAACTGACAAAAACTTAAAAAAGTTTTCAAATTTAAATCCACAAAAAGTCGTTAAAACTCAATCATTGCCAAAAATTATTCTCAACATGCGCCAAAACATATTCCCCAGTTTCCAATAACTTACGTACTCGTTTCCTTTTTGCCTTCTATCATTCTTTGAATTCATAAGAGATCAAAAAAAGAGTCGAATAAGAAAAGTTTGTGAGTATAAAATTATTATTCCAATCAAGTGTTTTGTGCATTCATCTGTGGATAAGTAAATACGATTTTATTAGGCTATTTCTTCTTCAACAGTACATTTTTATGAGGGAGTAATTTTTGACAGTATGGAAGGAATCATCTGACGAAGAAATGAAAACGTCCAACTCATCTTTAACTTAAGTGGATTTTCGTAAAGAACAACATATACATGCTGAATGGTAAAAAATGGATGAAAAAAAAAACTAAAATCAGAAAAGGTTTTTCCGGCATGAAAATTCAAATTTTCTTCTTCAACTATCAATCGATTCCTCTATCTTCAACATACACTTTTTTTTCACAAGTACATCATGTCTCAATGAATAGTCATTGATGGCACTATTTCACGTAAATTGATGATTTTGCTGACAGTTTGTCTCTGGTTTAAGGTAGCAATTGAAAGGAATGAATTAATACGTTAAGAATTGGTGTTTCAAGGATCTTCTAATATCTCTAATGCCACTAATAGTATTTACCCAAATAACACAAATCTGTTACTCGAATTTAAATCCAGCATCAAGCTGGCGTTACTCTGACAAGATGCTGGATTTGATTCGAGTCCAACACCATGCAAGAGTCGCGCTAGCTTGACACCGGATTTCTATTCGATTAACCGACTTGTGCTTTTCGGGTTAATTCACGAAAAAAATGCGTTCATGACAGTTTACCAATACATCCATTTAGCAATAGCCATCCCATTTTTGTCATGCAATTTTTCTAAAAATAGAAAAGAAGTAAGAGTCTGTTGAGAGGAAAAATCGTTCAACCAAAGACAGCAAAAAGGAAGAAGAAAATTGTTTGAAGGAAAACAAGATTGTGGAATAAAATGTATGCATCTACAGATATAGAATTCATCCCATTCTATACAATCTAATGCAAACAGTATAATGGAAATTTTTTTCGTATCCATTCACATCTGGGTAATTTTTGAATTTTACTGCTCGCTCGATTCTGCAAAAACCAAAGAAGAAAAAGAGAAATTTTTATTCTATCATAATGCTTATGCTCTTTCTATGTAACCTAAAGTAATGTTTTATCAATTTGAATTGATTGAAATGGAATTCTTTTTCTTTTCCAATTCAAAACTAACAAACGAATTAGATGTTCTTCCAATCTTCCACATTTGCGAGCATTAAAATAGTTCTCAGACTGAATGAAACAATAATGAGACGTTCAGCTGTTGCTAGTTTTATGTCTTAAGATTTTTGGATGGAAATGAAATGAAATAAAGTTAATTTAACAAATTTACAAAATTGAGTTATTGTGGTAAACAGCTTGATGGACATAAAAATGATTGGAAAGAGCTCGATTTTCATGACTGGGAAAAATGTTTTATCCTCAATGCAAGAAATTCATCCAAAATGTCTTTAAAGGAACATAAATTAAGCACTAAAGACAAAGATGCAGTAAAATAAGATATAAGATCCTGACAACATAAAACTTCTTTGATGAACACCCAAAAAGACTGTAACTGTAATAAACTACTCCAATCAAGATCGAGAACATCCACACAGAAGTGATGACCATTGACTCGATCGTAAAAATTTGCAACTACACTAAACACGAAAATTATTCCACAATCCACAAATAATTTTTATCATCTATAACTTTTAACATTTGATGCTTGTTTTATTAGATTACAAGCGATAATTATCAAGAGAAATTTATTGCCTCTCATCACTGAGTCGTAATTTTAGTGCTGAAATATTTTACAACCTTACACATCTTTTTTGATTATCCAAGCAAACAAAAACTTACAAAAAAAAATCTGTTTTATCGACCGTAGACGCATGAAAAGGCTCATTGGATTTTATGAATCCTTCTTTTTCCTTTACATTTCCTTATTCCTTTTTTGCAGAGATTAAACTATGCGAAATTAAATTTTATTTCATGTGGTTTTTATGGAAAAAAAAATTCTTTCTTTTGTGTATGAAGATATTCTCCGCTTATCATCACATTATTGCATTAAAACAGAATTTTTCCGTCTCAGCCATTGCAATAAAAATTTTATATCTTCTTCTTCTCTTTTATTTGCTTTTCAAGAGCTAAATTTCGTTGGAAAAACATAGGAAGGGAGTTGAGTTTACTCGATTAGATGGAAAAAAGTAGGACATTTGAAAGAAATATGCAGAAATTTTGAAATTATTAAAATTTTATTATTTTGAATTTGTGATTCCAAAATCTGTGAATTTTTTCAAATTTAAAATTCAATTAAATTTCGGAGTCTTGTAAGATTCTGGAACAAAGTGTAATTTTTGCTGTTATAACATTCTGCTCATGCTTTTCAATTTCGTATGCCACTAGTGTTCACTTCCCTTAAAAATATTAAGGAACAGTAAGGAATAAAAAATGAAAAAGGATAAAAAAATGGTGATGATAATTTTATATGTTTGTTATCGAACATACTGTGCATTATGGAACAAGAAAAGAGCGAGGAAAAAAAACTGACACTATTACTACAACTTATATTTTCTGTCGTCTCTGTACTGTGCGAACATGAGTTTCAACATTATTTGCCCATCTGAACATATAAATTTAATTCAATTTCTGACTTTTACACTTTTTCTTTCTTGTTCTTTTGTTTTTACTGCGGGAATTTTGTCAGATTTTCTTCTGAACTTAATTTTAAGCTTCTGATTTTGATTTGTTTTAATAAAATTTGGAGTATTCAAAAGAAATCACAAAATCTTTTAAAATTACTTCGAATAATATTAAGGACTTTCTCACACTCATAGAGACTTGCACCAGTGCAGGAACAATCGATTTGTCAGTTTATTTAAGCAGCAAGAGCAGGAAATAAATTTCTCTCTTATTCCTTCATCAATTGCAATTCAATAGAAACAAGTTTATTTCCACCATTCATTTCAAATTATGAACCCATGACTTTAGTAATCTGGTCAATTATGCTATCGTCCTTTATCTATTTTCCAGAAAAAATTGTTCATGATTGCTTTATGTCTGTAATCATCTTGAGCATCCTTTTTATTTGAAAAAAATTTTAAAATTTCATCACGTTGCCACTTCAACTTTAATATTCGCCATCAACTTTCAGTTTATTGCCATCAACATCACTTCATTCACTCATTCATCATAAAGAAATTGCTATTATCGTCAACTATGAATAGAAGTAAAAAGAAACTTTAACTTGATTAAATTTTCTTTCACTGCATTTTTCTCTTTTTTTTTAATGTCCCAGGTGAATCGCATGAACAATTGAGTATACATTCAGAATTTTATTAACGAAAGAATTCGAAATGACGTGTCAGTGCTGTTCTTTTCTATGACTGTCAAACGAACTGTGCATATGCAAGGAATTTTAATTTTTTTTCTACATCTTTATTGAATTAAGATTCTGTTATTTTTTATGTTGGAAACTTTAAAACTTTAAGGTATGACTAGGTACGTCATTTGATTTTTTTTTAAAAAAATATGGTGCATTAAACTATTAAAGACGCTAGGCTGAGTAAAGATCTTAGTCGACGAGTGTAGATCTCCCCATAACTGCCATATGTGTATACTAATGTAAAACAAGTCGGATTCGATAAGAATCGAACCCTGGACCTCAAAAGAGGCGATCTATGACTACTCAATCAGAGATCCCTGCCACTCGCCCACCGAGGTACTTTTCTCACTTCGGCTATCCGTCACACACATATAACTAGTTAAACGCGAGCCCTATGCTCAGGCCTATCTACTACAGATATGCTCTTCAAGTCATATCCACAACCAGGAATAAAACAAAAATCTGCGCTCATTTGGATTGGATTTTCGGTATTTTTTTATAACGCTCTGGGCTACGACACTCTTGCTACGCCTCTAATTAAGAAAAAGAGTCTGAACGACCTTCCTAAACCAAAAAATGCACGTCATAATTATTTATGAGCTAAATTCACATGACAAGATCTAATTACATAATACTCAAATTAATAAAAACCAAAATTAATTTATTCTCTAACGGGTTTTAAAATAGTGAAAGATGATTGAATGCTAAAACCAGTTAAATTGGTCAGTGACCTTCAAAGATTTTATTCGAATGCATTTTGCGAACTGAAAATGAAATCAAAACTTGAATGTTTATGTCAGTAAGTCATTCACATTCAGCGTGTAGAGATGAATATTAAGTTTATAGTGATTATTTTAATATCCAATGTTCATTCACAAATAAATGATACGTTGGATGTTATCAAAAAATTTGGTTTTAGTGCTGAAAGTTATCGATTTAAAACAGCTGATGGATATTTATTGACGATGCAAAGGATTTTTCCAAACAATAATGGACATACAAAAAAGGCTCCTTGCTTGATAATGCATGGAATTTTCTCATTATCACTTCAATTTCTGCAGCTACAAAATGACTCACTTGCTTTTCTTTTAGCTAATAGTGGATATGATGTGTTTCTTGCTAATGCTCGAGGTACAAAATATTCATCACATGCTACATACTCAAAAAATTCGAGCCAATTTTGGAATTTTTCACATGATGAAATTGGCTATTACGATCTTCCAGCTATGATAGATACAGTTTTAGCAATTACAAGATCTGATAAGTTATTCTATATTGCATCATCACAAGGAGCTGCAATATCAATGGTTTTATTGTCAACACAACCAGAATATAATCAAAAAATCATCGAGGCACACTATCTTGGTCCGGCTATATTTCTAGGAGGTGGTTCAAATTTATTTTTAAGAAGTGATCTTGGATTACTTACGAGAAATAACATGATTGATTTAACTGATATTAACAGCATTATCAAACCAATTTACATGAAACATTGTAATAAAAATAAACATTTTGGATTTATTTTGTGCATCTTACAAGAAATAGCAAATTTTGGATTAAATATCAATGCTGTCGAAGTTGATTTTGAACTACAAAAATATTATGTTGACAATCATGCTCCACAAATAAGCAAAAAACAGTTTGATCATTTTAAACAATTAACAAAATCGAGAAAATTTCAATACTTTGATTATGGAGGTGAAAATATAAAAATCTATGGAACAAGACATTCTCCAGAATATGATTTAAGTCGAGTGACAGCTCCTATTTACATATATTGGGGAACATTAGATACTACTATAGGAAAGGAAGTAAGTGCCATCAAATTTACAAATTATGTCGTTTTTATAAGACAACTCTTTTTAGGACATCCAAAACATAATTAACTCACCATTAAATGTCAAAAGTGTTCGAGTGATCAAAAATTTCAATCATTTTGATTATGAAGCAAGTAGACGTGCTAAAGATGCAATTTATATGCCAATCGTGAAAGAACTTAATAGCTTTAATCATTTATACTGAAATATCTTATAAAGCTAATTGATGTTTTATCAGGAAATTTATAAACGAAACAGAAATATTAGTTATCTAACCAAAGATGAATCAGACTTAAGGGAGCTACAGGAACGAATTTTTTTTAAACAATAAAGTTAAAAAGTAATGAATAATTAATATAAATTTAAAATGTAAACAATATTTTAATTCAATTTCATCTATAATACAATAGTATAAACGAAAATAGATAAAAGAAATATCAGCCGTGCATCACCAACAACAGCTTCAGCTGTATGACACCGTGAAATGTCATTTGAATATAAATTGATGCAGCGATAAATTTAAAATTCTCCTATGTATGTCGCATTATGAAATTGTACGTGAATTATATGTTCAATGTTCTCTACTCACATATACACGAACAGCTGGTGTATGCCTGTATAATCTATTCAGAATACTTTTTGGTGACATTTTTTTCGGTGCGAGATTTGATTTCTCGTACAAAAGTGAAACTTCAGAAATTAATTTTTATTCTTCCGATTTCTGACGTTGCGCTTATTTGTTGTGCTGTCAATCTCAAGCATATATCCATTTCAAATTGAACGAGAGACCCTAATTCATCTCAAGTAATAAAAATAAAATTATAAATGTGTTTATATAATAAAATTTTCAAGTGGTCGTCAATGTTCATATTATCAAATAATATTCAATATTCTAAGCACATATATTCCCATTATAATATCTATCGGTTGGTTTCTTAATGGTTCTTAAAAGCATTCTCAATTGACTAAAATTCCCAGGTTCTCGAATTATATTATACGCATGTAAAAGTCATTCGAGTTTTAAATCATTTTGAGAGTTTCCCCATATACCCACTTGTTTATGGTTCATTTAGTTTATAGATGAAATTTATGTTTGTTTAATATTCTCTCATACTCTAATATCTGTGTATCTAAACGGTCCTCTACTTGTTTTTTTTTTCGAGAACACTAAAATGAATTGAACAATGAGGGTATTATGATATTTTAATACCCAAATGTTAAGAGCGTAGCTAATTGATTTCATCTTTAGATTTAGGGAAAAAATAATAAAAGTGTGTGATTGACTTTAAATGGAAAAAGAAAGAAGCATAGAGCGCATTTTAATGCATAGATCAAAAAATTGAGAATGCTGCTATTATAAAGAAACTTGATGTTTGTCCCAGGCGCGTAGCCAGGAAAGTATTGTATCCCCCTTAAGCGTTTTAGGCCGTGCTCTCGCTACGGTTCAAAACGTTTAAGGGGGGGACAAGACCCTCCTCGCTACGCGCCTGCGTTGTCATGAATAGCTGGTTCATAGCCAAAAACCGACAGCTACACAAGATATTCTTCCCGTATATCTTCCATTAATTATACAACAAATTATATTCAGACCGTCATTAGTTTGACACAAACACATGTTGATTCTAAATCCGAGCATCATAAATCTTTAAAAATTCTCTATTATCTTTGCGGTGCGTCGAAAATGAAGCATAAAATTGTGATTTGAGTGGCTTACGAAAATGTAAATACAAAGAAAAATCTACTTAATGGAAGGGTCTCTACATCTGCATTAAAAGTTGATAATTATATTAATCAAGATATCCGTCATAATTGAATTTGACTTCATCTCCACACAATACACAGAAGCATTAATTGAGTTTGAGACGAACGGAATGTTTGTGGGTAAATACATGTGACAATATTTTTAATATTGCAATGAAGTGTAAGGAAAAAATGTTAATTAAGTTTATATTAATGAGTTTTGTTGACTTAGCTTCATTGAAATCGGAAATGGAAGTTAATAGATGGCGACCTAAAAACAAATGAAAGACGACGAATGAAGAAAAATACGGATTTGATTTTATTTAATGTGTTTAGGAAGAAGAAATTGCTTTCGACAAATTAAATGCCACGTGGATATCTTATTTCGTAAGAAGCAATTGCTATTAGGGTAAATAGCTGCTGCATCTATTGTTCCGTGTCACAAATTTTCTACGGAAAAATAATTTCCCTTCTAAGAAAAAAAATCCCATTCATGAATCTGTTGGGGGTGAAAAAGTAATTTACGTCCTTTCTCCTCGATTTTTTGTATGGTGCATAGAACTGCAAAAAGATGTACTGGAATTTCGTTCATTTTATCCGTCTGATTATTATGAAGTTCATTTTCAGGTGTGTGAACTAGCACACTAGTAAAAAAAGCTTTAAATCCACCTTTAGCTATCCCAAATTCTAACTTGAATCTTCTATACTTCCCGTTTTTTCCTTCCAAGTGCAGAGAAAAGAAATCACGAAATTGTTTTCGTTCTTATTTTTTTTTTTCGTATTCATAATGTGTAAGCTTGTTCAACATCTGTATCGACATTCTATATCGTACAACATTTCGCAATGATTTATTACTGTTCTCTTTTCTATTAACCAATTTTTCTTTCAACATCTTGTTGATCTCGTTTCTGTATTGTTTGTGACTCCCTTAATGAGCTTTTTTTCATGGATCAGGTGAGCTTCGACATTACTTTCGTTTCGTTTTGTGAGAATAAAATAAGACAGGAGACAAGAAAAATATTTCAATTGTGCCTAGAAATAAAGGAATAGAAAGCAATGGGTGTGAAAAAGGTCTCATCAATTACGTCAACTAAGGATGATACGAAAAACATTTACAAATCGAATCGTCGTTACACAAATAGAAATTCTAAAAGCTTGAATTTTCCTGAATTGGACGTGAAAATATCAAAAGTATCCACAGTTTTACTATTGTTACAATCGAGTGAGCATGATTTGGTAGAAAAGGTTCGTATTTGCTTTGGGAAATAAATAACATTGATGAATTTTTTACTGGTTTTTGAGGAACAATTGATTCATTTTGTCAATGTTTGTTACTAGCTTTAATACAAATTGTATTGAAGCTTTAAGTTGCTCAGCAAGTGCGCCTTTAAATCTACTGAAATCTACAATAATTTTTAAACTTGTTCCTTCTTCATGCTTTCTTTATTTTTCCCAAAAGGCACTTCACCATCTCGATAAATATGCATCATTGGGAAATCATCAACTTTATGAGCTTACAGAGAATCACATCTACGAACCTTTGTTAAAGCTCATCAAATCAGAAAATATGATTGTTAAGAAATTTACATTCAAATTGATTGTTCAACTGATTCTTGTCATCGATGAGTGTAGGAAGAAACTGCTGACTGATGATGGCTTGATTGAGGAAACGAAGAATATTTTTATGGCATCAATGGATGACAATTTAGTAGAATTTTCATGCATAATATTGCAGTATATAAGTAATGATTTAAAGCAGATCGATATAATAGGACGAGAAGAGGCATTTTTGAGAGAAATTTTCAAGAAATTCACATCACATGATCCTGACATTCTTCTTCAATCACTTCGATTGTTAAATCTCATTATACGAAATTCCATGTTGATATCATTCATTTTAACAATGAAAGATTTTCCATTCAAGAATCTTCAGATTGAGCTTAAAAACGATTGTCAACAGATTCAAATGGCTGCACTTGAAAGCTTATTGATTATCTCGAATTGTAAACATCCATTCAGAAATGAATTTTCATCTGATCGATTGATAGAAGAGATTTATGGGATGTGTATGGTGAGTTGAACTATAAGCTTTTATGCTTTACTTTTGTGTTGGCACTGATAAAATTTGATCCAGTTCAAAGAGAACACCTACAAGTTCTCGACTTAATGTTAAGTTTTCTAGTAATCCGAACATACAATAAGTTTACTCAGAGCACATTATTTGTGAGCTTGCAAACTTTTGTGAGAATGTGCTCATTTCATACATTAAAGTGATGCGATCACGGTACCTTTTTGAGTATGCTCAGTGAGCACATTCCTATGTGACATGCATTAAGCTCACTGAGTAAACTCATGAGCATACTCAAAGGAGAAGGCAACATGCCACACGCAACATTTTTTTAATGAAACATTTTTTATTGAATATACTTATGAACATTCTCAAAGAGCATACAATCATGAACATACTCAAAGAGCTTATACTCATGAAGATACTCAAAGAATATATACTTAGTGAGTATATTTATGAGTATATACTCATCTGAGCACACTCATGAGTGCACTCAAGTGAAGTTGCAAAATTCAAAAAATTAATTAAGCTTAATTTGAGTTTTTTATAAGGACAATTCTATGAATAATTTTGGAAGAGTTAGAAATTATTATTAACCACTATTAACATTTTATCTCAAATACTTAAGAAGGAAGTTTCAAAAACCGGTCACCCATCCTTGCAGAAAAACCTTTTGCGTTGCTTAACTTCTGTCACCTCACACTTTTCCTTGGAGCAATTTTCTATAAATATATAATAACTAGGCTATCCGGAGGCGCCCGTGGCGCCTCTTATCAGGGTTAAAATTTGATTACTATTATGAAAATAACTGTAAGACGCAAATAACCACAATGTTAATGAGGTCAATCCTACCACAAAACTTCACATGGGCTCACAACCCCCTCAAACTCGGACCCCCTTAATCCCACTAAAACTTTAATTCCTCCGAAACCCACCATGTCTTTTCACAAAGCTTCGCATGGCTTCACAAAACTTCACATGACAAACCCCCTAAAAATCGGACCACAAAATATACCTGACACCCCCCTTGCCCCCATCCCCACCTGACACCCACTTTGCCCCCCCAACTTAGTCGACCAACTTAGAACTAAACTTAGAATACGTTTTTATGCAGGTTGACATTTTTTGAAAATATTTTATGAATTCAAATATTAGTTCCATAAAAGCCAAAAGATTTTGATCGTGCTTAATTCTTATAGTTTTTTAAAAGCAAAGTAATTTTTAATTTAATTCCTTGAGAAATATAAAAATGTATTCTAAGTTCGATTTTAAGCTGGTCGACATTTTTTAAAATGTCATATAGATATAATTATAATCATTATATGCTCATGAGTATGTTTAGGAAGTGTATTCATAAGAGTAAATACCCATGAGTATGTTCTTAATATTCCCATAAGCATGTTCAGTAAGTGCACTCATATGAGAACCTAAAAAAATTATGTCACACAGAAGTGAGTATGTTCTTAATATTCTCATGAGAATGTTCAGTAAGTGCACGCATACGAGTATATTCACATAAGTATGTTCTTAATATTCTCATGAGTACAATCGTTGAATGTACTCACGTGAGCTTATAAATTTTTTGCAAAAAAATAAAGTGAGTACATTCGTAATGAACTCTTGAGCATGCTCAGTTGAATGAGCTTGCATGCGTATAATTTTTGAGTAGACTCACTTATATGCTCACTTTTCTGAGCATGCTCTTTGTATGTTCGGGTAATTCATGTCTTTTAAATATCTGCATCTGTAATAAAAATAAAGAACATAAAACAGCATCAGACGCAATTATTCTCAAATTACAGACAAAAAACTTTCGAATCATAAAATTTTCATCACATAATTCAACTCGTAGATTTTATTATCTTTTCAATGACATGAAAACTATAATTTTTCTTTGTCTTTCCTTCCATACAGCAATCGGAGAACCTTGAACTACAACAAATGGCATTGAAACTTTACAAAAATATCTGCAGGAGTGACGAGAAATTGTTGGAAAAACTTTCTCGACATCTAACGAAGTTTCTACAAAAATTCATGGATATAAAGAATGAGAATCGGGAGGAGACTTTGAGCATCCTAATCGAATTTGCTGAATTGGATGATAACAGGAAAATTATGTGCCAAAATGAAATTTTTAAAGAAATTTTCACGTTGATAAGAGAAAATTGTTCAATTGAAGCTTGTAATTTCGTATCTGTTATGTCAACAAATATTTTATGCTTCGAGGAGATTTTCTCTCAAAATATTTACGTAATTCTACTCGATGCAGCCATGAGTAAACGAAAAAGTTGGGAAAATATATCAACAGCTCTTTTGACATTTCAAAAACTCGTCAATCTTCAAGGTCTTCAGTATCTTGATGAGATTTCTGAAAATATAAGCTGGAATGTTGCTGCAATTATAGCTGATTCTCCACCGACGTTCATTATTCTCACACTAATTACAATTTTAGAGAAATTAGCTTGCTATTCAGAAGTGAAAATGAAAATTTGTGAAACAAACTCACTGTCAAATGCAGTCTATTCAACTCTTATATCCTCGAGACGTTCAACGAAACTCATGATTCGATTATTTAATCTAATTGCAAATTATATTGATCAGAAAACTTTTCGCATTTCATTCAATGAATTTGAAATGTGTGAAATAATTCAATATTATCTGAATTCGCATGTGAATCAAATGAAAGTGAGTGTCTGCAATCTAATCAGTATGTCATCAAACTATCAAGAGCTTGTCACTAAGATCATTGATAGTGGAATTTTAAAAATTTTACACGATAATTTTGACTGTTCAATATGCTCAGATGGATTTGAAGCGATGCTGAATTCTGACATGTCATTGAAATTTTCTGTGAGGAGAAAATTGGATATGAATGATAGGATTAGAAGTGGATTTTATGCTTCGAAAAATCCTCGAATTGATTTCATGAAATTAAGGCAAATAATGAGTACAGAATTTGAGTCACCGTTATGTCCTGTTTATACAATTAATTTAAGTGATGCTGTTGAGTTTCCAAATTTTGGACGGAAAATTCAAAAGGACAGAAACTTAATAGAGCTCAAAAATGCTTTATATGATGAAGATTTCAAAATTTCTAGTGATCTTGAAAAAGTCAAATTTATTGCAAGATTAGTTTCAAGCTTCCTGAAAAGTGACGACGACTGCATTAATCATCACTTATCAATGCACCTGAAAACTTTAAAATTCAAATTCTCATCCTCAATTTTACCAATTGGAAGCTTAATTTATGGCAATTCATTTGAAGCCGCACTCTTATTTAAAACACTTGCTGATCACGTCAATCTTAATGCATCACTCGTGGCCGATAAAAATGGAAAAACGTGGAATGAAGTTCTCGATGAAAATAACATCGTTGATTTAATTTTTGATATTGGTGAATTATACGAGTTCAACAGCATCGCAGGTCAAAAATATTTGCAGAGAATCTCATAAATTATTGATAGACATCCGCAGGAGAGTAACATCTGAAGATAAAAAAAATACGTGGATAAAGAAGAAAAAAAAATAATAAAAATTTGTTGTTGAAAATTTCCATTAAAAATGATTTTCTTTCTGCCTTCAAATCGCATCTCTTTTGCTTTCACTCTCGATTTATGTAAAGAAAAAGGTTGAAGCATATTGAATGAGACATTAAATTAGATTAGTAAAGAAGATTCTTGTGAATTTTTAACAAGAGAAACGCATTTGTTAAATAAAGTTTAGATTAGCTCAGGAGGAGCTTTTAAATCCAAATTTGGTTAATTTCTCTAAATTCGAATGATTCCAGAAGTCCAAAAACATAAAAAGCATGAACCATTGCGATATCAGAAAGCCAGAAAACGGAAGCAAACTGAAACTGAAATTCATGTCAAAATCCTGTTGAACTAAGCGATGTAAATGTAGCTTACTCATTCTATCCCTCTTTCCGAATGAAAAAATGCCATAAATGAAATAATGGAACTGAAATTGAATTAAGAGAGAAAAAAATTTACATCAATTTATCAAAAATGTCTGATAATGTTATTAATGTCATAAATTTGAATCGAGTCAATGTGCTCATCATCGCCTTTTCTATCTTTTTCTTCTTTTAACATTTATGACAAATTTATTTTTTGTTCTCACTTTTCTGCCGACTGCTGATGTAGATACACTAAAGAGATGGAATTATAGTCAAGTATCAATTTTACAAATTTAAATTTTCGTCTTTATTGACATTTTGACAACTCGATTTGATGAAATTTAAAGATTAGTGACTGGAAAATGATGGGATCAAATGACGAAAGGAGGAATGAAGAATGGCAAATAGGAAATGAAATGATATCATGATACATTGTAAGAGGGATTAAATGGAATCTTTTTTCTAGATCAAGAATTTCGAAGACTGTGTAGGCAATTTTTTCTGTAGCTATATTGAGCTTGACATTTCATTAGAATGTCATGTAAATTCTTGAGAAATGCGAACTTTGAAATTGAGATACCTCAGTGTGGATTATCTGTTTGCAAATTGGTTTTTAAAGATAAAGGCTGAGTACAAGTTTGAGGAATGAGGATGTGAAAGGTGGATTTTAAGTACTGCTTGGACATATAACGACACATTGAAGTATTAAAATGATATAATGTAACAGGTTCACTAGCCAATCCGGTATTAAAAGTAGCTAAAGTATTGCCAGAAATTGCTAATTTATTGACAAATAAAAAGCAAAATATTCTCAAGAAAGCAGCATGGACACTCAGTAACATCAAATTACATTGGAAAGTCATTTCATATTAACTGGATTAATAAACACATTGTTCGAGGAAGGAGGTGGTGTTGATTTATTAAAGGGATTGCAGCAACATGAGATCCATGTATTTCTGGGAAGACCTCCTCAATCATTGATTCATACTTTATTTAAGGAACAACGATAATGTCTATCATTATCATAATTTAAATTCAAATGTTTTTGTTGAATAATTAAGTTTTATATATATATATATCGTAGGAATCTGATTATTATTGTAAATATTGTTATCGTGAAAAGACGTTTATTTAAAGTTAAAAATTCCATTTTGCTATTCTGCAAGGATTAAAATAAAGAATACATTATTTTAATTACAAGAGGTAATGGGCCTTATCGCAATGAAGTTTGAAGAAGAAGAATTTGCCATGTGCGAGCGATTGAACTGCAAGAATTATCGTGTCTAGGCATTTCGAATGAAGATGATTTTGATCAAGGAAGATCTATGGGATATCATCGTTCTGGGAAGTTCAAAGCCAGAGGATGCTGTTAGAAGCTTGAAAGTATTTGCACATATTGTTTTGATGGTTGATAATGATCAACTGGTACATGTTTCGGATGCGAAAGGACGAAAGGAAGCATGGGATTCATTGAAGAATTTTCATCACAACGATTCAGCTGGACATAAGATGAGACTTTATAAGCAACTGTTCAAGACTGAATTATCATTGGGTGGTGACATGCAGAAACATTAGCAAAATTTGTTTGGAATTTTGCAAAACATCAAGGAATGTGGTGATCATCTTGAAGAAACCATGATTGTGAGTGCTATTTTATCAATCTGCATGCTGAATATGATAATTTGGTGACTGGATTATAATCTAGAAGGAGAAGGATCTAACTGTTCAAAATGTCAAGCTGAAACTCATCGATGAATGAGAAAGGCGGTATGAAAATGTAAGAAAAGGATCTGATGTGTTTTGTATCAATAGAACTGAAATTGATGAAAAGAAGCACATAAAGTGTCATCAGTGCAAACGAGAAGGAATATCAAGCGGAATTGTTCAATGTTGAAGAATGAAACCGTCAAAATGACAAATTTCAGTGGAGGGCGCAGAAATTGTTACGATCCTAAAGACTCTCAGTGGTGTATTGACTCTGGTGCTTCGTCTCACATGACCTATAGTAAGTCGTTTTTCCTTAGTTTTGATGAAAGTTTTAGGGGTACGGTTACCGTTGCTAATGGCGAGAAGGTTGAGTGCATAGGACCAGGGGATGTTCGTATGAATGTATTTGTAGGAAACAAAAGCTTTAGTGTAGATCTGACTGACGTACTTCTGGTGCCATGCATTGACAGTAATTTGATCTCTGTCTCAAAGCTCTGTAATAAGGGCTATTATACTATTTTTGATTCAACTGGCTGTTACCTTAAAGTAGAAGGTGTGGAACAATTGCAGATTGCTGAGAAATCAGGCGATATGTATGTTGTAAGAGCTGAAGTTGAAAGATCATGCTTGGTTAATGACAGAGTGGATAGATGCTGTGTACATGAATGGCATCGAAAATTAGCTCACAGAAATTTGCATGATATACTCGTGATGAAGGATAAAGGTTTGAAAATTGCCGATTGTGATTGCACAAATGTGTATGAATCATGCATTCTAGAGAAAATTTCTAGAAATCTATTTCCAAAGAAGGCAACACCTGTTGAAAATACACTTGACTGTATAGTCAGTGATATTTGTGGCCCTATGCCAACCACCTCAGTTGGAGGATATCGATATTTTGCAACATATGGATGTTTATTCAAAATGTACGGCAGTATATCTTTTGAAGGCAAAGAGCGAAGTACAGTCTAAAGTCATAGAGTATTTTGAACTGTTGAAAAATACGTTCGGTCGAAAAGTTAAAATGTTCCGTACGGATCGAGGGACAGAATATTTAAGTGAGGAAGTTCAGAAGTATTTACGTTTAGAGGGAATTCGATTTCAATGTACTGTGGCTTACTCACCAGAGCAAAACGGTATTTCCGAGAGAAAGAATAGGATTTTAGTTGAGGCATGTAGGACGATGCTTACTGAGTCAGGGATGTCACGAGAGTACTGGGATGAAGCCATAATGAATGCGAATTACTCATTGAATCGTGTTCTGAGCAAAGATAGTGTTAAAACTCCTTAAGTTTTTTGACAAAAGTTAGCGTTCGTAGGATATGACGGATGTTCGAAAGCATATCGACTTGCAAATGTGAAACAACGTGAGATAGTTGTGTCACGTGATGTTGTGTTTCTAAAAGAAAAGTTCATGAAGATAAATCAGAATTCATCTCATGAAATGAAAAGAAGAAGCGGTGATTTGGTGCCGTTCCCGTTTTCGTCTGGTTCTACAATTGATGTTCAAACATTCAATGATTCTGAATTGTTTTATGATGCTGAAGACTCTCAAGATGAAAGTGAGGTAGAAGAGCATGAAGAAGAGACAGATCAAGCACATATTGAACATGGAGAATTTGAGAACGACCAAAGTCAGGAAATCATTGTTGATCATAATTTAATGAATGATCAGAACGTTTCGGTTCAGGAGGAGAATGGAAGGAGCGATGAAATCAGAGTATCAAGTAGAAGAAATAAAGGTCAAAAACCAGAACGTCTTGGTGATTTTGTTACTTATTCATCAAGAGTTGATTTTGAGCCTAAGACACTCAAACAGGCTATGAGTTGTGTTGATGCTGATAAGTGGAAAAAAGCTATGCAAGACGAGATTAAGTCCATTAATCAAAATAAAACCTAGGATCTTGTGAAATTGCCAAAGAATAAACGTGCAATAGGTTGTAAATGGGTTTACAAGATTAAGCGAGATGATAATGGCCAGGTGTGTTCATATAAAGCAAGATTGGTTTCTCAAGGATTTTCTCAGAAGTATGGTGAAGGTTATGATGAAGTGTTTGCACCAGTAGCTCGATCAGCAATATTTAGGATTCTCATGTCGATAGCTGGTGTTAATAATTATCATGTGAAGCAGTTTGATATTAAGACTGCATTTTTGAAGGTGATATCGAGGAGGAGATATACATGAGGCAACCACCTGGATTTGAGAAGGAAAATGATGCTTGCAAGTTAAGAAATGGTCTTTATGGTTTGAAACAAGCAGCAAGAGCATGGAATAAAATTTATCATGAAGCAGTGATTAGTTTTGGATTTAAGCAAAGCGAAGTTGATAAATGTCTGTATAGCATGAAGAAAGGAAATGATACTTGCTATATGATTCACGTCAATGACATTCTAGTCGCATCGAATAGTGAAAAACTGATAGAACAATTTAAAAATCACATTGCAAGCCTTTTTGAAGTAAAAGATATGGGAAGTGTAAAGCACTTTTTAGGAATTGATGTGAAACGTGATAAAGATGGATGTTTTCATATAAGTCAGAAACAATACATTGAGATGATTGTGGAAGAAGCTGGGCTTAATGATGAAAAATTTTCAAAATATCCTTTGATGACTGGCTATTTTAGGCATCATGATGAGAATTATTTAGAATCAAATAATGAGTATAGATAACTCATTGGTAAACTGTTGTATGTAAGAACAAATACAAGACCTGATATCGCTGCATCTGTTGGAATATTGCAGGGGCGTAGCCAGAAAATTTTTAAGGGGGGGCCCATTTTTGAAAATTAAAAAACCGTTATTTTGTATCCTTAAATCTATATTCATTCTTCACAAGTTTAAATATTGAATTCATTATTCATACATTAAATTTAATTTTTCGTGCTGATTTTGAAATTTCTTTCATCATTTCCTCTACATTAACTGTTTCTTCTCTATAAATACTTAATAAAACAATTATCAGATTTTCGTAGGGGGGGCCCGGGCCCCCTATGGCCCCCCCTGGCTACGCCCCTGGAATATTGCGTCAAAAGATTTCAAAACCAACAAAGACTGCTTTGATAGAAGCGAGGAGAATTATTCGCTATTTGAATGGTACCAAGAATCTAAGTTTGATGTTGAGTGATAAGAAGAAAGTTGTAGAATTGGAAGTTTATTCTGATGCAAGCTGGGCTGAAGATTCGTTGGACCGAAAATCTATCAGTGGTTTTCTTTGTGGAATTAATGGAGGTGATGTTTCATGTGCAGCAGAAAACAAGACGTAGTATCGTTATCATCAATGGAAGGTGAATAAATCGCACTCTCAGAAAGTTGCAAAGAGCTAAAATGGGTTAAAATGTTGACCAATTCTTTTTCTGAATTTGTCGTTCCAGAAAAAACTACTCTGTATACAGATAGTCAGAGTAGTATAAAACAGATATCAAATCAGAAATTCAGCAACAAAAGCAAGCACATTAATACTAAATATCACTATGTGAAGCAATTGGTTGATTCAAGAGAGATTGAACTGAAATATTGCAGCACTGACATAAATATAGCTGATATGATGACCAAGCCGTTAGTAAATATTAAACTGAAGCAATTTACTGACGATTGTGAACTGCGTTAGTAATGTACAAAATCAAGCCAAAATTGGGCATTTGGGCAACGTTGGATTAAGGAACGGGTCAGGAATTTGAAGTGTAGCGGGAGAAATAGGAACTAGAACTACAAGATTACCCACGAATGGAATATTGTTAGAACGGACCTGAAAAGTATCACGTCACGCCCACAAAAGATCGAAACGAGAGCCTTAGTTTATTTGAAACCTAGATATGAAGATTAGAAGTTTGATCCTACATAATACTAATTCATATGTATACAAATACATAAGTGTAAAATGTGAATTATTTCCGGACAGTATGTCGTCAATAAATGCAATAAAGTGCAATTAAAATGAAAAAAAAAAAAATACAATTAACAGCAAAAAAAAACATAATATATCCGAAGTTAATATTAAGGAGGAGTGTTGAATAACTAAGTTATATATATTGATCGTATGAATCTGATTATTATTGTAAATACTAGGCTATCCGGAGGCGCCCGTGGCGCCTCTTATCAGGGCTAAAATTTGATTACTATTATGAAAATAACTGTAAGACACAAATAACCACAATTTTAATAAGGTCAATCCTACTACAGAACTTCACATGGCCTCACAACCCCCTCAAACTTCACATGGCTTCACAAACCCCCTCAAACACGGACTTCCTTAATCCCACAAAAATTTTATAAATGGCATCACACAATTTCACATGGCTTCACAAACCCCCTTAAACTCGGACCCCTTTAATCCCAGTAAAACTTTAATTTCCCGAAACTTCCATGTCTTTTGAAGAAGCTTCGCATGGCTTCACCAAACTTCACATGGGTTCACAAAATTTTATGTGGCTTCACAAAATATTCCTGACCAAACTTTTCAGCACTACACGGCTTCACAAACCCCTTCAAATTCGGACAAACCTGACACCCACCTTGCCAGCAATTCTCAAATCATTGGCTTCACAAAATATACCTGACACCCCCCTTGCCCCTCCATTCCCACCTGACACTCACCCCTCACCTGACACCCACCTTGTCAGCACCCGTCCCCTCAAATCATTGGCTTTACACGGCTTCACAAAACATACTTGACACCCACCTTGCCCCCACCTTGTCACCTCCCCCCTCCCCCCGCTTTCACCAACCTTGTCAGCACCCCTCAAATCATTGGCTTCACAAAATATAACTGAAACCCACCTTGTCTCCATCCCCCACCTGACACCCACGCCCACCTGACACTCACCCCACACCTGACACCCACACCAACCTGACAACCACCTTGTCAACACTCCTAAAATTTTTGGCTTCACACGGCTTCACAAATGTCTTCACATTGCTTCCGTTCTAGAGTCAGTGGATCAGTGAATTGGGCTTTTATAATGTAGATTGTTATCGTGAAAAGAAGTTTATTAAAAGTTAAAAATTCCATTTTGCTATTTTGCAAGGATTAAAATAAAGAAAACATTATTTTAATTATCCAAGAATTCTCAATAAGTTCGTTTCAAATATTCTAATAAGAGGAAGCTTTAAGTTATGGTTTAAATATAACCGTGAAGCGTGACCTATTAAGCCTTCAATTGCAAGTCATTTAGGTTTAATAAGATATTTGGTATCAAATAATAACAACTTGACATAAGAGAATCCAAAATATGATCTCCATCAAAATGCTTTCCAACTTTTAACCACTTCCCATAAAATTCTGAAGATTGAAAACCAGCTTAATTGCATTTTTAGCCTCGAAACAATGATTTTTCAAGTATCCTTGTACTCGAATTTCCTAAAATTCATTTTCATTCTTATTGAATGAGTGCCAAGAGAATCAACATTCCTTTCCTTCTCATTCTTGCCTTTTTTCATCGTTTTTTCTTCTTATTAATTTTCATTTCCGATGTCTGTTTTCTTTTTCTTTTAAAGCTCAAACTGCCTTTAAGGAACACGAAAAATGACATTATCTTAAATTAGGAGAAGGAAGTTCCTTTAAACAATGAAAATTGTTTCTTAAATGAAGTCACTTAATGATGTTGAGACTCATGAAATTACAAATCGGAAATGACATTTGTTGTCGGCCTCGGCAGCATCCCAAAAGTATTTTTTTTTTGATTCCCGTCCATTGATACTTCCAATTTTCCACTCGATTTTTCCGAAAATCATCAAATTAATGTTCAATCAGCATAAATTCACGCAAACATGTTGTTTGCAATCAAAATTAATTTCACGTAATATTTGATGAGAACAGCTATCAAGATGAAAAGAAATAAAAAACCATTTGATGTGGCGATGGATTTCACTCTCGTGTAAACGATAAAAATGTATAAGAATGATATTTGGATTGCACCCATGAGAATCTCCTTTTTTGACTCCTGATGTTATGTATTTTATCATGCTCACTCATATCATTGCTCTCGTGCAGCTGAGTAAAAAGGAAAAAAAAGATGAAGGAGCACTTGAAAATCCCTTTAAGCATTGCATCATTTTTTTGTTCCTTTTATTTTTTCTCAACTTTTCATCATCATAAAAGTTTTCATTTTTCTTAGGGGTCGTCACTTATGACGTCCTAAATTAACGGTCATTTTACAAAAAAGAACAATGAATTTCCTGGAATTTCTATTGTCCTTTTCTTGCTGACCCCCCCCCCCCCCCTTGGACGTCATAAGTGCACGGCCTCTTACTAAAATTCAGGTTTTTATTGCTTGATATAAAAAAAGAGGAAATAGTTTGGTATTTATTTCAGTCCGTCAGAGCTAAGTCTGAAATGAGATTGAAGATCTCGTCAAGGGTGTGAAACTGGTCAATATCATAGTTCGATCTCAAAACTTATGTCGTCCATTGAAAAATTGAATCTTCGGATCCTTTGTATCAAAATTTACTTTTGTATTGAGGTGTCACTAAATTTTGGACAAATCCTCAGTGTTGAATTGTGCCTTTAATCTGTTTCCATGCAAACTTTTTATAAATAATTTTAAAATTTCTTTTCTTGCTAAACATTCACCATAGCTGTGTACTTTTTTCTTGAACTAAGAAGAAAAGAAGCCTTATACACGAATATACTTGATAAATTCAGACATTCAATGGATGAAGGCAAGAGTTTTCACTTCCTTCGTGTTTTTTCTTATATAGAAAAATAATTTTGATATACACATTCAGCAAGCAATCACTTTTGATACAAAATATGAGGAAAAATGCTCCTCAATGAGGTATTTAATATTCTGCGTGCATTTTGTCTGTATCGTCTGGGCAAATATTGAGCTTTATAGCACTTTTCAAGGCTTTCAATTTGTTCTCTCAGTTTTTTAAAATTTAATATTAAATCCACAACATTGGAAAATTAAAATATGGCATTGATTAAGCTCTTCTAATATCAATCAAGATCATCCTATCTTAGAACGCTTAATAATCTTTCTCTAATATGTACCGTGGTCATGTCTTGCTCCGCGAAATTATTTGGCTGGTCAATCAATCTCAAATTATCAAGCTCAATTTTAATCAGAGTCATTGCACTGAATATTAATATTAAGAATAAAATTGAATACTTTAAAACTGTTTGTTTGCTTGAAAAGTCTAATTAGTTCACAAAACTTTATGCAATTTAATAAGAGCTTGTTTTCTGCTTTATATTCATTCAGTTTTAAATTTTATTTTATTTAAAAACTTTTTATCCTTAAAGTTAGCAAAGTTGTTGTCGTTTTCATGCAGAAAATTGAATCTTTAGAGGATTTTGTGACTGCGGGTTGATAATATTTTGTTGCAGCTTTCTGAGCTGTGAAATTTAAATTGTTTTGTTTTTCAGAGATTCTGCTTCGTTTGCTGTACAATCTGAGGTGAATGCATACAATCTGGAATGTCAAAAGTTTGATTATGTCATGCATAAAGTTTCAAGTTTATTTAATTTCTTATCGATGTGGACATCTGTAAACAAGAACATCCAAAAATATCAATTTACAAATTAATAAATGATACTTTTTATACAAATTTTCTTAAAACAAGATTTTATGGAAGTTGTATTTAGAAACTTTCTGATATGGATACAAATCTCATATTTTAATTCTGTCAATTCAACCCACATTATGTCGAGTAGGTTGTGATGATGAAATTCTAAACTTTTTGGTACCAAATTTTCTTGTTTGTCCTTAAGAATGAAACCATTGGATGCAGATAAACTTTTTTATTAAAAAATTGTTTTTATTTACGTAAATAAATTCATCAGATTTCAGTACATCCAAAATGGAAATTTGATCCCTAGAATAATTCACACTTTAAATTACATCCATCGAATTTCAGAATCTGTCAACATTCATTCTAAACTGTTCCTGAATAAAAATCAAACAAAGGAAGTTAAGAATTTACAGAATGGATGTAAGCTTTGAAGTAAGGACCACTTGTAAGACTTATTTAAAGCGATTTCCACTCTCTTTGGAAAAAAAGGGGAAAAATATTTTATTCAAGTGTCATTCACTAAATTTGTTGCCATACTTGAGCACTTGTAAGAGGACCTTTCATGAAACATAAAAAGGAGTAGAAAAACGTCACTTTTACACTGCTGTTGCTTTCAGTGCTGAAACTTTCTCATCCTCTTTTTTTCAATTTAAATTTTCATTCTTGTGTCCGAAAGTTATAGTAAGTACAAAAAAAAGCTGTAAAGTCGATGGATGAAAGAAATTCAATTTAAGATTTTACAAAACTCGAGATCCATTGACGATGTTTGTTAATATCACTTTCAGGATTTGGTTTTATACTTTTGAATGCTTCTTTCAAGTGATGACATTCAACGTCCATCTCATTGTGTGTCGTAAAATTCTCATTGTGAATTTTCTTTCTTATTATCATCATATTTGCTTCTTTTATCGCCACTCGAATGTCATCGCCAGTAAAATTTTCACTCAATAATGCAAGATCCTCTAAATCATCTTCACGCCATTCTCTGGTGCTCGAAAGAAAATGTTTGATGAGATTTTGACGTTCTTGTGTTGTTGGCACATCTATGTGAATTTTCCTTTCAAATCGTCGGAGGAATGCTGTGTCTATATCCCTATAAAAATGAGGATGTGGATTGATTAGTGAAAATGTGTTGAATTTTTTAACTTTAAGTCCAAATCTTATTAACTGTAACAAAGGAATTGAACTTCATGTGCTCTATTTCTTCATATGATACACAATAACAACATTTCTGATTCTGACAAAGAACATTAAAATTCCTTTCAGATGTAAACTTACCATGGCAAGTTAGTCGAACCAAGCACAAAGACTTTTCCATTTTCATCGCTCTCAAGACCATCCAGCAACGACAAAAAATCATTTTTCAAGCGCTTCGTAGCTTCATGTTCCATTCCTAAATTTCGTTTTGATGTCAAACTATCCAATTCATCGATGAAGATTATAGATGGTTCGTGATATTTTGCTAGCTCGAATAGCACTCGAATGAGCTTTTCTGATTCACCGCGCCATTTTGAAATCAATGTACTGGCAGAGATGTTGAAAAATGTAAAAATTTCGTGTGTTTCAGTGCACAATGCTTTTGCCAATAACGTCTTTCCACAGCCAGATACGCCATGCATGAGAACAGCTATGTGTGAATGCATAAAGAAATGAATAAATGATAAAAAGTAGTTTTTAAATCGAATAAGATGGAAGTTTTAAAGACGCATAAATTCTATGGCTTGTTGTGAGATCCAGCGATATCGTCTATGATATCTGATTGTATTGGAAATTCCAAATAAATATTTTGACAGAGATTATGTATGCAAACTGTAGGACAAAACAGACAAGACACAATATCCACACAACAGCACGTCTGCCTGTTATGACAGCTCACAACGAGAAAATTTGCACAATTTGCCAAGCACACGAACAGGCAAGCAAAAAAAAAAATGCTATCAATTTCCTATTTTTATTCCATTCAATGTCATCAATACTAACCTTTCCAAGCCTGTAGTCGATTAAAGAGCTGCGGATATTTCATCGGAAATATTACGCTCTCTCGTAAAATCATTTTAGCATCATCTAAGCCGACAATATCATCCCATTTTACACATAAATTCTTCCTAATCACATCCCTTATGATGACTTCACTTATATCCTTCCAATCGTGTGGATGTGAATTGTAGAACTCGTGCATTGATTTCCTAAAAATCCCTGTTGATATTATGGAAATCTTTTCATTCGATTCATAAATGGATGTTGGCGATAAGCTTGCAACTTGCAAACATTGACTCGTCTCTAAGTCACGAATAACTCGGAGTTCAGACTCGGGGAAAATTGTCGACATTGTTGTTGCTGCATGTGATGCTGTTTTTAAGCTTGCTCTCTTTTTTGCTAGAATTTGTCGAGCTGCTTGTGGATCTACTGGATTATTAGATGACGATGATGATGATATTTGAGTGTTTTTATGTCCATTGACTGTTTGTTGTTGTTGCTGCTGTTCATTACGCTTGACAAATCTGGGTTTCTTGCCAAATTTGACGTGATAATAGCTACAAAATTCCAAATAAATTGTCTCAAGATCAACATTGTCGCAAATGGTAAAATCATTGGATAATTGTGACTCATCAATCAGTGCCGCATGAGTTTTATTCAGTCCAGCCTCTTTCAGATATTCAGCAATTAAATAAATTATGTTTCTGTAAAAGTCAGCACAAAATGTCAATGGAGAAATTGTTAAGGAATTTTATAGCCCAATTTACCTTCTTCGCTCATAAATGCTTCTTCGATCATGCTATGGAACATAAAAGTGAAGAAAATAAGTAAGCAGGTAAATAAATATTTATTAGATAAATTTCATTACTTCTGCCATATCCGTAAATATTTTCAAAGAAAATTCGCACTGACTCTTGACAATAAAGATGGAAATTTATGAAAATTCTTACAAATTAAATTGCAACTTAGGAACTTTTATTAGGAATTAAATTCACACAACACACGATATGAACGAGCTGTAATATTTATTTATTTATTTTCGCTGTGTTTCCTAGGTTACATTAATACTTTATTTATTTATTTCACTCACTAGGCGTTTGAAGGATGTTTTATGTAATAACGAAACTAAAAGTTTTGTTTTGTTCTATTTTAGTGCTGCGTTTGGATAATTTTGGTGATTTGTTTGTTCTACTTTCTACATAGTTTCGGGTACTATGAACATTTAAAATGGTTTGAATTCATTTCTAAAAATTCAAAAATGATCGAATTTTTTTAAGTTTTTAAATTTTTCATTTTTGACTGTAAGATCTTTGCCTACAAAGCTATTTGATATCGATATCTCTACACAATTAAAAATCCACGCTCTCTAGTAACTCCTCAAACAAAATCCTCAACTGTTTCTAACAGTAATCTTCTAGAAACGAAAATGAATTCCATTCGAATTCAACCTTGCCTTTCAACTTACAAATGATGATGATTTCGACAGAATAGAAGCGGCAATATTTGTTTATTCATGGAAATAATTGTTTTTATCTTTTTAAAGAATTCTGATATCTTTAGAAAGATTTATCATTGTATTCTCCTGAATATTGTGTGAGAATAATGAGCAACATCGTTCTCGCTTCCTACTTTTTGAATAGGAATAGAAAAATAGGGTGCGAAAATTTCAAAAAGACAATTGTTGATGCTAAAATAATTCAAAAAGGATAAAAAGTAAATTATTGCCTCAGTTTGAATTGAATTAGATCTGGAAGTGTGAGGAAATGTAATTTAGATTAGATTTAAGGTGGCTTAATGTGAATTAACTTAAAAACGTTTATTAATGATTCCTTCAAATAAAATAAATAACTTGGAACCTCTCAATTTCATTTCAACATGTTCAACTCATTTTAAAAAAATTATGAGCATTTAAAACTTTTTCTCAGAACATCATTTTATCATCAGGGTCAATGCCTGTTCAGTAAACTTTTCAAATCGAATTATATTCAAACTCATGTCATCTGATTACAAAACAACCACAAAGTATTAACATAAGTAAAAAAAGTTGTTACGTAAATTTAATTTGACTTATAAAATCCTCTCGTTTTTATTCAAAGAGTAAACTGCATAAACTTCATTTTGTATCTCAAATAAAAAGCAGAGAAAAAAAACTTGTAAATGTAAAAATCATTTACGTTCAGGATGTCCATGGATATAAAGTTGCATATATTTTATATCCACACCATGAACAATTCGGTAAAAGATTTTAAAAAATCTAAACTTATCTGGAGTAAAATTAAGTTGTTCAGCCATTTACAACCTTTGCCTTCTCAGTAGATGTGAACAGGTTAAATGTACCTTACATCCTTTAATTTTTATTTTTCAAATGCCATTTGTCTTGCCAACAACTATAATCCAAGTTGGTAGTTTCTCTGTTGTCATTTTAGAGGTTGGAAATTGAGTTGAAAAGTCAGTGTTAATAAGGAATTAAAGCGCATTCGATGCGCACTTGTAGTAAATTAATCAATTTTTAAAAGTAATTTAACATCGCAAAACTGAACATTCTTCATGTTTTTTATTTTCTACTTTCGAAAACTCTTGTTGCAAAACTTAATTTAAGAAATTTGTAATAAATAAATATTTTGGATCGTATTTAGAACACATTAATCTTCAGATTTCCTTCATTCTTTTACTTTCTAATTCCATTTATTGGATGTCCATCCAAACACAAATAAAAGTGCTATAAATATTCAAACTGAAGTCTTTTTTTTCAATTTCACTTTTATTCATCCTTCCGATGTCATCGTCCAAAGTTTAGTTTATATATTTATCCATTGAGAATGATTTTCATCCTTTCCACATAGCTCACAATTCCAACAAGAGAAAAAAGTTTTTTTTTCTTTCCGTAAATGCCGAAAAAAGGGAAAGAAAAACATAATAAAATCTATAGCATTTAAAGCCTGCAATAAATCAATGGATTGCTATCAGTTCAACAGCTTTATATTGAGAAGGAATTAAAACGTTTCACTGTGTAGCTATACTTTTTTTTATACAATATAATATGTGTTTGGGATGAATGCTCACTTTATGGTTTCACATTCTGATTTTCCATTAAACAGTCATCCATTCCCCAACAATAACGTGAGGGACCAAAACAACAAATAAAAGTGTGAGAAATTTATATTAAAAAAAATTGAGGCAAAAACACTTTTTATTGGTTTTTTGGTCGATTGGCTTTTTGGTTTGCAGCTTCGACTGAAAACTCAATGCTATTTTCATTCCATTCAGACCCTCAACCCCACACATTTTATGAATTTTTATCATTTCACCTGATTTATTCAATGCAAATTAAATGTAAACATTAAATCGAGTTATGAGAAGCAATCCTGTTATCGGTAGCATTTCACGTTTGGATGAGAGCAATTTCGATTAAAGAATTGATATTCGAGTTTCATCGCTATTTTGGTTTGGTCGATTTAACGCATTTTTAAATGTTTTGAAGGATAGATTTTGTTTGAATAGTTTATGTGGCTCACAATAATTTAGAAAGTTTCAAACTATTCTATTTTATTTAAAAACATGCACAGTTAATACAACAACCTTGGTTCCAAGCAGTCGTAAAATTCTAGATAAGTACAAAAAAATTCCTTGTTGCTGAAATTAGAAATTTAAAATTGCTTGAAATTCAAATTATTTTATGACAATGATGAGGAACTCCCATTGTGGTTGGGAATCAATGATATTTACTGTTTGCAATAAGGATAAAGATGCTGATGTCGATAATGAAAAAAAAATTCAATTAATAAAATTATTATGTAAATCTCTTATTTGTACACTTTCCATCCTACTTTATCATCACAGGCTAAATCTTCATTGTGGGTTTCCCAATATAGCATTTCCGGCTCTTTCGCTTTGTCGCTACTCAAAATGCTTGTTTTTGCTCTCATCGCAAACTGCAAAAGGTTTTTACAATAAATTTCCACTCAGTAACGGGAAATAAATATTTTGAGCTCTGCATTACACTTTATTCAGCGAGACCTTTTGCGAATGTTGTTGACATTTTCCTGTGTTGCCTCCAAAAAGCCAAAAAAGTCCGAAAAAATAGACGTTTTGAATCATGAAAATTGAATTTTAAAAAAGAATCGACTTTAATGATTGTTGACTTTGATTCAACAATATTCGGGTCATGTCAAGACTAATTCAAGTGGCTTACATCAAATTTATTTTTCCCTCTCGCTCTCATATAGCATAAAATTGTGTTTGCTATGGACCTTTATGAAGCCAAAAGCAATGAAACAAAATCTCATAAATAATGTGCATGAGCGGTACTCTTAATTTAGAACTTAATTTAATAAATTCAGACACTCAGTTGATCCCATTTTATGTAAGTATAAGCATGTTGACATCACTCTTGTTGTACCTTCTTTTCTTCTTGACATTTGCATGATTGAGACAGAAACAAGTATCAAGACAAAAAATATATAGTAATTGATTTTAATTGAATAAGAGTAGAAAACATGTGCTTCACCCTTACAATCATTAATATTGCACGACTAAGCCGCAAAGTATACAATAGAAAAAGCAAAAATGAAAATCGTTTAAAATTGAAAACACAAAAAATTCGGATTCTAAAAATTGAAACTCGAAAAATTCGAGTTGCAAAAGTTGAAACACGAAAAATTCGAATTCCAAAAATTGAGACACGAAAAATTCAAGTTCAAAAAATAAAAACAAGAAATCGGATAAAAAAATTTGAAACTCAGAAACTCCAAAATTATCCAAATTTCAAATCACAACTTCTGTTTGTCAGCCTCTTTTTTACCGAAATAGAAAAGATCACAGGACTCACCTCGCGAAGGTCAACAGAACGAGTCCCTGGTTAATGATCAATTTTTGGTCGAATTCCTCAGTGATACGCTCCTTCTTAAATCAAACAACTTTCGTTAGACGGCTTAGTTGCAACTTACAGGATAGCATAGTTTTACCAACTATGACAAAAACTGTAAGTTAAACACATCACCGGGTTACATTAAATGCCGTGATGCATCTATCATTAAGGGTGTGCGACCCATCTGGAAGCGCCTCTATAAAGATCAATACCGCATTGATTCAACGAATTTCAGTACCACTGGCCTTTACGTCCCCTCCAAACCAACAAGAACAAGCTGTAACACCGTAAGGCATGGCTTGGAGTCATGAATAGAGAGCTCACGTTCAGGATTTATTGGGCAAAGATCTTGTTATGACTCTCAGCGGACCGGAAGTATTTGTTGTGAAAGAATTGGAAAAATTCACGGAATACAAAGTAAAGTAAGAGTTGAAAAAGAAATGAATTAATAAACAGGATAATACTGACGGAAGGATTGACAGTAATGTTTTTTTTTGGACAGCCCACCCTCAACCCCCTCTTGTAATTCCTAAAAAGTTCAAAGCCCTTTTTATAGAGGATAAGCCTCGTTCGATAAAAATTATATAAAAAACTCGAACGCGCCATTGAAATTCATTCATGTCCATATGATTAAAGAAAAATCCCCTTAAAACCCCTTAAAAAACCCCTACCCCCACAACCCTCTTAACACCCTCAGCTTTTGGCACTCTCTTAGTACCCATTAGGACCACAACAAAACCACGATTGTACAGACCTTATCCAAGACGAAATCAGACTCTCCTTTCTGTTGCCATTTGAAACTTGAACATAAACTGGAAGTGGTAGTTTTGGACATATTTCATTTGAGTTTACATACTGGAAATAAACAAAATAAGATTTTTTATTTGATCGATTAATAAAATTGTGAACTCAAACTTTGAAGCGAGGCATGTCTAGAAGCTTAGGTTAATAAAACAAAAAACTCCTTACCTATTTCATGCTAATGTTCGCCATTACTGTATACTCCATTGGTTCATGTTCCAAATGTGTGGCTTTTGAAAGGAACTTTGTTATTTTATAAGTCAAACATTGATGGCCATCATATTTTTTCTACAGCTTCATGTACTCCAAAAGTTCTTTTTTG